CACACTGGTCTCCAGCCGCTGGCTTATCTCCGCAGCTCACTGCTTCCAGGACTCAGATGCCATTAAGTAAGGAAGATGCCTGAAAGCCTCACAATGACAATAATAATTTATGTGTGTACTGTGTTCATGCATGTTGTGTCTGTAGATACTCTGATGCTCGTGCGTGGCGGGCCTACATGGGAATGCGTGTGATGACCACGGGGAACAATGGAGCGCTAACCAGACCAATCCGCCGGATCCTCCTCCACCCGCAGTACGACCAGTTCACCTCTGACTACGACATCGCCCTTCTCGAGCTCAGTGCTCCTGTCTTCTTCAACGACTTGGTGCAGCCTGTGTGTGTCCCCGCACCCACACACACCTTCACGACAGGGACCAGCTGCTATGTCACAGGCTGGGGGGTCCTCATGGAGGACGGTAAATCTGCTTAAGAGTATCTGATGAAGCTGTTTTTAGATCTTGCTGTTGTTTTGAAACTTAGATCATAACCCCCATGTTTTTTATTGAATTATAGGTGAGCTGGCCTCTCGCTTACAAGAGGCCTCAGTGAAGATCATCAACAGGAACATATGCAACAAGCTGTATGACGAAGCTGTCACCCCCAGGATGCTGTGCGCTGGGAACCTGCAGGGAGGGGTGGATGCATGTCAGGTGAGTGGGTGTATGAGTGGCATTTATGGGAAAATACTCATTCTCAGAGTTGTAGTGTGATGAAAAGCTGTGATTTACCTTTTAGTCATAACCACAAAATGCACAGTTGCGCTCATTGAATGCAATTTCAGTTTTGTTTTTGTCTAAACTATAACACAATGTGTGTGCAATAAGAAAAACTGAGAAACTCTCTTGGTCAACACGCTCTTTTTCTTCTGCCTTCAGTCTGCGTAAAGGTGCATTTTAGGACCAGACAACAAATGAATTGAGTTATAACAAATCAGCTAATATAATGACTAGCTTGGTTATCAGTTAGCTAATTAACAGATCACAACCACAGCTATAGTGAAAAAGATACCTACAGATAATGAACCTAAAAGGGCATTTGTGGAGTAAATAACGATGTCTGTCAATATTTGTTTGGTTTGACAAAATGGTGGACGCAACGACGTCATTTAAAATGGCAGTAGCAGTTGCCACTAGCAACATAATGTTCAACTGAAGCTAATTGCTATCACTTCCCCTAAAGTTTTAAAGGTCCAGCCTGTAACATTTAGGAGGTATGTTTTCATCAATGTATAATCACCTGAAAATAGGAAATTGTTGTGTTTCCATTACCTTAGAATGAGCAGTTTTTATCTACAGACGCTGCAGGTCGCCATGTTGAACCAATGTTTCTACAGTAGCCCGGAAGGGACAGACCAAAGACTGGCTGTAGATAGTTTTGCGACCACTGTAGTTTCTCCTACAGACTTCACAGCCCGTTCTGTAACTGAATCTGACACTTCACCACTAGATGCCACTAAATCCTACCCACTGCTCCTTTCCTCTAGAGCAGAAAAAAAATATGTATTTGCATCTATTTTCGTGGTTTTGTCTGAATGTGTATCACTGTGCATCGTCCTTCACCTCAGGGAGACTCAGGAGGTCCGTTGGTGTGTCTGGAACGAGGCAGACGGTGGTTCCTGGCCGGGATCGTGAGCTGGGGTGAGGGCTGCGCGAGGCTGAATCGTCCCGGTGTCTACACACAGGTGGTCAAGTTCACTGACTGGATCCATCAGCAGACTAAAGGACAAGTGTGACTGAACACCAGACCGACGTGAACAAAACAACGGACTTACCACACAGGATGAAGGTCTCAGACCTGGAGTCTTCAGACTGTTGTCATGATTGCATGACAACACATTTTCAGTCAGTTTTTTTGGGAGCGTCTCCATGGCAACGGGTCAGCAGGGACAACATCTCTGCTTTTTTTTACAAATCGCCAAACATCAACAGTGGCTATGTTGACATGCACAAAAAAAATCTGCACTTAAACTTGTTATTAAATTAATTTGGTTTTGGTCGCCATACATGATTAATTTGGTTGGAATACAGATTACAAGAAACCCAATTATGATGCAAGATACTGTAACATGACAACACTGTAGGTCAATATTAACTGGTATCACCATGAAATATGTGGGTATGGGATACTTACAAATATTGGGATCCAAATCTTTCCTCCTCATTCATTTTTTAAAGATATTTTTTATTTAAGAAAATGGAATTAGTGATAAAAACAATAAGACAAAAACTCTTATGCACAATGAAATGAGCATGTAATGAGCTGCACTTGCCCCTGCAGACTGTAGAGTGAGGAGCTGCGTCCTCTTAGGGGCAAAATAGAGCAACTATTAGTTGCGAAGGGACATGAAATCCAAATGAAAAGTGGGTAAAATAAACAATTGCTCTGACAACAACTATGTTTAAGTCTCCTCAATCAGATGGACAGGTCAGTACCAGCTGATATCGGGCTAACGACCACTATCCAGGTTATCCTGTGCATGTAAATGTAGCCAATGACTTCCTGTTTTTAATGTCTCTATCCTCTTCTTCCTGTCACAGTTACATTGTTTACTGCAGAGATAGTGACCGTGTCAGGTGTTGCCAACAAAAAAATCACATCAGTCCTTTTATTGAATGTGGAAAGAGTTCTCTCCCCACCAAGTATGTAACCCGTCTGCATTCGTCCATGTACTGTATATGTGTGTTCATGACTCGCTGTATGTGTTTAAGAGTTGTTATTATACTGTATGTGTGTGTATGTGCATTTGTATATCATGAGTTTATCTGAGTCATAGCCTTATATATTCTGTAATTGTAGAGAAGTGAATAATCCCTCAGTTAGGAGGTGATAATATATTTTGCATTTCAGTTTTACTATGATTTAATTTATCTTGTTTGGTGCCTCCTTTGTACTTCATGCTCCGTGAAAAACCTGATGCATTTGATGCTGGTGTAAGGAACAAATAAGATTATCAGGAGAGAAACCGTAAGACTCACTTCATACATTTTCTCCAGATCTCACTTCTCATTCAGATCACATCGCCTCCAAGTGGCCAGTCTGCATCATTGTCTAGAGGGAATGATGCACCTTACACCCAAAGGATTTGAAAAAAAACAAAAAAACACGCAGTTTGCATCATTTGTTAAATGATATCAGATTATATGCCTTTATATTAAAGACACCATTTCCAACACAGCAGGTCAGGCATGTGTTTCTCAACAGCTTTGAGATGGCAAATCTCTACTTCTACAAACAGTAAAGTATGAGCCCCCTGTAGCCAGGGGCGCTGTATAGGGGGGAAATGTTAGGACAATTCCAAGGGCCCATGACTGACAGGGGCCCCAAAAATAGGTAAAAACTAATATAAAATTATTAAACTATCATCATTCAGTATATATATTTCAAATATTATAATAAAATTAATGATCTCTTTGTTTTTACTTGTTTTTGGGAGTAAAAGTTAAATATCCCCATTGACCAAAAAGTAAGCATCCATATTGACCGACCACCCCCCTGTATCTGCATGAAATTGTTTGGTCCTGCTTTAGCGCACTTAACAGTGACGGTGTTTGGTTGCAGTCAGTAGATGCGCCAGAACTACAGTGATCACAATGTTGCATAGTAAATCAAAATCTAGTTTTCAAAAAAGGAGAGAGAGAAAAGAGAGAGGACAGACAAAGGCAAGGATGTCAATCTGTAATCCAGTTTTTCACCAAGAAAGGAGCCTCTAGTCTGTGAGTGGTATTAACCTCTTAATTTCTTTCTCGCTCTGTTTACCATTACAAAAAAGAAAATGAAATATTTATTAATGACAGAAATTCAAATACATTAATAACAATTATTTTCTCACATAATGATCATTATGAAATAAAATAAAAAAACAACAACCTACTGTCTGTACTGGATGCTGGACAGTTGGAAACAGTGAGTAGCTTACCTGAGCCTGCATGTAAGATACAGACAATATTAAAATAATCCAGTTTGATACGTTCATTTAGATTGAATTATGGAATGACATCTATAGATACAGACTTTATTATAATAATAATTAATCATTATTAATAATAATTAATTTCGTTAAGAGAATTTTCAATTTTGAAATTTTACAATAAAAATACATTGAGACTGTAAAAGATGTCCTTTAGCACATTTTTTATGGTTGCTTTTAATCTTGCATCAAATAGTGAACTGCATACTGTATGCAGACTTGCATGCATGTACAAATCACCAGCAGTAAATATTGTCCTAGTACTAGTATTGAACTACAAGAAGCAAGACAGTTGCAAGCCTTTAATTAGAGTTATGTAAAGCTTTTGATGGGACAGTTCTAGGGATGTGGTGACAACAGCTGCGTAGAGGGGGCCAAATTTGATTGTTTTGTCATGGGGCCCAAAATTCCTGGCAGCGCCCCTTCCTGTAGCAGTTTGACCGTCAGTACTTTACATCATCTTATGGTGTTAATATGTGGCATAGTTTGAGCAAGAAGTCACCCATAAACTGCGGTGGCCTGTCTGTAAGTGATGAAATCAGAATGTTTCTACTTGTGGAATGTGTGACATGCTCTTGCAAGGAGCACCCTTGTTATTTATTTTTGTTTCCTTTTTAAGAAACATTGCCAGTTTGAAATTTGAGAGACACGTCTGTTCAGTTGTTGATCAGGACACCACCCGGTGCCTACGTGCTGATCACCCCGTGTACCAATCCAGAGTAGATTCAAGCGCAGAGCTGCCATGTGCGCATCCTCTCCGTTGTTCAGTGTGATGGTCACTTCTTTAAATAACCTCTTCTGTAAATAATGTCGCAAATTATTGGTTTGGAAAGAGAGATTTTATGTATGCATTTCAAGAAGAAAAGGCTATTTTGGTCTCTATAGTATACTTTTATTAACACCTCACTGGTGGATTGCTTGACCACTGGGGAGGGCTAAAAGGGGACTGCTGTTACGCGCCTTGGGTGTGTCAATGGACGTCACGGAGGTCCGCTATCCGGTGGTTGCACTGTGGGAACTGTATAAAACCGCGCCACTATCCGAAACGATGGGAAAAAGTTGCACTGCAGTTCAAGCGCGGTGTCCTGTTGCGTGATCTCCCGCAGCTATCCTCAGGAAACCATCTCCAATCACTGACCACCAGCGCTGAGCGCCGCAGACAAGTGCGCTGCTCTGTTATAAGTCTGGAGTGGGAGAAACAACAAGAGCAGGAATAAAACTTGTTGCATGTTTTATATCTGAGACCCGCTTGTTGCATCGGAGTCACCGAAGATGATGAATTTTCTCCTCATCTGCCTGTTATGTGGATTGTACGGGGTTCTGGCCAAAGGTGAGTAACAGATTTACTTTTGTTAACGCAGTACCACTGAAAGGTGCGGAGAGCACCTGCTGCTGGGGTTCACATATTTAATAACCGTTATAGCTATTTAAAGTTCTCATTTATTACTCAGGGTGAGATTTAGTTAATTTTGTTAAGTTTTAACGGTTGAGGCATGAAAATGGAAACTGAACAAGTGTAACGTGTAGAAAAATGCATTTTACGCACGACTTTTCTTATGGATGTTAATTCCCATAAACTAGAGGTTCCTATAGGGCCATAAGGCGTCTTCATGCTCTTTCAAAGAAAAGAGAGAGAAAGAAATTTCCATCTCCAAGGCAGAACATTCAGTCTTTTCTTTGGAAGAAAACAAAAGATGCACAAACTCGCCTCTTCATTGTGGCGCACTGTGGAGCGGCTGCTCATTTATAGGCCAATTAAGCGGCGCGTTGTTGTGTTCTGATGGCTGTTCAACTTGTAAACCTCTATTAGCACCAAGTGCGGTGAGGGAGATAAGCGCTATCCTGCGGGACATTTGTTTGGATAATGCGGACCTCTGTGGCCCGGCTCCTTGTGCGCTTGGCCCCGGTTGAATGGACACACGCAGGGCGTTGTTTCCTGAGACTGATGAGTTTGCCAAATGAAAGTTCTGTTATATATGAACGAGGGGTCGTGACCCACGGAGGGAAAATATCTAGTGAACTTATTGCTTCAGTCGCTTTCATGCGCTCCACAGATCTCTCTGTGCGGTTCAGGTCGCTTATAAGTCAAAGAAAAGAAAGTGATATTGTTTATTCCCTGGAAAATAAAATATGCGGATTTAAAATAATACTAAGAACTTCTGATATTTATAGTCTCTATAAATATAGATGATCTCTGTCAGTTAAATCACTTAATTAACTATTATATATATATACTATTATATTAACTACGTTTTGTATTTACTATACATTATACTTTTTTGAATGAAACTCCAATCTTTGTTTTTTTCTTCATATCTTTTAAACAGAAATTAACAAAAATATGAATCAATAGATTTTAAACATATTCCAAAATAAGAATTTGCACAACAATAAATAAATAATACACACATGCACACGCATCATACATTCATATATATTCAACATACTTATTCATACATTCATCTTGAAAACATCACAATTTCATTGTTGCCATTGTTAAACTATTAACCTCAGTAGGTTTAATAAAGATGACAAAACATTCAATAGAAAATACACACATAAATAATAAATACATAAATATTCTCAATTTAGTGACATTTATTTATTATTACACTATTGATTGATTAGTGATTACCCAATCACATCAAACGCTGCAGAACATTGAGGGTGTGTAGATGGATTCCCTAGCATCGAATTCTATCATCAGGATGTAGATATGGATTTCACAACAAAAAAAGGTCTTTATATCTTTTTATAATATAATATTTCTTTTCCTTGAACACTGACACCTGGAATATTTTTTTATAATAACACGTTTTTCTTTGAAAATTCCTGATAAGACCATAGATCGGGTGTTTCCACATAATGATGAGTTATTGAGTGGAAGCCTGCCACAAAAAGATATCTCCCACATAAAGGGCGTTTTACTTTACTGTCGCTGGAAATGTGACATTAAGAAACCAAAACCTGAACTTTCTGTGTTACTTAGGAAAGGGAGCAGGAAAACTGGACAGAGTAATTTGATAATGGTGCTTTTAGACACTTCACAGCTTGTTGAAATATCCCCAGAAGGCCTGGAGGAGATCCCAAACTTCCCGTCTGTCTTCCCTTACCCTACCACATGTGTGTGTATGTGTGTGTGCTTTTCTTGCCCTCTCACACACTTTGAAATCCAAGGAAATAGTATAGGAAGTGTGAGTAATGCTAAATCTGCTCAATGGGGCATCCACTGGGAACAATGATGCTGACAATGAATGGTAATAATGGACTTTAGTGATAAACTCACTCGCTGCTGTACAAGTGATTTAACTACTTGCAGAGCAGTATGACAGTTGTGTTCTTGAGAGTGTTTTTGAGCTGTGTGTTGTGCACTCTGTAAGGAGCAGTCAGAGTGAAGGACGGACTTCCCTGAATGATGTTTCCGCTGTTGTTTGGAGGAAGGAAGGGCGGACAGAAAGTCGTCTTTATCTCTCATTAATAAACCTCAGCGATGGAGTGGAGAAATGTCTTTATTTGATAAACAAGAGGGACGCTGCTTACGCATTTCCACAGAAGTTGTCAAGTGGCCTGAGCAAAGAGATGTGAGGAGGGTCACAGATACTGTGGCCTGGACGGAGGACGTGCTGTGGAGCTGGGACTCACCATGCAATCTGCAATCAGAGAGTCAAGAGTCTGGTTTAGTTTGTAATGGACAGAGCTTACAGGAACTGTCCATAATATTTATTCGTTGTAAAGTGTTTTGTCTTTCAGGATTTCCTCTGAAAGTGGTCTCATGTAGATCTGCGTCCACACAAAGGCGTCTCAATCATGACTTCCATTCATAAGAATTAAATATAATAGCAAAGGTGCATCCACCATTTTTCAATATTGGTTTATTAATAAATTAGAAATTATCTTTCAATGGAGTCCCAGGACTCAACCCCCCGTTTCAGAGAATAAAACATCCTGCCCAGATGTCCGTAAAAGAAAGAATGATGTATACTGAAGTCTTACAAGCTGGCCTTGACCCCTGAGTTCTCTGGAGAGTTCAATAAGCAAAGCCTTATCACCTTATACTCGCTGTTAGAAAAACAATTAAATGCACTTAATCAGTGATGGATTTTTGGGATGTCTTCTGCACACTCATCCTCTCTCCTGCCTCTGCAGACAAAGATCAGAAGGGGAAGTACAGCGTCCCTATTCTGGATGTGAAAACCCGGCATCTGGTCCTGGACATCAACCAGACACTACTGCTCAACTGCAGGTGAGTTTCGGGTAGACAGAGAGAGGAAAGAAACTCCTACAGGGTTGGCCAACAGGGTTAGAAATAAGGGTGGGACAAGAAAGGGGCACCTTAATCGTGGTAATTACGTAAATCAATCGTAAATCAAAGCAAAGACACACTTAATATCTTAATATTAACATATAAATCAACACCAAGACACTCATTTGAATGTAGTTGAATTATTTATTGAGACATCAGGTTGTTGTAGAGGCACTTGGCTGATTTATTTTCTACAAAGAGATTAGTTGTTTACCAGTTAACTAAATAAAACTTTTTTGGAGGCTGCTTGTAGTGGCTATGAGAAGGACTTCATCCCAAGGTACTTTAATATCAATCACTGTTTTTCCATTAGAAAGATTTCAGTGTTCCTGTAATTTAACCGCAAGTCTGTTGCTTCTGATGAAGCTTTCTTCAGAAAAAGTCCAGGTTTAAACAAAACCAGACAAACTATGTTCTGTGCAGAATTTGTGTTTGTGTGTGTCCCCATATTGCAAAAACATCACAAAATTAAAAGAAAAAAACAAAAAAGAGTGTCAAAAAAGCCTTTTATAGCATCTTCATTCGGCCACTTAGTGAAACATAAACCTCTTTAACACTGAAGAAGCTTAATTCTTCCACCCTCCCAACTCAATATGGTAAAACAATCATTAGATAAAGAGATAGAGTTCTTGTGATGTAAGCTGAATGTACATACGAAGCCTGCCAAGGTTTTTTTCTAAGCAAACTTTCAACCCCTCTTTGACCAAGGGGTCGCTGGGAGCTGACATGGGCGTTCCCATCAGGTTTGGCCAGCGATCAGGTGCGAGTGGAGGAGTCCCGCTGTGGAAGGACGAGCCAGCAGTACTGCAGCCGCGTGACGGTCAGCCGTATCCAGGCCCGGCACACCGGCCAGTTCCGCTGCAGATACCGGCACCGAACCCGAAAACAGACCTTCATCTACGTATATGTCACAGGTAAGACACTGCTGCCCAGTGTCCAAGAGTACAGCTCTCACTTCTTTTCTTTCAAGCTGCACTCTCTCTCGCACACTCCTTCACCCCCCATGCTTATTGTTTATATCCCCAGGTTAAACAGGATGTGGTGGGTGCTAAATGCAGACCAATGCCAGAGAGCCAATTATATCTAAACACTGTTTGTCCCAACAACACATCCTTCTAGATGACTCTGGCACAGTTTCTCCCACCCCCCTCCTCCCCTGCCTCTCTTTTCTCAACCCGGGCCTACCTCCCTGTTGTCTATATATAAATCCTTTTTTACTTTCGTTTACGTGCTACCTCGAGGCCAGGAATAGCCCAGCTGCTGAAAGGCTCAGGCCTGGGCAGAGTTTCCCAGGGCATCAGCCTTATCTGCTCTGTTCAGCCTTGCTTGAAGCATCCTGTGCTTGGGGGAGGAGGGGAAGGGCTTGAAGGGGGTATGCTGGGAGGGGATGTCGCTGTGTCTCTACAAGGTGGCGGTGGGGAGGTGTGTGGAAGTGTGTGTGTGTGTGTGTGTGTGTGTGTGTGTGTGTGTGTGTGAGGAGCTGAGAAGGATAAGATGAAGGCCAGAGGCTCGGTAGTATCCAGGGGCAGAGGAGGCACGATGTCTGCCCAGCCGACTCCTCCCTGTCCTGGACGATGACGTTGTTCGGGTTGGGCTGCACCGGGCACGGAGCTGGGCTGAAGGCCAGGGTCACAGGGCACGCTACTGTTTGGCCAACAGGACCCTTGGGGGCCATGAATCGCTCAGGTCACCATGTCCATTAAGCGTCAAACTTGGCCTGTGGCTCTTCTCAGCCATTGCCTCCCTCCCCGAGTCCTCTATTAGGAATCAAAGCAACAGAAGGAAGCCCTCAGTCCGCTAGTCCTTGGGGTACTTTTGTTCGAATGTTCAGAGATTTGCTTTCCTTGAATAACACCCTACGGTAACAAACAATACAGTGAGCAACACCCACACTTTTTCAATGGCACAGGACTATTACAGTAGTCGAGTTGGGAGGAGAAAGCACAGAGAGGCTGTTTGATTACTTCTAAACAATCTGTGTGTTTATTGTTGACTATAGGCAGTCATTTGCTGAATGGGTATTCATTGAATGGGTGTGGAGGGCAGTGTGTGTCTGTTTGTTTTTGTTTGTTGTTGAGATTGATACTTGGAAGTGTGTGTGTTTGTTTGTGTGTTTGTGCATAGAGGCAGGTGATTGTTTTCTTTCCTTTCTGTTTGTGCATGAAATTAAAGGGTCAGTTCACAGAAAACAATTAAAACAACATATTTTCTCACTCGGAATGAGAAGGACATATCCATCTCACTATTTTAAGATGTTATATTTGTTTCAGGTTGATTTATTTATTATTGTTTAGTCACCACAGTGCAGATAAGAAAAGATCTGAACTGATAAAAATATTGACATGCTCATCTGAGTCTCCTTCAGTTATTCTGTGTGCACAGATCAATAAACAGAGTCTTGGGTTTTGCCTTTCAGGCTACATACAGGATGCCCTACCTTATTGATGAAGGTTATTGGGGCTTTCTTTCTTTAGGCTGCAAATTGTATTCATGGCTTATAATAAAGGAACTGTAAACTTTATTCTTTGGGTTAAAAATGAAAAAGAAAAAAATCAGTCAAAGATAAGATAGTGCTTTGTAGTTAAGATGCATATTATTATAAAGTATTGATTTATTAGGCTTGTTTTGAGATGTATGCCTCCACCCTACAGTGGAGGGGAATGGTTTGTTGTTCACAGCATTAAGAAATTACAGCAGCAGCATCTCTTTCCTGAAACTCCGTCCTTCAATGGAACATCTGTGGTGTTAACATCTGCACATTTTTTCAGTGCTAAACATAAATTCATTCACCTCCTCGTATGGAGGCAGACAAATAAAAAAAAAAGGAAACAATTAGTTTGTATTATCCAGCACAAATATCAAGCATCAATCTCTGGTTGTGGCTTCTTAGGATTTGGAAACTGTTGGTTGTACAATGTAAGACATTGACGTCGACTTTCACTCTGAGTAGCTGTGATGGACATTAATCATGTTTTGACATTACACAGCGGAAACTAATAATCAATTAATCTAGAAAATAATTTAAAAAATGTATATAATCATTAGTTCCAGCCCTGAAGCTCATATACAAATATCTCAAATCCCAGACAACCACAACTAGTGGTGACCTGACCCTTTAAACTGAAAGAGTCTTATTTATGCATTTATTTTACATGCTTATCATCTGTACTATATGTGTCCCTGACCGCAGTGTTTTGGGTTTCAGACAGCCAGCAGCCATTTGTGGAACATCCGGGTACGAGCCCAGATGTGTTGTACATGAAGGAGAAGCAGCCGCTGGTCATCCCCTGCCGGGTCACCCACCCTAATGTCACCACCACACTAGTCAAGGTCAGTGCAGGAAATATGAATGAAGTGACCATTTTTTAAATTTTTTTTATTTCTGTGTAGAGATAGTAAGTGTGCCTACACACTCATGTCACCCTTTGTCCCTCTCAGCCCAATCACACACTCACATTCTCTGCACATCATCACTTATGCCAGTTTTTTCCATCAGGGCTCACATATGCACACAATGCACCATCCCGTTGTTTCTCCCTCTCCAGATCATTCACCACATTGTTCTTATCTTGGCAGCCATTACGGCTGTGGCGTGTGTGTCCGTTTGTTGGTGTCCGTCTGCGGATATGTGTGAAAGTGTGTGCGGATATGTTTGTGAGTGTTGGTGCTTGAGTGCTGAGTGAGGGGGCGAGCAGACAATGTTACTAAGTGCAAAGAGGAGCATTTAGAGTGCTTGACGTCTGAATCTGTTTTTGTATGCGTGCATGTTGCTGCGTGGATGTTATTTGCCTGTGAATGAAACAAGAACTCGTCACTCTGCTTAAATCTGCAAGAAAACCTTCCAGTCAAAGATGCCCCTTTCTTTACTGACCTTTTCCGATGGAGCGGCGCCCACAGCGTCCTGTTGGCACTGATTCCACCTCTGGAGACAGGACATGGGGTCTGAAGTGCCACTTTGGCCCCCGACCAGCACAACTTCCCACATCTCACCCTCCACCTCTTGTAGTAGGAGCCCTGGCTGCCAGCTTCCCCCAACTGATGCTTTAAACAGCTGGTTTGCTTGGCAGAGGAAGCAGAGGTAGCTACTGTTGGCCCCAACAGATCAAAGGACAGTCCATTCTCTTTAATCACAAACTCTGATCATTAATATGATGACTCGTGCGTCACTGCAGGAAGCTAATTGTGGTAAAAGTACAATAGAGGAGTTGTAAAACTTAAGGAAGGCTCTGGACTATTAATGTGTATTAAAGGGACAATCCAACAATTTAGTATTGCACTTCCATAAAATTAGGGGACTTGCAAGAGACTGAGAGAGAGAATGGTCACATTTGGTTCAGATATCAGATATCCCCTAGTATGGGTCAAAGCTAAAAATCAAATGTGTCTTTGTTAGACCCTCTTTTACTAGTCAATGTCCATGTCTTTCAAACTCCTTAACCCAAGTGTGTGTACACGCTTTCTTTGTCTCCAAACCAATATCACTCAATGTCACTTAAAGCCAGTCTTCTTGCTGATGGTCTTTGTTTGTTTGTGTAGGTCATATAGAGACATCACTATTTATTTGGGATTGTTTCATAACTAGGTAAATACTCCTTGTAGTAGGTTTAAATATTTTTTTCAGACTTGACAAAGCTCCTCCAGAGCAAAAAAAGACATTTTACAACTTTTTTCAGAGGCTAAATAACCACTTGCCCCTACTCGTAAATTGACTTTGACATGTATCATGAATCTAAGAGTCTGGACTTACAGCATTACCAATATGTCGAATGAAATGCTAACATCAGCATTCTAACATACTCATAATGCTATCATACTTATGTTTAGCAGATAAAATGTTCACCAGTTTAGTTTAATGTATTAGCATGCTCACATTTGCTAGCATTAAACACAAAGTACAGCTGAGGAAAATGTAATTAGTTTTGCTGGAATTTAATGATAAATCAAAGTGCAAAATAACTTTTTGACCTGGCGATGGCACTAAAAGAAAGGTCTGTGGACCACCAAAGTTATTACAAGTGATCCTGTTGGGAACATGAATGTCTGGACTAAAGTTCACATAAATCTATCAAATAGTTGTTAAAATATTTCAGTCTGGAACAATGTGGCGGATGGACAGACAAACTGACATTAACGTGGCCAAAAAACAAGAGGAAATGTCTCGGATTTGTGATCCAGGAAGTGCAAAAACATCGTCAGGACAACCCAGACCCTGCATGACACATCCTACTAGTTCTCCAAACTGTGAATCTGATCCTAAAACAGACATGATGTCAACACACACACACATGTTTTTCTCCTGCTTCCATCTCTGCACACTTGGAGGTACTAAGGTAATTACTCTAAAAATAGCTCTCCTCTTCCTCCATCTCCCACTCCCTCCTCTAACCCTGCGCTGCCGGTTGAACCAGGAATCTCTGTCACAGCCTCTGGAGTGTTTTTTTCCTGGAAGGATTTTGCACTTTGCTTGGATCTCTAATATGACCTTTGTCGCCGGGAACAATACCCAGGAGGCTCTGCTCTTTCGCTCTTGCTGTGAAAGTGACCAGGAGGTCCGGGATGACGGGGTCGCCCTGGGGTTCCAGTCAAAATGTCTATATCCTGTAGTAACAGGATGAGAGGAGATGGACTGGAGTCACGTTTCTCATATCCTGACTCCTCTGACTCCTTCGCTCCTCCCCATTTCTCCACCATTGCCTCCACCTTCGCATACTTTCCATGCAGGTTTGGCAGATGGTGGTAAGAGGGGCAGAGAGGGCACTAAGGGTGCTCGGACGGGGGGGGGGGCCTTGAGTTCAGGAGGAGGGAAGAGCGAGAAGCATCAATTTTACAGAGGAGGAGGAGGAGGAGGAGGAGGAGGAGGAGGAGCTCTGTGGCATCTGAGAGAGTCACTTCACTCTGGGAGGGGGGATATCAGCTAGTTCACATTGGGGGTGCAGGAGTGAGGGGGAAGAGTGTGTGTCTGTCTGTGTGTGGTGGTGAGGGGGGTCCACCTGTTCCCTTGAGAGTGGGTGGGAGGCTTCCACTGTGTCACAGAAACTCTAGTAAACATTTCCTTGAGGCTGCCTCCAAGAAAACAACAAGGTTGCAGTTACACAAGTGTTCATGTCAAGGTAGCCAAGAATTATAAAACCAGCACTGTGAGAGTATAGGCAGCATCCTCTGGGGTTTATTTTCACACATTTTACACTATAATTTGCATCTTCTAGAGGTTTTTATTATGACCCAAAATTGCATGGATCCCAAAGGCGACCTGCAACTATCGGTCCATTAAAGACCAAAACTGGAGCCAAGAAGAGCTGGAAGCTGGAAATAAAAGCCAATTCTAGGAACATTTTTAATTAAATGAACCCAATTTTGTTAATGTAAAAAAAGGCATATAATTAATGAATTAATTCCATTCAGTTGCTTCAGGCTCAGCGTCCTGGTATTGTGTATGCTGTGTCACTGTACGACAATGTCATTACTAACTGGGACAGCTGATCAGTAACTCCTGTGCTTTTCCTACTATGAGCAGTTAAAATGTTTGCTGTGAAAAAGAAAACGTCTACTAAAGGTGAAGGTAATTTGTAACTTGTAGATTCAATCAGAGCTGCTGACGTGTGCCAGACTTACAAAAGTCCCAACAATAGAATTTTGAGACTTGAATAAATTGATAAATGACTTGAGATTTGACCTAAACCTTGCCCAACACCACGTTTTCCTAACTCACACAGGATGTTACATGTGACCATGTTCCTTCCGTATTTGCAAATTTTAGTATCAAAATTGGGAAACAGTTCTCTGTAACTGGTACTCCCCCAAATTCTCTGCAGTCGTACGTAACATTTCCGTTGTGCTCAGTGCATTGAAAGTGTGTCATTGCAGCTGTTCTTGTGGTTTCGGTACAGTGAAATATTTGACTATCTTGATCTTCTCCCACCTCCCACAGTTTCCCAACCACAGCCTGAGTCCAGACCAGAGGAACATTATTTGGAACAGCAAGCAGGGCTTCACCATCCGAACTCCCACCTTCTATTACATTGGCCTCTTCTACTGCCAGACGATCACTGACGGCATCACACACAAGTCACGTATATACTTTGTACACCGCCCAGGTCAGCAGTAGATACAGTCCTTTTAGATACACACTATCTAAAAGCATCTATGCAAAACTCCCAGTCCACTCTGACTGCTTAATACATTCTTATATTTTTTCTTGTCACAGTGAGTAACATCCTGGATGTGTATCTGAACAGCAGTGGACCTGTGCAGGCTCTGAAGGGAGAAAGACTGGTCTTGAACTGCACTGCCACCGGGGAGTTGAACACCAGAGTCAACATCACCTGGGACTACCCTGGAAAGGTCAGACCTACATTAAAGTCTGTGGAGACTTTTTATGAAGCAGAGAAGCACAGGTTTAGATAACAAATGACCTTTGACAGAGACTGAGTAGCAGTGTATAATTCTGATACCCTCAGAGAACAATATCTCTTCAGTCAGTATGATCTGAAAGGTGATGTTGAGCTGGCAGACTGATGAAGGTCCTTGTTATTTTATTGATATTTTAAAGTATATACAAAGGTTCTTCTTTAAAAGTTTATTGGACCAAAAGTGAGAGTGAAAACTACTGCAAGACTTCACTCAATATCGACCCTTTCACTTAAATCTTTCAATTCTTTGCCAACAATATTGTTATGTTGCAATGGATGCAATCTCAGCTCCTTTTTATGGGTTATTATTTGTGAGTGTGGCTTTATAATTATAATTTATTAAAGGAATATAGATTAATGAGAAACACAACTCTTTGGTTTTCAGGTTGGAACACATCTTTGCAGCACAAACCTGCTAGACTAGAGGACTGATCACAGTTTGACTACTTGCAGCATCTTGTCCATTATGAAATATTTAACATTTACAACTCTTGATTGATCATTGTGATTTGAAGATTTACCCACTCTCTAACAGACCATCAAGGTCTAGCCAAAAACTAGTCTAAAGGTGGAATCAAACCAGAAAGATTATACAGTGTGACCACTTGGTCATTGGGAATCCTGGAATAAAAGCCTTAATAAGGGTGGATGTGGATATACATCAGCAAGGATTTTTCATAACCTGACAACCAAAAATCATTGATGCCATTTAACTGATCTATGAAGAATTTATATCACTTATCAACCATTATTAAAGAATAAAATTACAACTTTTAAACCATTTACAAAGTATACCTTATTAGAAAATGGTTCCTGCATTTCTTAAGTTAAAAAAATTAGCAATTTTTAAAAAAGCACAAGTTATGTAATTATATGCAATACATTATATTCTCCCAGATATTGATACGTAAACATACCCCATAGTCTTAAAAGAGGGCAAAACCTTGCTCCAGTTATTTTAACTTAAATGTCAGAAATTGTGTTAAGAGATTGTCAGGTTCACAGCTTTTCAAAATAAATGTTAAGGACACACAGGTGAGCCGTCAGCATTAATTCTGTGGCTCCTCTTTCCTCTCTACTTTCAGACTAACAACACCGGCTCCATGTCCAAGAGGCTTGTGAAACACAGAACGCACATGTTGTTCTACAATATTCTGACCATCCCAAAGCTCCAGCGCTCAGACCGAGGCCTCTACACATGCCGCGTTACCAGCGGGGAAAATACCAAACAACAGAAAGTCACTGTTACTGTGTATGGTGAGTGTATTCCTCTGAAACCAGTCACAGGGATATGGAAAGATTACTCAAATTCACATTGAATCACTGTTGAGAGTCTCCATTTCTGTTCTTTATCTTACTCACACATCTGCATGTGTTTCCTCAATTTCAGACCATCCATTTATTCGCCTGAAGCCCAGACATGCATCTGTGATGGAGGTTCAGGCAGGACAGAAATCTTACCGGATTGCTCCCAAACTACGAGCCTTCCCTGCCCCTGAAGTCATCTGGTAGGAGATCACCTTGAGCCTTGAAATCACTTCAACAGCCCTGTTTAAATCCCTCTGGAGTTTTGTCTTTAGTTGTTCACTCCCATTTGTTGTAAAGGAAGGAAGTAAAGTTAATGTTAATTTAAGTAACTGCACATTGTGTATCATACTTAGTCATCACAATGAGATGAATGGTTAAGCCCTTCATGTTTAAGTTTCGGGAATTGAACTTTCCCAAACAAAACTTTTCTCAGAAGTCTTTTTGTTTCCTGACAGGTTGAAAGATGGTATGGTGGCAGCAGAGCAGTGCGCCAGATACCACATGGATGGAAATTCCCTGGTGATCCGGGATGTTGCAGAGGAGGATGCTGGGAAGTACACTGTCCTGGTACGAATCCAGGAACATGGACTCTACCAGAATCTCACGCTTATACTTGAGGTCAATGGTGAGAAACCCTGGTTAAATCCTCCACCCACCAACCACCATTAACTTTGTCTTTGAGTCCCCTCAGTGATCAAACGTCTATGTGTGTTTGTCTCACAGTGAGTCCTCAGATAGGAGAGAAAGCGGTGTCGTTGCAGGACCCAGGCTCAGTCCCACGGGGGAGCAGACAAGCGCTTCACTGCACATCCCACGGGGTCCCTCCTCCACACATCCAGTGGCTTTGGCACCCCTGCCCGTCCAAAGGCCTGTAAGTAGCCCAGAAGACTAGATGTAGTGCAGTGTGCAAATACAAACCATTTGAAATTGCCTTGCAGGAGAAACTCAAACCAGGTAAAATACAGATAATATAAACACGAGCATGCAGTAATACTGAGCTCTCTGTGTTATTTATTATTGATTTGACCTAAAGTTTTAATCAACTCAGTATATTTGAATAAACTGCATACGTAAAACCAGCCAAAAAATATATGCTTTAAGGTTATAAGTTGACAGAATAATATTAATGCTATCATGTTGCAAACACATACAGTACAAAAAAAATTTCATGTTTGTTTTATGTTATTTGGTGGTGTGTGTGTGTGTGTGTGTGTGTGTGTGTGTGTGTGTGTGTGTGTGTGTGTGTGTGTAGGATTTTTGAAAAACGAGACATGTTTTGTCTATTTCAGCGTGTGTTCAGACAGCGTTTCCTTCTTGTAACCAGAACAGATGCCTTTGGGGGCCTTTCATGTGCGGGAATGTGTGAAAATGTGTGTGTTTATTTGTGTGTGTGTGTGTGTGCGCACCTACATATGTGTGTGTTTCATTATGTCTGTGTTTATATGTTTGTTTGCTTGTGCGACTCTTTCCCCATATGTTTGTTCTCTCACTGTCCATGCGTCTTTTTCCATGTGTTTGTTTAAGTGTACACAAACGTATAGCCTGTGTATGTGTGTGAGTCAGCGTGTGTGTGTGTGTGTGTGTGTGTGCCTGGTACATTCACAGACACAGTACACAGTGTATTTCGGACTTGAAAGGACAGAGAAAAAAAACACACATCAATAGAAGCCAGTTCCGTGCTCTCAGTCACGATTTGTTGGTTTCCAAATCAAACGCTATGATTTAATGAATTTCCTGTCCAGGACGCAGGGTGAGAGGCCTGTTTATTATTGTGATTGCACACTGCATCCTGTGATGCTTTTTCTTATATCTGACACACACACTATATATAAAGTTCTCATGAGAAATGGCCCAACCCAGCGATGCAGAGGGACAGTCATTTAGTCAACTCGCACACACACACACATCATCACGAGTGTTCAAGCAGGTACTTGGCAGAAACATTGATTGAGTTGTTCTTGGAGGTCACACACTTATTGTGTTGCTTATGACCAAGTCAGAAAGGTTAAGTATTACCTGAGAGCACCACAGCAGCCGCCCATACTCTATTCCCCCTCTGAGACACACTGACATCATCAGCGTACTTGACCCTTAACCCCGGCACTCTCACATGGCGCCATGCCGAGGTGCCTTCAGTGTGGTTCATCCGTCTGTCTCTGCCAAATGTAATCGACATAATGTACATGAACATGTTTTTAGATCAGCTGGTGGTGCTAAAGCATCGGATATTCATGGTTAGACTGAATGTAGGTAGAGTGATGAATTAAAGTCTTTATCCTGCAGAGATGCAGGTAAAAGATATAAGACATTTTGCCTCTGATGTACCTCATTGTATTACAGTGCAGACATACAGTGTGTATGATTTTGTCTTGTTTCGTCATGATAAGAGTCACATGCAATCTGCAAAATTTTCAAAAATCCAATTCTTTTATTATCCATTTGGTGAATCAGCGCTTGATAACAGGATTTAAATTTATTCTGAGTGTAAGAAAAATTTCAAATTTAAGTCAATTAGATTTTTAAATTCATGTCCGTCTGTAAGTAATTACACCAGTTTGGCATAAAAGAAAACAAACAAAACAAAAAAGGCAGTTAGTCACAACAAAACAGTTCAATAGGAAATAACACAGCATAAAGATTTCTGCAGCCTGAAAAGGTCTTACACTGAAGCTGCAGCTCATAAAGGAATTAAAGTATAATTGCACAATGATGTTTCAGCAGATTACATTTGGCCTCTTCACTGACAGACTTATGGTCCTTTGTAAAGCTCTGTTCTGGTTCTGGTTCTGCTTCTGCTTCAGTGTCTATATAGAGTGTATTTCTTTAGACCAGTTTTTGGCTGGATCCTCACTAGGCCCTTGTTCTTTGCAGCCCGGCTGCACCACGAGCCTGACGCCGCGCTGGAGGAGGCCCAGGGACAGTGGACCAGGCAGGGCCAGGCTGATGGGGGGCCTCGCGCCTGGGTCCTGGGCCCACTCCTGGGTCTGGCCCTGGGAACCGCAGCGCTCTTATCTGGCCCGGGCAGGAGGCGCACTGGGCTTCCTGTGCGAAAATCAGAGCGCTTTTCCTCTCGTTGTTTGGCTTCCTCTCCGACGCGAGACGCTTCCCAGCAGCGTGATTGTCCCTTCGTCTTCAAACGTGGCACAGTCCGCTTCCTCAAGAGCTTGATCTATTCTTGAGAGCCCCCCCTCCACACCCCTTCCCCCAACTCTGCTGCCCCCCACACATACCTCTCCAACCCCTTTCCCTCACCAGCTCTGCCCTCCACCCCGACCCAGTATCCTCCACCTCTACAGAAGAACAAGTCCCCATCACCTCCCACCCTGGAGCCCAGCCCCTCCACCAGCACCTCCACACACTCATCAGCGCTTCCCCACAGCAGCCAGATCCTTCGGTGACATTACTAGTGACCCCATGTGATGACCCTGCGCTTGATAAACTGATGTGGAAAGGGAGGAAAGTGACTTGGAACACTGCTGAGCAGTGAAGACCAGGAGACAAGGAGGAGAATAAGCCACATCACAAAGGATATAAGGACACCTGCTTTACTGATTATTTATTTATTTCCTTAATTTCCCCCCAATTTAAGCACCCACCCAATCCTGTAGTTTGATGCTTTTTACATTTCACAGACATTTTGAGCCAGAAGAAGTGCAATTCCATCCATCCACCAGCCACATTTCTGGAGCTGCTTTGCTTGTTTTTTGTGTCCTAGAGTGGTACTATAATGGGTGCATGAACCGTGCCTGTCCCAAGCCCTAATCTGATTCTGACATCCACAAAAGCTGTGAGTTTCTGTTCCGATTTTTTAGCCACTGGTAGAAGGTAAAATGTGCTCACCTTGGACGGGCGAAACAGGAGAGAGGACAAGCTTTGTGTTGTTCACTATGGGATGCCTACAGTTCTCTATTAAAAGACTGATGGTCAGCAGACACCTACCATGTAGGAAGTCGCCACAGACCAGAGACTATGACTGCCCTCTGTCATATTATGTCATCCCATGTCAAAATGTCTTGTTTGTCAAATGATGTTAGTATCACAGCCCTGTTGTCTTTGTATTGAAAGTTAATTAAAACCTAAACGTATGTATGACTACAAGCCATTTTAGGAGAATGAGTGCCATAAGTCCATTTCTGTGTGTGTGTGTGTGTGTGTGTGTGTGTGTGTGTGTGTGTGTGTGTGTGTGTGACAGCAAGTGTGAGAATGTGTGTACTTGTGTAGGAACCTGTGTGTAAGTGTGTGTGAGTGTGTGTGTGTGTGTGTGTGTGTGTGTGTGTGTGTGTGTGTGTGTGTGTCCCATTCTACGGGTGTCTCCCAATGTGATTCATTCCTTGTATACAGATGTTCTATGAGTAATATATGAATCTAATATTTAATAATTTTATACAACTAACTTACATATGACGAATGACAATATTTGCCAACTTTGTATGAATCTGTTAAGATGTATTGAAGTGTTATATCAGTTGTTTGTGTTTTTTGCATTAAACTTTGCTTATATTTGTGTATTGGTTTATATGGCTTTGTGGTTATTTTTGGGCTTGAGACAGGAACTGACAGGGACAGCGGTAAAAGTGTATTTTAAGAGGACAGGAAGAAAAAGGCAGGAGATGACGCCCACTGATACACACCTGAACAATTCACACATATTTCCAGGCGGCTGCTGCTCACCCTGTCGGCAGGCACACACTGTGTGAATGTGGCTGTGGTACCATGAGTGTGAATGCATGCATGTTCATTTTCTGTTTTCTAACCACGTTTGTGTCCACACACCCATCTCACTAATCATATTTGTGTGCGCGAGTGCAATTTTGAAAAAGAAAGCGTTTCCTGGGAAGCATGTGTTGGCGGGTGTAATCTGTGCTTGTGTGGTGGTGGTGTGTGTGTGTGTGTGTGTGTGTGTGTGTGTGTGTGTGTGTGTGTGTGTGGGTGTGTGTGGGTGGGTGTGTGTGTGTGTCAGGGCTGTGGTGTCATGCACAGGGTGGGTCACTTGTGCAGTCGTGCACTAGATGCCAAGAGGAAGAGCAATCAGGCAGCAGAGAGGAACCAACCTCAGGGAGGAGCTCAGGACAGACAGAAAAAGGATGACGACAAGGATACAGACAGAGACAGGGAGTAGAGAGGGGCACTGACACATCCATAAACAGGATCATTGAACAGAGTGGAAATGACAGTTTACAACGAGGATGGCGGCTAATGTCTAAATAATGAAGCTGCATTCTTTTGAAGATGAGTTTGTATAAATTATACTGCCCAATAATTAGATGGCTATTCCAATGATACAATCAGATGTAAGCAAGTAAGAACAAAATAATTCACATAATCATCACCAAACCAACTGGATGTGACTTATTTATGAAAATGCCTTCAGAATAGTCCAAGAAGCATTTTTACTTTACTTTACAGCCAAGACAGAGTCTCTCTCAGGTATTCATAAAATAATATTTTTTTACTACTGCTCATATTTGTCTATTAGATATGAAGCTACAGGTTGGAGACTCTTATCTTACTTTAAACAGCTAGCTTGCCTGGCTCTGTCCAAAGGTATAAATATGTGCTGCCTATCAGCATCTCCAAAGCTCACAGCTTAACATTTTATACCTCCTTGTTCTAATTTAACTGAAGTATGTACAAATTACGTAAACATAACAAGTTGTGGCTGTATGGGAGGGATTACTTCTTGGCTGGACTCAGTGATTGTTCCTTGACTGAGAGGTTGCTAGGCAACCAGCTAAGGTAGCAATGGCTGGTTTAGCCAGTATATATATTTATTTAGCTTTAGTAAGTCAGTACAGACACACAATCTTCTCATCTAACTTTTGACAAGAAACCTGTGTGTTTCCCAAAATGTCAAACTGTTCCTATTCCTCCTTTCCCAAAGTAGAAAGTGTGATTTTAAACTGTACATTTTAACCTTAATATATATTCTTAATATATTATACGTCTATTACATCTGGAGTATGTAACGAAAGTAATTTCCCCCTGGGATTATTAAAGTATTTCTGATTCTGATTCTGATTCTGATTCTGTTAGCTAGTTGATGAGTAGTTTATAACAGTTAGCTAGCGTTAGGTTAATCTATTAATTATATCAACTTAATTTTCCTATATTTTATTAACTATATAAACCAATTAATTGAAAAAGAATGAATATATTAATTAATAATAAAAACTAATCATTGGCTGCAGCCAGGTCTAATTTCAACTTGAAACAACAATGAATTAACCAAAGTTATTATATAAAGTAAAACATTAAAAAATACATTATCTTGAATAATATAATTATAATAAAGTATAAAAAAGAATTACTTGTTTCAGGACCCTTCATGTGCATACTGAAAATATTTCTTAAATGGTTTAAAACAGCAAAATATACTATATATACATATATATAATATAAAGGTTTTGGTTCCTTTATTTTATACAATATATCATAATAAAAAGGCTTCTGCTTATGCAACTAATAGTTCTTGCACTCAACACATTTAAGATTAACTTTTATTTATAAGCAAACATTACTTGTTCCTTACTGTCGATGTTACTGGCAACAAGTTCATTACATTAAATGTATCATCATATTTGATACAGATAAATAAATATTATTCAAATACATCTGAATCTTTTGTTTGGAGACATGAAGCAGCAGATGAAATATAGAACACACATTTCATCTCCTCTGATACATCTTTTCCCTCAACTCTAAAACTAATCCATCCAGCATTGTGTGTTTTTCCCCACCTCCTGTAAGATTTCAGAGCTTTTCATCATAAGGAGTTACGCATAAATAAACCACAAAGCAGCTTGCCTTCACTCCAGTTCCCACAGCCCCACTGGTGTGTAATCTATGGATTTAGACTTGTGAGGGACAGGAACTCTTGTCCTGGAAATGTGTGGATGATTTGTTAAGAATGGAAGGAAGTTGATCCACGGGATGACAATACCACCTCTGCATCCTCAATAGATGAACAATCCAGCATTACATAGCACTCGAAAGATCCACTATTGTCAGCCAGCAGGACTGGGTAGGGTAGAAGGACGTGATGCTATTGATAAAAATGGTTTGGGGATGATGATTATGTGAATTAGGTTGAAGATAACATCAAGCAGCGATGATCAAACATTGTCCCTGATGTTCTGGTCTTCCTCCTGCCGAACACAGCTGAGAAAAACACCCACCCACACACACACACACACACACACACACACACACCTGGAGGGAGCATAAAATGACTTGTGTCAACACAGCTGAGTCCCTGTCCCTCTCCTCGTCCTCCTCCTCTTCCTCTCCCTTCTTCAAGGTGTGTGTGTCCAACATCCTCCTTGCTATGGAGCCCTGTGACAGAAAGAGTCCCCGCCACGTCCACAAGCAACCACATCCTGAGTGTTACGCACAGACAGGAAGTGCTCCAGGGGAAGAAGAAGGTAGGTGAAGCACTGAAATACACACCGTGACTGACAGAAGAGCTACTTTGGGGTAGTAACAGGATTCTTAGTGGCCCTATGCAGTTGAAATTGTGGTTAAAAACACAAAAAGCATCATGATGTGGATGAGCTAAAAGGTACATTAACTACAGTTTGTCCTGGAAAAGCATTTTAATTGAAGGTATCAGCAGATTCTTTGATGAAAATATACCAAAAATGCATCAATCTGAGTAGATATGTTACAATCAAAGACATCAGGGAAGCTTCACTGTACAGTTTGCAGTGCTAGAAATATTGCACTCACAGGATCATCTCACTGTTTGCTTTTACTTTCCTTCTTTGGTCACTTCTCTCTCTCTCACACATACACACACACACACACACACACCTATATTAACACTTATCGACAGCTTGCATGTTGAGCTGTCCACTGAGTTGGAAGTAGGCAGGAGGTCTGGCTCAGAGACCCCTATTGTCTGCTTAGTGGGCCCATGGAAAATATGATTCCTGCCATCAGTGGCAGAGGTAACGAGCCTGAACCTAACATGAATGTGTGTGTGTGTGTGTGTGTGTGTGTGTGTGTGTGTGTGTGTGTGTGTGTGTGTGTGTGTGTGTGTGTGTGTGTGTGTGTGTGTTCGTGTGTGCCTGTTTTCCATGGTGTGTTAAGTGCCGGGTTGCTCATGCGGATGTTTGTGCTTCCATAGACGGTGGGTGTCCTGACTGTGGCAGAGGCCTTTGTGTCCGGAGTGTATCGCTGCGTTGCCTCCAACTCTGCAGGCACAGACCAGCTAGACCTTCACTTCTATGTCACAGGTGATCCCAAAAGTTGAATCATCTCCTCAGATGGGCGTTGTTTGTTCTTGCCCACTTCTGGGAATTTTTTCTGATGGCTTAGATATGAAATTACAGTAAGTTTCACTCCCCTGAAACTTCTAACTAAGTAGTTTCTTACTAGTGTCGATCACTTTACTCCCAGTCCCTCCTGGTTGATTAGGCTGATATCAGCTGATCCACTTAATGCTTTGTCATTGTTGGCTTAGCAAAAATATTTGTGTACTGATATTTTATCTTAGTTTTCATCATCTTTGTCAACCTGAAACTCATAGAAAGGATGTACGCCAGAACCGCCTCAAAACATCTCAATGTCAGACTGAAACTAGAAACTAACCGTTCATTGTGACATGCATCATTTATCTTGTGATTTGCTTTCACACCACACACTCATACACCTACTCATGCACAGTTAGCCTTTAGTTAGACTTTCACAATATTTATGAGATTTAACACACTTTCCTATGTTGGAGGCAGTACTGGCAAAATAAACATGAAATTAACAGAAGAGATGCAGATTTTGCAAACAACACTCAATCCACTTGTTTGTCATGTCTTTGGCTTCCTAGGAAAAAACAATATGAAGTGGTTAAACCCGATGCAGACTGAAAAATAGGTACCTGCACTGCACCGCTGCTGTAGACTGTATATGTAGGGGTTACAGCCGTGTTCAGGTCGAGGAGACGCAGTGTCAGAGACGTGCACAGACACACTGCTGTAAAAAGAGCGTTACGCTCCAGAGCAACAGATATCAGAGCTCAAACTGGAGTTGAGAAAGAACCAGGGGTGATGGGGCAGCAGCTGCTTCAGTACTATACACCAATATGTCACAAATCAAAGTGTGTTTACTTTGTTTTATATTGAAGAAATCTAACTTTAAAATGTCTTAAAGGCTATTTGGAAAAGAAAATTGCTATATGGTAACAAATTTGAGCATTTTCAGTGACAATCAGTACTATACAGACACAAGCCACAAGAACAGATATTTTACATACTCTAAAATGCACATTTATGAACGTGCATTTGTCACTGAAGAAGTAACACACACATTGATGTAGGTGGAAATACTTGGCAGAGCAGAGAAGTCTACGTGCTTTGGATACATACTGTAGTTTTTGTGCGTGGTGTGAGGTTAGATTTGTTATTAGGAATACAGGTTAAGGTTATTTTGTGTCTATTCTTTTTTTGAGTGTGTGCATGAGTGTGTATGTGTCTGTGCGTAAGACTGTGCTGAGCTCTTAGTGTGTGAGCAAGAGCGAAACAGGAACCTGAGGCTCTTATCGTTCCACTTCCCCGTGCAGCGCACTTCCTTGGACTGGCAGGTCCGTTTTATTTCGGGAGGCCTTGGGGTGTTCGGGAAAGATAAACACTATCTGCCATCAGGAAACTCTCGAGCCGTTTCCACGGGAAGTTTCAAATGGCTAAAGTAAATAAAAAGCCTTTTCACTGTATTCCACTAGCTGCTTTTACCCACAATAGCCATTCAACATTGTCGTCAAAGGTTACAAAAGTGGAAGATTGGTCGAATCAGCTCTCCTGGTTTCAGGCACCTGACAGGATCTGCAGTTCGCATGTCGAGAAACTGAGAGGGCTCATTCATCAAGCAGAAGATCAGTGAAGGTTTATATTTTGTTCATGTTCCCTCTCCCTCACCTCTCCTTCCCCATCAATCCATCTCTTCTCTGGTTCCCCCCTCCTCCCCTCCCCTCCCCTCCCTCCTCCCAGACGTCCCAGGAGGCTTCAGTGTGAGCCAGGGGGAGGAACCGAGAGAGGGTGGAGACCACCATCTCACATGTGTGGCCAATAAGTACCTGTACACGGCGTTGTCGTGGCAACGGGTGAACGACACAGAGGATGCCCATCCCCGCAGCCCTGCCTTGATTGGCCAGCGGCTCGTGTCAGGAGAGCTCTCCATCTCTCTGGTCCTGTTGCTAAGCAACCTGACGGCCAGAGACTCCGGAGCCTACAGATGCTCCGCCCGCCACCTCATCACCGGACATGAGACACACCTGGACACACAGGTGGTGGTCACAAGTGAGTGGTCGTAAATTAAGGAGCATCATCTTTCTCTTCAACATCTATAATCAGTATTGTTTATTTTATATTTTATTTATATTATATTATATTATATTTTTTTTATTGTGTTTTTAGCTTGTTGTCCTTTTTTGTAGCTTTTTTTCTACAAGAAATAAGTGAGCAAGTACATATGGATTTATTTATAATGCACTTTTCCAAACAAAAGTTACAAAGTGCATCACAATTAAAAACATTTATCTCAAAACATCAAAACAAAAGATCAACGAAATAAAAAAATCACAAACAAATAACAATTAAACTATGGAACCAATGAAGGGCCATAATCATTTGAAATTTTATAAGCAATCAAATTTCTAACATCTAACTCTACAATGTATAGAAAAATATATATCATTTATAATTTATATTCATAATTTCAATTTGTCTCTCAAAGTTTTATTTCCTGAAGTTTACAGATTCAAACAGGGGATGGTGTCCAGTGATATCTAGTCACTAATTACAGCATTATTTAGCTCAGGTCATATGACTGACAGAATGTAACCAGATAGGACAGAAGTCTGATTGGTAGTCTGGACGTTCAAGTTTAAATTCTTCATTCAATTTTGGCACTCTCATTTAATAAATCCAATTTTAGTAGCTTGATTTCTTTTACTTGATTTTTTAGAAGCAGGAATTCAAATCCCATAAAAGATTTTTAAAAGTGGAATACTTTAGCTTTAGATTCTGTGCTATTTTAACTTCAGCCTTCAAGTATATGAACTTCAAAACACGTTAGTCTTTCTTTGCCTCCATACAAATCATGGTGTGCAAGAATTGAATACGTCCTCATGGGGCTGAATTACTCAGGGGTTCCAGAGCGGAACAAGGGCCTTCTCATATTCCACCGATTAAGGATATGTATTGTCTCAGCGCCCCAAGTAAGTTGTGGTCAGGACCTTGAATTTGTGGCTCTTCAAACACAGATTAAAGCGTCAGGCCTCCCCATGTTTTCTGTGCACATATGTTGCCCATACATACAAACAAACAAACACCTACACACTCTCACAGAGTTTCGCTGCTTGGGAATTGGGTCCCCTTGACTTCCTGGGGCCCCACCCTGCCTTTGCTCTTGCTCTCCAGCTCAGCACCTCTTTCACGTGGGAATGAGCTCTTGTCTGGAGGAAGAGCACACAATGGCACTTCCCACAATGCCACATTTACAGGCCCCCACACAGGGCCGGAGGAACAATCAGCCAATCAGACACTGTCAGGCCCTAGCCCCCGTGGACAATCATCAATTGTTGTCGTGGAGGAAGATAGAGGAAACAACAATCAGTCGCCTTGGTTAAGTGACTTTTCTTCATGTCTTTTACTGCTGTTCTTTACACAATCAGGGCCCAATACGTCAACTTCCTCCCTCAGGACCTCCACGAGGGAATTACTAAAGAGACAGGGTGACCAGAAAGAGAGAAGTGGTGGAGCTAAAAGGAGAGAAAAAGAGGAAGAATGGAGATACAAATTAAAACATGGGGATTAGAGAGATTCAGGGAGCAAGGACTCATCTGGTCTAATTATAGTGTGTCACCATTGTGTGGTGTAATTATAGTCCACGAGAAGGAAACTAAAAAAATCTGCATGTAACTCATTGTGTGCACTCATAGGCCATCAACTGTCCACATGATGAAATACTACATTGTTGTGGCTTTTTAGAAATGTGTGTTGCCGGGTGTTTCAGGGTGAGTAAGGGGCCCAAGAGAACCCAAATGTCAGCTGACTCACAGGTTGAAGCTGAGGCCAGTCTCCTGGAAAATTGTGTCACTAACATTGCACAATTATTGTCCAAAAGTGGCACTGGTCCAGAAAACTGTGGGAAAAAATAGCCCTGGTTTCACTTGAGTCTATAAATAACTACAACTGCACTGGGAAAATGTAAACACGATATTCTTTTAGGTAATTTGCAGGGGAGGAAGACATTTTCAAATTATTTACTTTACTAAAAGTAGAAATACCGTAAAGTAAAAGTCCTCTATTCAAACTTGAAGTAGAAGCACTAACAGCAAATGTCATTAAAGCAGCTGTTACCATCTTTTAGCTAATTTATTTGGTTTTCTGGCCCATTTATTGACTGTTTTGGTTCACTCTAACTGTTACTGTAATCATATTATAATTAATTCTTAATCTAGAAAGTGACTAAAGCTAAGAGATAAATGTAGTGGAGTAAAAATATAGTGGATTTGAAGTATAAAGTGGTATAAAATAGAAATACTTCAGTACAGTACTTGAGTTAATGTACTTGTAAAATGCCGCACTCTTACTATTCATGGTATACATGTTTCTTTTTTTCTTTCTTCTTTCTTTCTTTCAGTTTTGGAGCCTCCAGTGCTGCTCAATAATTTGACAGATTGCACCGTCAACGTTAGCAGCTCAGTGATCCTCAGCTGTCTCTCTGAAGGCGTCCCGACCCCAACCATCACCTGGTACAAGGATGAACGTGCTCTGTCTCAGGGATCAGGTAAAAAAACAAAAAAACAAAAACATAAATATACAAACTGTATCTGTATTCTGGTGTCTAAGACTTTGCACCACCATCTTCACAGGTATTGTGATATCACCGGAAGATGGGACCCTCCATATTGATCGAATCACAGGGGAGGACCAGGGCCTGTATACGTGCCAAGCCACCAATGACAGGGGATCTGCAGAGAGCTCTGCCTATATATGGGTCAATGGTCAGTATCTGTATTTTCCAAGCATGTCTGCCTTTGATTGGCTGTGTTTACTTCTTCTCAAAGATAGGACTCTTCCTTATATGGGTACGTCTGAATGTCCATTGTTCCCAGATCTGTAAATAGATGTATCATCTGGATGTACAGACATATAGTACAGTATATCACATTGTTTATATGTAGTATTTATACACAGAGGAACAGTGTGTCAATTCTATTAATGGAAGATGATACGTCTGTTTATCAATTTCTGAGTAAACATTGATCAAAGAAGGTCTGAAGATAATCCAGTGAGGGACATTTTCAGCCTTTTGTTCAGTTTTCCTCATTCACACACACACACACACACACACACACACACACACACACACACACACACACACACTCATATGTCCGGTGATGGCAGAAGAGGCAGAAGGTTCTGCTACACACCCCAGTTTGAACACCCTTCCTAGCAGAAGGTGGATGTACTTCCTAGTCCGGGTCTGGAGAGAGGAGTGGCTGTGTGTGTATGTGTGTGTGTGTGTGGTGTGTGTGTGTGTGTGTGGCTGTGTGTGGCTGTGTTCTGATAAGCCAGGAAGGAAGCTGTCTCCCATTTTATTTCCTCTGGAGGAGCCCTGCCTGCATCTCAAAGAGGCTCCGCACTGTAGTGACAACATTTCTACTTGTTCACATTAAAGAAATAAAAATAAATAATCTTGGGATTTAATGAGGAGGGTGGGTGGTAGCGTTTGTGTATTGTGGTGCGGTGAAAACACAGTGCCCCCATTTGGAAAGGTGGAGAAAATAAAGCATCAAGCACCCGAGTAAAATGATTTATTATAATTTCCATGAATGATCATAAAAGTCCTGTGCAGCTCACTGCAGGCCTTCTTGTGTGCAATAAGTAAATTATTAAAGTACAAGATTAAAACTGATCAAGCACCAATGTGTATTTGTGGTTTGTGTGTATGTGCAGGTGCTTCAGAGGCCTCATTTCTGGAAATTCCCACGCTCACCTGCACCTGTGTGGTGGCCACTCTCTTCTGGCTTTTGCTCACACTCTTCATACGCAAACTGAAACAGGTGAAAGATATCCTATAAATGTTGTTCTCTGGTTTAATTAAATAAATATACTTTACATATTTTATGGATTCTTTTGTAAGTATACAAGTGCTTCACTATATAATTCGACCGACCTATTACTGGTGGGATGTATATGATATCCGTTCAGCAAAAAATGTGTTTTTAGCGCCAACGTTTCAGTCCTTCTCCCTTTTCACGTGTCATCGTTTTGTTACTGCGTTATTGAAAGTTAGTGTATCTGTTTTTGTTGGTGGATACGTGTGGTTGCCAGGTTTTTCTCTAGGCAGTTGCAGTTTAAAGAACATGTAGGTTTGTTTTAGCCACAGTGTAAATACAAACTGCAGAAGTGTGTCTACACACAGATCTATTTCCCATCTTCCAGGCCTCCTTTGTCCCTTTCATGTTTACATACACATCAGTACAAGTAGTACAGTATAAAGAACAACCACACGTTTGGATGTTGAACTGATTAGATTAGATTAGATTAGATTTAAATGTGTCACATGTTTTACATAACCTGGGACATGTATTAAAAATAATAGAATAAGTAGGTATAATAAATATTAATAATTCAGGTACAATAAAACGATACATTAGAGATATACTGTATATAGTTTCAGTTCAGTTTACAGTGGCTCACATCCTCCTCATAAACACAATACTTATTGGCTCCATGATTTAAGATCTCAGATGTTGGAAAATAACAACAACAAATCAATAATGTGTGTGTTAGTATATTATGAAATGTCCCAGAACAACCTCCACTATACTACACTAACACTGGTATTGTACATTGTCTTTTCTGTAGCTGAGAATGTGTTTTAATGTTGACTTATTTTTTTTATTTTACAACAACAAAGCCCAACAGCTCAAACACCAAACCAGAATACCTGTCAATCATTCTGGACACCGGAGAGGGGCCAATAGAGGAGCAGTGTGAGAGATTGCAATATGACCCCAACCAATGGGAGTTCCCCCGGGAGCGGCTCCAATTAGGTACAGTTCTTTATCTCATTAAAGTAAAAGATACAAGAAATTGGTGTTTTTATCCAGCGATCTACTTCAACTGTGAAGGATTACGGGAATGCCCATGCTAACGATGGGGGAGAGGGAAGGTATTCAAGATCACATAACAGATACAAAGACTTTCTCATAGGTCTTATCAGATTATTATTGGGAGTGACTCTCATTCCATTAATCAGACTTTGTGTCTGTGTTGTCTGTGGAGGGCTAATCAACTCCAGCAGGGGGTGTGTAAACTGTGTTGACTGGAACTAATGAGCGCTCACTATCATCAGGGTGGGATTCAGACAGATGGACTGTTGATGGGGTCTAAAGTCTTATCTCACGTCCGGGATGGATGATAATAGTAATTAATAAAGTTGCTCAGTTAGACACAAAAGCACACCTCCCTTTCCCTCCCTGTCAGTCTCACCCACATTCTCTCTCTCTCTCTCTCTCTCTCAGGGAAACCTCTGGGCCGTGGAGCCTTTGGTAAGGTGATGCAGGCTTCTGCGTTTGGTATAGACAACGCCACCAGCTGCAGCACTGTGGCCGTGAAGATGCTCAAAGGTACAAGACTGGATCCCTGGTATCCTGAGAAAATAAAATCACAATCGTGCAAAAACATTAGTACATTTTCTTTTCTGACTTTTGTCCACCAGAGGGAGCTACAGCCAGTGAACACAAAGCTCTGATGACTGAACTCAAGATCCTCAACCACATTGGACATCATCTGAATGTAGTCAACCTTTTGGGAGCCTGCACCAAGCCAGGAGGTGTGTGTGTTTGTGTGTGTGCCTTATTTTGTGCATGTTTAGGTACACTATGAGCTATGTAGATATTTTTGTGTGTGTTAATGCCTTCACACTTTTTTTTATATGTGTTTATTTTCTGTGTGTGCAGGACCACTGATGGTCATTGTTGAGTACTGTTGCTATGGGAATCTTTCTACCTTCTTGAAGAGCAAGAGAGAGGTGTTTGTGCACAACACAGTGAGTATAATAGCACAATGAAAGATGGTGTCACGATAACTGTTTGTCACACAAAACAGAACCTCCATGTCACACATCTTCTTGCAGTTGAGAAAAAAACAAAATTACCCCCCTAACTGCACACAGTTACAAAATCATACACTCAAAAACTAACTTCTGCAATCTGTTTGAGGTCTGAATGTGTTATCTGTACTCAAGCAGGATGTTTACTTCCTTAATTTCTTTACAAGTTTAGACATAACTAAAAACTGTGTCCTCAAAGGTCTCGGTCATGAAAAAAAAATGTTTAAGAATATCTCAATAAATCTCAGAAGACACTTTAGCCTTTTCTCATATAACATTTGCTAACAATGAACTGATTTCACCCCATCTCAGCCGGCCGGAGGAAAGGATGGAGGGCCAGGTTGTGTTGGAAGTGTGTCCTTCAGCCAGAGCAACATTAGAACAGAGTGTGATGGACAAGACGAGAAAGAGAATCAAATGGGTAAGACAGGAGCTTAATGAACATTTTCCTGTGTTTGTGCATCATAAAACTGCTGTATTACATCCCTGTGCACTTCCTCTAGATCCCAAATCTGCCTCCAACTCTCCTTTATTCCTGGAGGATCTCATCTCCTTCAGCTTCCAGGTGGCGCGAGGGATGGAGTTTCTGGCCTCTCGCAAGGTCTGATACACGATGTGTGTGCACGGATACAGGTACACATGTGTGTTTCATGTATATGTAATTATATGTGCACTCTGTGTTTCTACATTAGTGTATTCACCGAGACCTGGCAGCCAGGAACATCTTGCTTTCTGACAATAAAGTTGTCAAGATCTGTGACTTCGGCCTGGCCAGAGACATCTACAAAGACCCCGACTACGTCCGCAAGGGAGATGTGAGTACACAGGAGCCGTCTGGTTCTAAATTCCCCATCTGAAAAGTATTAGATTTGCTTCTTTTTTTTTATAAAATAACAGATGACATCTCAATAAAGCTGTAGTTTGGGGGTTCAGTTTTCTTTGTGTTTTAGCACTGAAAGCATTCAACCAGTAGACCTGATAGTAACACTAATCAAACCAACTGGGAAAAATTGCATTTTTTACTAGATATGTCAAATTAGATATTTTAGCATTTAATTCCAGTATTGAATTTTAATAGTATATCATGTTTTAAAATGAATATGCTCAGTGAGGCTAGTCATAAATAATTCAGATAAGAAATATGTAAAAGGAGTTTTTGCATTTTTTTTGCAACAACTTTTACTTTCTTAAAAGATATAACAGGCAAAAAACTGTATTATATTGTATAAGAAATTCTCAGTAAATGACAAGATTTGTAGTTATTTATGTGGTTGAAACAAACAATTATCTATTATTATTAATGTGAACATAAAATCAAAAAATGTCAAATCTGATACATTCACATTTACAAGTCTAGTTTGAATAAACTTTTTTATTAATTAACTTCTGCTCTCATAAACTTGTTGCTTGTTCTCAAAATATTAAGCAATAAACATCACTCTGTGGCCTAACGACTTTTCAACCAACCAAACACTAAATGTTTCCTCATAAGCGTCCTTTTGTAATCCCTTCTCCTGTGATCTGATTGACTGACAGGCCCGCCTCCCTCTCAAGTGGATGTCTCCAGAGTCCATCTTCGACAAGGTGTTCACCACCCAGAGTGACGTGTGGTCCTACGGCATTCTGCTGTGGGAGATCTTCTCTTTGGGTAGGAAGCCGTGTTACCAAGCTTTGGTCGAAGCATAAACAAGAAGTGGACAAAATAACAGAAATGCAATCCAATACAGAAGCCCTGCAACAAATACTGTGATCTAATACCTCATGGTTTTACATTTTTAAAGCCGTGTTTAGACAATGTTGATTCAATTCTTAACCTGTTCACATATTGATGTACTGATGTGTGTGTGTGTGTGTGTGTGTGTGTGTGTGTGTGTTTGTCTAACAGGAGCTTCCCCGTACCCTGGTCTTCAGATAGATGAAGAGTTCTGCCACAGGCTGAAGGGTGGAACAAGAATGCGTGCGCCTGAATACAGCACACCAGAGATGTGGGTGGATTTGTTTACAACAGTGTTATTGAAATCATCAGGGGAGGTGGCGATGTAGTAAACAGAAAAACACAGATCACTTAAGGGGAAGGGAGCGGTTCAAACCTTCATGTCTTCGGATGTGACCCAGGTGGCGATACTGTTAGTGTTTTGATTGAAAGTGAAACACTACAGCTGTATGTTTGTGTGCGCAGTTACAGCACGATGCTGGCATGCTGGGAGGCCAGTTCCTCAGATCGACCCACCTTCACTAACCTGGTGGAGACCCTCGGAGACCTGCTGCAAGCGAGGGTTCAGCAGGTCAGGATTTCTATAGATGTGACTTCTTCAGGCTTATGGTTTATGTGTTATTTAATGCTCTCAACCTGAGGATGAGCTACATAAAAGGCAAAGACACAAAAATAGTCTTACAAATACCCCAGTTTCTTCCTTCTCTTGAACAGGATGGGAAGGATTATATTCCTCTGGGATCTTTCATGACTGGAGACCCTGGTCGCAGTGTGACCTTTAAAGAAAACCCCCTTGCAGTCACAAACCTGAGGTGAGGAAACAAGAGCGAGGAAGTGAAAACCTTGTGTTGTCTGATCCAGTGCACCCTGACTTAAGATGTTATGTATGTGTGGGTAATCAAGTACTGTTAGGAACTGCTGTAGTATAATAAATACAAAAGAATTGAGAAAAATGACAAGTGCAGATGTGAAAGGGGTGAGAGACTGTGTTAAGAAACTGAAATTAAATTCAGAAACAACAGGAAAGGTTGAGAAAGTAGAGGAATTTCCATTTTGTTGACTGTGACTCTAATCTATAGTTACATGAGGGGTGTGGCCACACTTCAGATATTTGAGGAACTGCCTTGCGAGGAGCCAGACAGCCCTGATGTAAGAAACACACCTTCCCTTCTGCTTGCATGCACACACATGCATCTTTGCTTTTAAAGGTACATGACATTAACTACACGTTTGCTTCAGGATGAGCAGAGCGACAGCGGCATGGTCTTACCATCTGAGGAGCTGAAGCATCTGACGTGGAATAACGGCACCAAGAACCGGAAACTCAGCAGGTGGTGACGTCTAATCTGTGACCTCTAAACCTCTGACACGCCTCGTAACAGCCCAGACATCTCATCATCATGATGATGCACAGTGATGTTGCACATATTATAATGTTTTCAGTTACATACATAGATTACAATCTCTGACTGCTTGTGATATGTCTCCAAAGAAGAAAAGTGCAGACTTGTTGGTTCTATGAGGCAAAATACTAAATAACTCATACAGACATTTTGTAAAAAGATGTTTTAAATGCATGACAGGAACATAAACTAAAACATGTATTAATCAATAAATCCACTAATTAATGCATCATGTTCACTTAATGCATAATAAACAAGTTAGTTTGTATGTTTTTTGGTGTTTAGGTTCTTTTCCTTCACTAAGTGCCGGGAAAACCAGGGGCCTTTCCTGTGCAATGACATCACAGGTCTCCGTGACGACCAGCCATCTATCTTGCCGTGTGATTGGGAGTCTGACGAAGACGGCTCCCCTCCTCCAGACTACAACTCTGCTTTTCTTTACCCCTCACTGTAGCATCTTCTCTAGCTCTTCGACAACTTTCACAGGGTATATGATTTTTAGTGAGTCGGAGCTCATTCTGCTATTTCACCTCCGCTGTTTGCATCCTCTACCTCATTATATCTCCACGTAGTCTTCTCTCCTCTTCCTCCGCTCTCTTGACGTTTTTTCCTTTAAAAACCATATGCTGTCGTACAACAAAGCTTCCTCACTGTTCATCTTCATTCACCACACATAACGCCTTCCAAGAGCAGCTCGGTATTACCTCATTGTACTTACCACACGCAGTTATGGAGAATGTATTTACTGACCTACAACTATTAGAGCTTATTGTATTGGTACCTCATGTGCTGAGCTTTGTGAAGAGGAACACTGCTGTATGAAATAATTGTTTCTCCTGCACAGCTACTATATGCTGGAAGAAAAAAAAGTTAGCCACTGAATTATAGTATGTGTTAGACAATATATATCTGTATTTATTTGAATGCTGTAATCATTTGGATGAGTTACTTGTTAATCAAGTCTGTATCTGACCTTTTGTGAATGTAAATGTACACTCAGTTGCCAATTTATTAGGTATAGCACTGCAATAACTTTCATTAAGGTTATAATGTTAATTTGTATTGTTTTAGAAAGGTGCACCTCAACAGTATCAATGAGGGTGGACAAGATATTAGAAACACCTCTCAGTTTAGCGTAAGACAAACTCAAAATCACCAGTTACAGTTGAATCGTCTCTCGAAAAGGTTTCAACAAAAACACTATAACCTTCATGAACACAGGATTAATTGCAGGCAGTTTGTATTAGACTGTGTTGGTTTTAGTTAGATGTACCTAATGATCTGGCAAGAGTGTGTATTTAATTCTATATTAATTATCCTTAAAACAGAATCGGCACAAACTCATATCCCTGCTGTTTTTTGTTATATATGCCATTAGTGTCACTTCCATCGATTGCTGTTGCACAAACCATTAGAGCTAAAACAATCTGTCGATTGATGGAAGATTGATTTAAACAACGACTTTGATAACCAATTAAGTAAATTTTCCAAGCACAAGCTACCAAATGGTCCCCAGTTCCAGCTCCTCAATTGTGAGGATTTGCTGTTTTTCCTTTGCTTTAGGTGGCAGTAAATTGATTATATTTGGTTATATGTTGGTTAGGCAAAACAAGACATTTGAAGACATCAACTTTTTGACAAAATACCAGTAATAACAAAATGATTAATTACAACAGATAAATGGTTAATGAAAGCAATCATTACTTACAGCCCTAAAATCAAAAGTATCAGCATCTAACCCACTTTTTAAAGATCTATACACACCTGGTGTTAACATGTTATCTGTGTATGAAGAGTGAAATCTGGTTACTCAACTGCATTGACATGTTTTTTGTTTTCCAGATACAGATATCATGTTTTAAATGTGGTCTGGAGAATATAGTTTCAGCCTCATGATACAGCAATTTCACTTTGTTATACATTAGCAAGGAAGTGCAGAATTGCTTGTGTTTTCAGTTTTAAAGATAATTAATGATTGAAGAATGTAATCATAACTCATTGTAATGTACCCAAATGTAAAAAAAAAAAAAAACACCAGATCCTGCATGTATCACTTTTGGTATTCTTTATTAAAATACTGCTGTACACACAAATATTGCAAAATTTGAGACAATGAACACAAGAGGGGCATAAAACATACTAAGATGGTGATTGTAGGTGTGTTGATGTGGAGGAGAAGATGGCCATCACTAATAATAACTGGAGTGTGTGTTATGATGTGGAAGATAGTGATATGAGCACTGACGCTGTGTGGGCCGAGTTGGGGGGGGGGGCATGTGTGTGAGTATGAAGTGTATCTGTGTGTGTTTTGAGGGTTTTCTAAAGCACCACATTCACCAAATATGTTTTTGTCTGTTCATTTCACTAAAACAGAGGAAGTAGTACATGATCTAACACAGCCAGCTCCCTGCAGGTTTGTTGCCCATAAGTACAGACCATTTGACTTCCACGACAACCGACTGCAGCCAAGACAATGTTCTTGTTTTAGGCCTTTCACCTTGATCTGTCTCATATGAGTGACCTTGTTTTTCTACGGTCTTACGTTTGTACACATTCGTCAAAAAAGCTACTGAGAACAAGATGAAGGCAAAAGAACCAAGAACAAGAGCTTTGATTGATCTATAGACTGATCTGGCCGAAGCAGGTTTGCACCAAATTCATTAAGTCAAGAGATTTAAATCATCAACGGGATATGACCTGTGCTTAAGGGCAACATGAAATCCCACACAGCATGATCGCCACAATGCTGTCAACTTCCTAAAACCTCAATCTGAAGACGTCCCACCCACTCCCACTGTAGCTCATCTATCTGACTGGACAGGGGGCAGCCAATGACAGCCAAACACATTCAATCATTGGGCCCCTCCAGCTGTTTGTCGTCCTGAGAGAAATCCAAGCCATTCGAGTGAGTGCAACAGCCAGTGTCACTGCTTTGTCTCCAGCACAATGTATATCATGATCTTTAAAAGTCAAATAAAAAAACAAAACAAACTGTTGGTGCCCTGTTCCTATTCTCGCCTTCGCCCCTTCCCCTTTCCCTAAACCCCTGCTGGAATTGGTCCACAGATTAATAAAGTTGAATTGAGGCAAAAATTAATTGCCCTCCCATTTCCCACCATGCATTACTGCACAAAATTTGAGCAAAGAGAAAACCAGCTAGAAAAATCACAAAAAGCGTCACTTTTTCTCAAATGTTGAGGGGCCAAGACCCCCTGAGGGGGAAGTGAAGTTTGGGTTAAAAGTAGGAAGAGGAGGGGAGAGTAAGAGAGACAGAAAGGGGACGTTGTGAGGAGGGAGGGGGACAAAATAAGGACATTCCACAAAGAGGCAGCTGTGGCTCCACCTCAACAGAAGCCCCACCCACAGGCAACACCCAAGTGCTAGACAGCCAAACCAAAATGACCCGTCCTTGAGCAGTTCATGGCGCGACAGTGTCCATTAACCAAAGGTGGTTGCTGTATACGTAACAAACACTTGGTAGACGGCATCAGGAGAAGACACCCCTTCCTCAGTGCCAACAAAAACCACGTTTAACCCCCAAAATCCCAGTCCACGTTAGCCCACCCACCCACACATATGAGCCTGATGTTCCACTATCTCCTGAACTAAAATGTCAGAAATCCATAGATATTTTCCAGTTTTTAAGAACCCTTCCCACCCACCCAAGTGGTTTGTCCTTTCTGAGGGGGAACCAACAACCAAGGCAAAGGTGGGCTGGCCCATTTCATGAAACTGGTGCCATCCCGCCCCAATAAAAGCCTCGAGTGGTGTGTCCCGTCTCCTAGAGCGTCACAATGAAGGGGTGTGGTCTCCAACCGGAAGAGAGACAGTCAATAGAAAAGCTGGATTTCTTTTTTTGTTTGTTTTCATTCTTAAGTCTGCTCTGGTATTTATGTCCGTGTGTGACTTTAGCTCTCTCTGTACACCCTGTAGGCCACTCACACATTTTCATAAAAATAACAAAAATTAACAAAAAAATTAAAATCTTAGTGCATCCTCCTCTGAAAAATAAACCCCAATTGTAGAAATAAACAATAAAAGCAGGAAAAAAGTTCAAAACCTCATGGTTTGTTTTTCGTTTTTGTTCCCCAAATCTAAAAAAAAGTCATCATACTCGTTCATCACAGCTTCCGTATTTGTCCTTTTTCTTTTTCCTTTTTTTTTTTCCTTTTGTTTTATGATTTTCAGCTGCGGGGTTTAGGAAAACTAAAAAAAATACACTTTAGAAAAAAGCCTTCCTGGTGTGACAGGGTCAGTGTATGTGACTGAGGTTCACGAAGCCCTGCCCCGCTGCCTTCGCCATGCTGATGTCATCTCCATGAGCCTGGTCCTCCCCTGTAGTGCAATAGTGTGCTCCAGGTCCGGGAAGTCCCACCCCGGGCCCGAAGAGGGCGCTACAGAGAGCCGGAGGCTGCGGCCTGCAGCTCCTGGAAGGTACTGTCGAAGCAGCGCTTCAGGTCCGAGTAGGTCACAACCAGGACGCTTTTTTCATCCCGAGACACCAGGCTGATCTTCTCAGGAACGCCCGCGTCCAGCTGCGTCAACACAAGAAGATAGAGTAAAAATACAGACAAACATCTGCAAACATATGGCTGCTTGATTCTGAAAGAAAAATCCTTGGAATATTTTAAGGATTTTAAGTAGAGTTGCAACAATTAGTTTATTAACAGATTACTCAATCGTCACAATCCTCTTTATAACCAAAGTAAGTCATTTTTTAAGCAAAAACAGTCCCAAACCTTCAAAGCTTCTCACATGTGAGGATTTCTTAAAATTTTCTTTATCTTATGTGACCAATAACTCAATATCTTTGGGATTTGTAATCCCATTCTCCTCTAGGCATAATATTATTGTTATTGAGAATATGCTAGCATGCTGGTGTACATCCTGACAGAGCCACTAACATCGTTGTAGATTCTCAGTCTTGTTTCAAGGCGGATTTGTACCACATGAAATTTGGATAGAAAACTTGACCTGCATTTAAATGCAGAAATCTGAATTCCTCAGCTTTCCATGACACTAAGTAAATGTCATGACATCCATCTGAGACGAAAGGAACTAAGCAGATAAGACTTGGAGCTCTGTGTAACATCACCTTGGGCTTTAGCACATTGTGACTGTGACGAATTTTAATTTCCGACATCTTGCCACCAAATGATTAATCAAGAAAATAATCAGCAGCTTAAATTATTTTTAAATATAATTAGTTAGCTGAAGCACTAATTTTAAGCAAGTAGGTAGGTGGCCAGTAAGATTTCATGCAGAACTACAGATGAACGTATGTAGCGCATTTAACTTGTAAGTGAAAGGTTGTGTGCAGACTTGTGAAATGCAAAATGGCACAGCTTTAACCAGCATCACACTTTGAGAAAAGAGGAACAATAGAAATGAGAAAATAAAGAATTACATGATAAATCTATAACAAAGTTAAGTTGAATAATATGTTTGTTTTTTTCTTAGAACAAACAAACTAGCTTGAAAGTCCTGAGATATTAGCATTTCCGCTGCTCCTGCCCATAACCAGCTGGTAACCAAATACCAAATGTCACTGGTGGAAGTAGGCCAATAATAGACCTATTTTCAATCTCTCTCTTCTGCAAACAGCTGGCAAATGCATGCAAGTGTTTTTAGTCAGTGCATAGGAAGCATGAACAGATGTTACAAAAATAGGCCACTGTGACTAATGACCTCATTATCATGGACAACCTTTTCAAATTTGTGGCTGTGGCTATTATTAATGTAATTTAAAAAAAAGAGAGAAGAAAGTTCACTGACTTTGTTGAGGCAGGAGACAATGTGGCTGAGGTCGATCCAGGGCGTCCCAGCTTCTGTCACCTGGTGAAACAGGTGATCCCGGAAAAGCTTCAACAGGTAGCGGTCGCCCGTCTCCGACCACGTCGGGTCCTTCTGAAACCTGAGTCACACAATACAAGGTCACAGACGAGTAACAGAACCACAAGTCGCTTATATTGGTTGATCTTTATACAAGTGCTACTTACTCCGGCCGTTCGTTGATGGTGCCCAGTTTGGCCAACAGGCGGAAGAGACGGCCATTTTGCACCTCCTGAAAATAAACAATGATATGTATTCATTCATTTTCACCAGCCACAAACATTTTTAAATGTTATTTTTGCCTTCATTGTACTCGGTATCGAACCGTGGACGTTGCGGTTTCTTTAACCATTCATCTACCAGGGCGCGCCAGCAGTTCCAAACATATTCAGAAAAATGGACAGTCAGCATCCCTTAAGAAGGTTTTTTTGAGCAACTGCACAGAAAGGATACTCGTGGAAAGTTGCATCACAGAAATAAAACTTAAAAACCAGACTTTAAAGTAATCATTTTCTTAACAGACTAAAGATGGTATGAACTTAAACTAACAAACTTTTAATTCGGCACTAAGTGAGGAAAATATTCTGCTGCTGCTGCTGGAGGGAGGGCCGGGAGCCAGGTCCAACACTCTGTTTTCTGCTATCTTTTTTCACTATTATGGGTGATTAGTATCTTGCTAAAACACAACCCACAATACAGCAGTTTAAAGATAAGCTAAGAGGCCTACATCAGCAAAGAAGTCAGGACATTTCTGGTCTGTGTTTATTATGCAGGCTACAGGGTATCTGGTGTTCTGATCTTACTATAAATTCAGCAGTGTTGACAAAGCTTCATACTAAAAGATAAATCACATGTACTTACAAAACAGCTTGAATTAGAAAGATCTAATGTCAGTCGTATAACCTGCTTCAAAATAAAGACCTGGTCCCCCTATCCTCGGCCACTATTTCAGGATTTGCAGTATGGTATTTTAGAGAAAATATGTATATCGCAGCATAGCCTAAATATATAATTATAGATATCATTTAAAATCGAGTTTTTGAATCAGAATTTAAAGACCTCTTGCGGCACATGAAAAAGGTAAACTTTCAAGCGTATGACGCAAATGAAACGATCATCATCCATATTTGTATATATTCCATCAACCAAAGCTTCACTGGGGGGTTGTGAGGACTTTTTATTCATTTATGTTAAGAATACTACATGAAATTGTTAGTTTTTAGGTTTATTAAGATTTAAACTTGAACTCATCCTGCATTAGAAAAGTTCAAACAACCAAGGAGCTTCTACAGAGTTTGCCATGTCGAACCACAATGTTTCTACAGTAGCCCAGAGTAGACAAACACAGGCTCTAGATAGGACCTTTTCAAGTTTTTACACTGAAGTGATCAACGGTAGGTTCTTCTGTGAAAAAGGGAGGGGGATTCAGTTGGTTGCAATCTGCAACTTCCCCACTAGATGTCACTACATCCTACACACTGGTCCTTTAGTACCCCACCACTACAAATTCTTCAATCTAACATTACAATGGTAAAAGGTATTTAAGTATATTGTAGCAAAATGTATTTATAAAGCAAAAAAACATTCCCTGTCAGTGTATTCCTATTATATCTGTATTTTGAGTTAAACATCAGGCATGCATCAGAATAGAATAAGAAGTTATCAAAATTGAGAGCAATTTATTTTTCAGAATACTACAGTGATGATAATCCCTTTGCTTTTTAATGTTGTACTATATATGTATGTTGTATTTTAACTACTTTATATACTGCTGGGTAGTTTGATTTACAGCAATGCATCGTATTCTATAAAATCATCACGATTGTAGTGTGAAAAAAAGGTCACAAAAACATCCTGTTTTCAGCTTTGCAATGATGCATTTTCCAGCTAACCCAAGAGGGGTATTAAAAAGTGTATTTAGATTAATGAGTAGGGGAATTTTCTCAACACATGAACTAACACTTAAGCTGTTAAAATCCACTGGATCTGCAGTGGACCAGAAGAGGTGTAACATCTGACACAGGCGTAGTTGACAGAATATAGAACGTATGTGGTGGTTTTCATATTTGTAACATTAAGCATGGCCTCATTAATGCTACTCAAAGATGAGCTACTGAAGACGACAACCAAAAATAAATCATTTTTACTTCACGTTTAGGCTGATGTAGTGTGATGATGAGGAGGAAAAAAATAGGTTATTTTAAAGCAGTTAAAAGGACACCAGGGACTTTGATGCTGCCTGTCTTGTCTCTGTTCAATATTAAGAACTAATGTGGACATTGATTTGCAATAATTAATAACTATAGATGCTAGTCTGTATCGTAATTGAGTATATAGGTTAAAACAATATGTTGAATAGCCTTTAAGCATTTGTTTTGTAGTATTTACTTTTCATGTTCTTCACTTCAAATAACAGTAGTAGCAGTACATATGAACATATTGTTAGATGCAAGGAATATGCTTACCCCCTATTTGGAAGGCTAAGGACTGAAAATGTTACTTTCTCTGACTTTAGGTATAGTGAATAACTTTGGCCACAGCAAGTATAATTTTTTTAAATTGAAGTTTATGAAATGGGGAGTTTTCTATATAAAAGTAAAGCGGTGATTCACCATAAAGAGCCAGAAAATAATCTTTTTTTTAATGAGAATTTACAGACACAAGCAGATGTTGCTGGTAATATTTTTTAAAACAGAATTGCATCAAGTGCCAGAATCTTATTTTGCTACTTTCCCCTTTGTTTCAGGATACTCCCTGCCCCCAATTTTCATATTTATGCAACTACTTAGGCTATTTCAGTACCTTAATATGGCATTTACATAATTCTGACAGACACAACTAAGTTGGTAGTGCTCGTTATCAACTTGTGATGGCCCAAGCTATAGGCTAAGAGGAAATAATAGTGAAAAAAGGTAGCAGAAGGAACTAATAAATGAAGAATGAACAAACATTTCTAGAGTCAGAGGCGTATGTGACAATTCCTCCTTTAAAAAACAGGGACCCCTTTAAAGGAAGAACACTTATCATTGTGGGCAACACTGTCAGAAACTGAAACTCTCACTTGACTTTCTGTCTTAGATTGTGCAGGAGCACACTTCCTCCTTACTCAAAGTCAAACAGAAAGAGCTGCATTTTCTTCTAAAAAGACAACAGTGGCGAGCTTCTGAAGATCAAAGCCAAGTGTAAACTAATATTGAGAGATATCTGGATGTTCAGAGGACTAGTAATACTTTAAAATATGGGCACCTACAGATACGATTAAAACTTGCTGTTTTTGAAGTTGTAGCTCACCTTTCACCTCTGCAGATATAATTTACTCCTGCCTCTCCTTTCTCTTCCTCCTCTCTGTCTGTCTCACCCTGTCAAACGTTTTCTGCACTGTTGGACAAAGTGAAAAGTATTGAAAAACAATCAACTGATCACGTTGGCATCCTCCAACATTAGTTGCTCATAAGCAACTAATAAAAGGGAATTTAAAGGGTATTTTTTACTTGGACCGTATTATTATGTGTCCTTGATGAATAGGGACAAAGAAAATTGAAAATGGTCCAGTATTGAGTGAGAGTGCTGCAGCCAGCAGCAGTACAATGGCCTGTAACGTACTCCTTAAAGGCAATTGTGAACCGTAAATAAACTAAAATTGCTTATTTTTGCCAATGGCTCATTTTGTTATTCTAAGTGTCATTATGGAAATTATCCCTACCGATATAGACCTTTTTGTTAAAGACTGAGATCCTACATTTCTTGTTATATTTCCCTGTTCAAAGCCACCAGACTCCATTGAACCTTGCAGAACATGGGCGTTGCTGGTCTGTGTTTGCCTTGATCAGTTAGTTTGTGTTATTGTGTGATTTGGTGTTTTAAACCCTTTGGAAAATACCAGTCACAAAATAATTTCCAATACAGATGTTCTTTTTGGGGCCAGCATCTACAGGCTGTCACACTGCATTAGTGTGCCGACGTCTCCTAAATATCAGTGATAAGCATTTCTCATATTAAACATCTGTTTGTTTGAAATAAAGTCAATGAGAGATATAACCTAAAAAACAAAAAATGTTTCAACCACAGCCAGAAGCTTGTCATAATAGTGATGTGGCAATGAAGCCGCCACCATGGCATCCCAATACTTCTCCTGAAATCCTACCCATGCTAAGATTGAACACAGTTAGGAGTGGAAGGGAATTAAAAACAAACACAAATGTGTTTTTCTTGGCCATCACACAGATTTTTGTATTTCTGAAAATAGCAAAGCTTAAATCTTTTGTCAACAAAAAGGCTCACCAGGCAAATAAGCAACACTGCTAATATTATCTGTTTGCGCATTCAGCTAACACATAATGCAGAGGTTGCCGGGTAAACAGGAGATGTTTACTCTCCCCACCAGCACAGATATCAGCAGATCACAGGAAAGCGACCCTATTTTTGTAGCTCAATGCTCTAATCTTCAGCTGTTTTCTGAGGAGGTAAAACACCAACACAAACTACTTTGTTGGGCAGACCTGTACAGAGGTAAAGTAAAGGGGAAGTTAGGGCATGAACGAGAAGAAATGTGAAGGGTTGGTTTTCTTCACACATTCACACTCTAACATGGGGAAACTAAATTCAAGACGAGGCTGCAAAGTCTACAATATACCGTACAACATCCTGTGTGCACACAACTTCCCTCTTAGCTCACCAAACCAATACCCTTTATCAGGCCCCAACCCAAGAATATAAGCCTTGACTGAATCATTTGTACTCATGCTTTCAGTTTGGTGCCTTATGAGACAGAAACTCTCACTTTGTGTTTTTAAAAACATTTCCCGGAGCAAAAACGTTGTGCCCCGCATATACCTTGGCCAGGTCCTCCTCAATGACATCATTCCTCATCTGAGATGCATCAAGTTGTGTATAGAATCGAGCTCCAATCATCGGCATAATGTCATTGACGCTGCGCAGGCGAGACTGTTCAGTCAGCAGATACCTGTACACACACAAAAACATGAAAACATCTGTTGAGTTGGAAAGGCTGAATACTGCTGTACAATGTCACCAACACTCAAATCTTAAAGGAACCTTTTTAAGTAAGGTGATAATGTAAACACTGCAACAACTTCACAGGTTGAGCAGTTATATTTTTAATTGGGTGACTACACGATCATGCATAACAGCAAAGAAAATCAGGTGTAAACACGAAATGAAGAAGTAAAGTGAATTGATCAAACCAAGCACAGTGTGCTCAGAAGTTAAAGTGTAAGTGCATCAGTCTTATCAAGACACAAAGGTCTACACTCCTCTAAGGTATCAAGAAGATACCGTGCCCTTGACCTCACACTTCTAGATTATAAATTACAAGAATGTTCAGATGCATTTTCAGCTCCTTGCAAACAGTCAATATAGACTTCTTTGGCCTGCGATGCTCCCTACCTTGCCATCTCACACATTATAAACATATATTCACTTATATGTACAGTTGTGGTCAAAAGTTTACATACACTTGTAAAGAACATTATGTCATGGCCATCTTGAGTTTCCAATAATTTCTACAACTCTTATTTTTCTGTGATAGAGTGATTGGAACACACTTCTTTGTCACAAAAAACATTCATGAAGTTTGGTTCTTTTATGAATTTATTATGGGTCTACTGAAAATGTGACCAAATCTGCTGGGTCAAAAATATACATACAGCAATGCTAACATTTGGTTTCATATCCCTTGGTCATTTTCACTTCAATTAGGCGCTTTTGGTAGCCATCCACAAGCTTCTGGCAAGCTTCTGGTTGAATCTTTGACCACTCCTTTTGACAGAATCGGTGCAGTTCAGCTCCATTTTTTGGCTTTCTGACATGGACTTGTTTCTTCAGCATTGTCCACATGTTTTCGATGGGGTTTAAGTCAGGACTTTGGGAAGGCCATTCTAAAACCTTAATTCTTGACTAATTGCTTGACAGTAGGCATGGTGTTCTTGGGGTTAAAGGCCTCACCTTTTCTCCTCCAAACATTTTGCTGGGCATTGTGGCCAAACAGCAAAATTTTTGTTTCATCTGACCACAGAACTTTCCTCGAGAAGGTCTTATCTTTGTCCATGTGATCAGCAGCAAACTTCAGTCGAGCCTTAAGGTGCCGCTTCTGGAGCAAGGGCTTCCTTCTTGCACGGCAGCCTCTCAGTCCATGGCGATGTAAAACATGCTTGACTGTGGACACTAACACCTGTGTTCCAGCAGCTTGTAATGCATTGCAGACCTGCTTTTTGGTGGTTCTCGGTTGACTCTTGACCATCCTGACCAATTTTCTCTCAGAAGCAGGTGATAGCTTGAGTTTTCTTCCTGATCGTGGCAGTGACACAACTGTGCCATGCACTTTATAAACAATTGTTTGCACAGGTGCTCTTGGGACCTGTAGCTGCTTTGAAATGGCTCCAAGTGACTTTCCTGACTTGTTAGAGTCAATGATTCGCTTTTTCAGATCCGTGCTGAGCTCCTTTGACTTTCCCATTTTAGCGTTTCTGGCCGAGTCTAATGATTGTATCAAATGAGCCCTATTTAAATGGGCCCAGCTGTAGTCAATCATAATCACTCACAAGAAGTTAAGAGGCCATGCTAATTTAATTGACACAACCTTCTACATAACCAAAATTGATAATTCATGTTGCTCTATATGTATTCATGACCCAGCGGATTTGGTCACATTTTCAGTAGACCCATAATAAATTCATAAAAGATGAATGAATGTTTTTTGTGACAAAGAAGTATGTGTTCCAATCACTCTATCACAGAAAAATAAGAGTTGTAGAAATTATTGGAAACTCAAGACGGCCATGACATTATGTTCTTTACAGGTGTGTGTAAACTTTTGACCCCAACTGTAAGTGCTGTGGAAAATTACAACTGCTGATTAAACTACTATCATGAACAACATGACTGGTGTGAGTGGATGTCTCAATCAGAGTTCTAGGAAATAAACAGCGATCAGATATACATAAAAGCTTACCACTGACGCTGAAATGAAAACCTTCAACCTTTTAAAATGAATAATATAATTTCCATACTGAACTTTGATAACAACCCTAACCTCAGGGTTCACAGGTTTTGTATTTATGGCAATATTAGTTTACTGGAGTATGTACTGCATTTTACTACAGATGTTTATCAAAACTGGTTTGCATGATCATTCCTCACAGACAGAATATCTGAGAGATAAAAGGGATCATTTGGGGCAAAGTTACAGCCTTGGGACAGCATGACCACACAAACATGGGACTACGGCTTGTGGTCAGCAGAAAATGAAGGAAGTTTCTTGTTTCCAACATGCAAGGAGATGAACTGGTGTACTTGATCAAGAGCATGTGGATATGGGGAGACAGAAATTTTGTCCAAAACCAGAGTTGACCTAAGCCAGGCATTTCTTTCTGGGCTGCGTCCAACTTTAAGATTTTATGCAAAATTTTATAGGTGGTGTCGGAAGTGAAGAACACATGCTGCGTCGTGGTGCACCCACTCCCTTTCTTACAGAATGAGGTTCTTGAGGTCTGAAGAGTAGTTGATGGACACCAGCTCCATGGCCTTCTGCAGGTTCTCCCTTTGAATGCCAGCCAGGGAGTTACATGCCAACGCCAGCACCACCTTGCCCAGGGACACTAGGTCTGCTTGCTTTAAGACAAAACACATCACATAAATACACACATCAATGACATAAAAAAAACATATCCTAAAGAGCTTTAACAACAGTTTCTGGAGCTGTCAAGTAAATTAAGTCATAACTCTCTATTATGCATGCTGTACAACTCTTTTGCAATGTATATTCACATGTACCACAATCTACATCATAGGAGGTACCTGGTACTGTGGCATTAGGGCAAGATGATTGGTCTGACTGTTGTCAAAGGTTAAGACATCAAACACCCCAACACAGTTCACCCGTAACCTGCAGAGACAAGAGACCATTATCATCAATAGTCAATGTGTGCATGTCTGTATTGAGTGTTCAAAACCACAGAGTTGTGAAAAAAAGGAAGCCCAAAGTGAAAATACTCTTCCGCTTTTTATGCATTTACAGTTAACAGTCATATCTACACTTTCTGACATTGAAATAGAAATGTATGCAGTTCCGTACACCACCATTTACGGTTATGTGTGACAGGCTCCCACCAGCAATTAATCAACCTCTGCTGAATGATGATGGAATGTATTTATACATGTGCATACCTGGTCTTGCCAGTAATAAGAATCTTGCTGGGGTCCATGACACGGCAGGCAAGGCCAGCAGTGTGGATGGTGCGCAGGGCCGAGCTGAGCTGGACAATGTAGGCCCAGATCAGAGACTCTGGGAGCAGACCTGCGTGCTGCCGTGGTGGGGGGGGTTCATGTTGTCCTGCACAAAAAGACATGCTTTATCACACAAATGCAGCCTGAAGGGTTAGAAATTACTTATGAACTGAACCTCAAACTGTCATCAATTTCCTTGGCAATCAGGACAAACGGTCTCTCATAGCTGTGATGTCAGCAAGACACGTCATTTTCAGTCAGTCTAACCTGGTTTTCCTGATCAATTAATCTGCTGATTAATTTCACAATGAAGCAAAGGGTCTCTATAATGTCAGATAGTAACAGTAAAAAGTAGCCATCAGGATTTCCTAAAGCCCCACGTGACTTCAGATTGCTTATTTTGTCTGAAAGATATTCAGTTTACAATTATATAAAACTGAAATCCTCATCTGGCATGTTTATCATTATTGCTTTAAACTGACATACACTGATTGACTAATTGTTTCAGCTCTTGTATAAAAGAATGTAGCTCACTGTTAACATCACCGGCATGTTTATCACTTCAGACCTCTTGTAATATTGTGTGACACTTCAGAAACATAAGGTTGGGTAACACTACTCAGAAGAATGTCTTAGGGTGTGTACTGCACAACAAAAGCCACAGTTTCACACTGAGAACGCCAAAGACGGCCAAAATGTTTGTTCCCCTAAAGACCATTCCAGAAAGAAATGCATCTGCACTGGGTCATCCAGTGCTTTTGGGGTGTTTTCTTGTGCAATTCTGTACAATTCATACATTATGGTTTGTTATCACTGTAAACAGACTAAATAAAACCCAGGGTCTGAATGGTTTTGCTTCCTCTGTCTGCAATCCAGTAGGTAGGCCATACAGCACCTGCCCTAGGATCAGTTTCAGCCACAGTTTCCTCCAAGTCCCCATGTCTCTCTTGCACAGACACACACAGGCTAACTGTCAAACTCCAAACACTTGAATCATTTTCGAAGCTTCGAGACATCAACAATAATAGTTTTAGACATTTAAACTTCTACGGAAGTGCGTCTTTATTTTAACTCAACCAGTTTGTTTTATACACAATCTAAGCCATCAAATGTCGGATGCAAGCACAACCGCATGTAATGAAAACATAAACCCAAATAGACCTAGGTCGATGACCTCATTAGAAACGCATAAACAAACACAAAATGTGTGAAGTGAAGGGGTGCAGGGGGGCGTCTGAGCTGATGTGATAAAGGAAGGGAGGGAAGACCAACTCACCCCACTTCCTCTTGGTAAAATACGAGTCTGCTGCTGGGTCATTGAAGTGTCTGCTGAACATGGTTTCTGCACCTGCATGGAAGTCATAGGAGAACACCAACGCTAGGAAAAGACAAAAAGAATAAAGGTTAGAGATCAGAAAACTGAATCAGTAACAGTCTATAAGCAGCTATACATACTTTTATTCAACTAATTATTGCCACTTCATCTTAAATTGTCCTCACTAGAGAATAAAGCACAATGGAAAACTAGGTACTTCATTGCTCCTGCTAACTTTTGAGATCTAAGAAAGCAAAAATTAAGTGGCAAATGTCCACCTTAAAAAGGGCATGATTGCAAAACTAATAAACAAACAAATCAACACAGTTCTGGAGCAGGTTAATATTAGGTCTGGGCCATTAAAAAAAAAGACAAATTAACAATATCCAGAACACACAAACATGGAATTAAATTCACACACAAGTCCTGCACGTAAAAAATGCTTATACACAATACACACTCACAGTGGTCTCCAAAGGCCTTTGTGGTGAAGACCTCCCTCAGTGTTACAGAGTTTGAGTGCTGAATCTTCTTCCACATGTCCACCAGCATCATGCACTTGGTGTTAACAAGGCGGAAACCTGGACACACAATAGGCAATTAATAAACAAACATTAGGGATTAATCAACCAGTTTTTTTCAAACTTGCTACCTTTGCTAGTTGGTTAAAGAAATAAGTTTGTTAAATGTTTATATTTTCAAGTATGTTTTACAACTCCAGTTAACCGTTGTGTCTACATGGTTACACAGACACCTGCCACTAGCCAGAGCTGCAGTTCCAGTCATGGCAAAGCAGCCCTTCTCTCCCTGCGCCTGGATTTTTCCGTGTGTGTACACTAGACTAGCTGAAAACTTGGCAGCGGGTCTGTGAGGTGCTCTTAGCAAGTGGGGAGTGGATGACAAGGTCATCGTCTGTGTCCACAACAATGTGAGCAACATGGTACTGGCAAACAACAACCTGCTGGATTTGGCGTCAGTACCTTGTTTTGCCCATACCAGGGCTCCGGAGTGCGGCCAAAATTGTGCAACTAATAATTTTCCTAGGTCGCAACGGTGCACCTGACGCTGGCCGGGTGAAAACATAAATTTAGTTCAAAAGCGCATCATCTCTCTGTGTTCTCCTGTGACCGAACTCACACACTCATGGTAGGATCATATCGTGTTCTAAACCAATAAGAGACAGAGCTCGGGCGGGTCTTTGCCTCTGATTGGCTGTGGTCCTGTTCACCGCGCTAAGTTGTGTGTGTTTAAAAATTACGCGCGACCTGAGCGCCAGAATAGCTGACTAAATGAAACGGAAAAATAAAATAAACGCGACAAAACGAGGGAAAATGAAGAGGGGCAGAAATATTGAAAGTTTTTTTCAAAACCAAGCCTACAACCAGCCCTACTACTATAACCCCATCCATCCCCACTACTGAGAGTCCATCCCGTCAAGACACGGAGCCCTCGGTCCCTGGTGAGATACCAAGCCCCGGTCCTTTGGCGACAGCATCAGATTCGGAACCAGAGGAGACAACCGAGTCTGGGATAGAGCCCGGCTCCGAGACCCAAATTAAAAAGGCCAAAATATATTCCTTCAGACAGGACTGAAGGAAACAATTTCCCTGGCTGAGGTACAACAAAGGATGCAACGCAATGCACTGCGTGTACTGTCAGGAGTGCAGTCAGAATATGGCCGGAAATAGTGCATTTGTGAGCGGGTCAACAACGATTCGTATCGAAACTTTAAAAAACATAACATGTCTAAAAAACACACGATATGCCGTGACAAGTGTGTAGAGAAAGTGGCCCCTCTCCCAGCTGCATTTCAGCGGCAGGTAGTAGTAATCAGGTCCTCTTTTATTTGGAAATGTTTTATTTTGCTTAGTGTTTTAGTTTGAAATGTTCAATTTCTGCTCAGTGAAGCACTTTAAACACTTTATTTTTCTTTTTATATATAATTGTGCTTCAAATAAAGACAAGCATTTTTCTACACCTTATTCTTGTTTAAAAATCATTCACATTATATGAAAGTTATGGAGAGCGATAAAAAGGTGACCTTATGGCGTTAAAGGCGACGCAATGAAAAATTTGGGTGCACCTACATTTTGTGCTGGCGCACCTAAAAAGGGAAGTTAGGCGCATCAGTGCAACCAATGCAAAAAGTTAGTCTGGAGCCCTGCATACTCTGCAATTACCCATAAATGATGGATTAAAAATAAACACCCTGCTGATTGCATGCATGAGACTGGTGAGCCATTTCCACCACAGTACTGTGGCCACTGTGGCGCCAAACAAAAGCAAAAAAACAGGATCAACAAGGCCTGCCTGCACACAAATATACAGTTCTGCAAGACACACTTGAACTCCACCTGTGACATGTTCCAGTACATCCATAAATATGGATGGACCATCATCACTGTTCTGTCAGACAGAAACTACACTGAACCAAAAAGGAATAAAACTTGCTTAATCTCGATATTTCAGAATTGCTATTGAGAGTCCACTCAAGATGAGCTGGAGCACTGCTGGATGGAAACCTGCATCAGACCTAATAAAGATCCACTGTGTGGTGCTACACAAAGACGCAGCGCTTTCCAAAACTATGTCAGCTTGCAAGTCAACAGCTGTGTGTGCTAGCAACATCTGTACCAGCTGAGTTTTTTCAGCTTCAGAACCATTATTCCAATTGTGCAAATCACATTTCTAATGCATTTTTATATGTGTATTAAAAATATGCAGCAATTTGGTTGAAAAAAGGTATTTCAAGAGAGATAACGCTATTAAAATCACTAAAACTACCTTTAAAAAATGTCTGTATGCTTTGAAAGGAAGTTATCGTCTCACTCAACAGTCAGTACATTTAGCCTATGACTCAATACATGATATCATCATTTGACAGTGATAATTTTGGCTGTGTGACATTACGCGTTATACTTCTTTGAAAAACAATTTCTCATCAGCCTATTTCTTACCATGTATCCTCCTCAGGCAGTAAGGCAGGTCATCCTTGCTGTTGACCGCCTTGTAGCAGGAGGTGATGTAGCTGAAGTTGCTGGTCTTCTGCATGCGGTTTGGTGGGGGGAGGGCTTCGAGGGGGAACAGGCTGTGGTAGCTGTCCACCTCAGATGGTACATCTGCCAAAGACAGAAGTAGTTTCAGAAGAAAAAAAACCCCAACACATTACTGCACAAACATATGCAATCAAAAAACAGATCCAGCAACTTTAAGTTTGCACAAGGTTATCGCCAATATGAACGATTATTTACCAGCAATAGATTAGATTTCATAGATAATTCGTTTTCGCACATCTATATCTTAATCCAAATTTACAGTTCACCGTTGTTGCCCATTGCATGACAAACACAGACAAAAAAAACATGTGGTTAACTGGAAGACGAACCCACAGAGACCATAAATATTACATTTCAACACCTCTCTACACTAACGTGAGGAAATCAACTCCACAACAGACTGGTACGTTTCTTTAAAACCAAGCAATGCATTGGAGCATCAAAGTGGTCTCTTATTTGATACAGAGCACATCTTTCATGAGTTGTAATTGAAAGTCTGCCCCATTCTGCTGCACACACAGGCAGAAGTTTTAGATTAATAACAAGCCTTTGTTGTGACAACAGAGTAGACCCTTTACCTGGGTTCTCTGAGTGGTCAATCTGGGCCATGGTTATCAGATGTCTGTTTATCAACTCCTGGAGGAGAAATAAGAGGGCATCACATCAGACATTACCCACAGAGAGGAAGACAGGAGATATTTAGTGAAAGGGGAAGAAGGCAAGTGGAAAATACCTGTCGGAGTTCATCGGCCATGAAGAAGGACGGGGCATTGGCTTTCGGCTGCATGTAAGCCACGTGGGGCACAGTGGGGGGATAGATATGGTAGGTAGGAAACACCTGCGATGAAACCAGAAAAACACAGCTTCCTATTTATTGAGAAATGAAAACCAGTGTGATGATACATGTATCCTCTTTTCCAATTATTAAAACATAGCTACGCAAATGAATGTGATGGAATGAAACTCCGATCAGGATTTGAACCCCTAGTTGGCCACAATGACAGATTTTTTAAAAGATATTTTTCTGTGTCTGCACTGGCATGGAGGACTGAAGTGTAGAGCAGTATAAGGTTTGGTTAGGACTTTAAAAGTGTATTCACAACTTTAGTCTGCAAGTATTTCCTGACAGACATGCACATACCATCCCAGCTATAGGTGCCGGGGTGTTATCTGTGTAGAAGTAGGTGGTCCCTCCCACAGTCTCTTTCTGGATTATGTGAGCGCCTTGGTCAGATGCGGTGGTGGGCACCATGTAGTTGGCAGGGTTTGGGGTGTGACTGCGCCGACGAGGAGCAGGTGAGGTGTGTGGCGTAATTTTCGGGGAGTGGAGAGGAGAAGATCCCGCAGACAGAGACATGCCTAAAATCAGAGACAAAGGAAAATGTTACTTCAAGGAACGGCATGCTGGATTCACCGGCTGCAATGGTGTAAAAGGTTTGAAAGGAGCGTAGCACCCAAAGAGGTTTGCTTAATTTTTCTAAGCCCACGTTACAAAGTGCTTCACACACTTTTGTTTCATCAGTAGCACATGTGGTGCTATACACAAGAGGGAATTCCCAAACTTGCTGAACTATACAATATAGAGCTAAAGATGGAAAACAAAAGGGAGCCATGTAGAAAGTAGAGCAATGCAGATACAACAGGGTGATTTCTCAATTTGTAATGCTCCAAAAAAAAAAACCTCACCTGGAGCCAGTGCAGCAGCTGTGGAGCTGCTGAGGCCAGGATGTGGGAAGATAGGCGAGGGGAAGGCCTGGACAGTGGATTGCGCCATGGTGGCCATACGTGGAGCTCCCTTAGGGATGAACTCAGTTGCTGCCGGGTTAGGAGTCTGGTGGAACAAGGGGAAACATGCAAGGGTGACATGAAATCTACCACTCCTGTTAGGAGGCAATAAAGACGGAAAATGAAAATTAAATTAATTCTGGTTAGATTCCATGTACCTGCTCACACAAAAGTACAGTGGTGAACTTTAAAAGCACTTTGAAATAATTTCACTGTATTGGACAGGATGCTTGTGTGCTCACCTTTCTCCTTTGGGAAATGCTAAGAGCACCAAAATCACTGAACAGTGAGGATGTCGGGGAGTTCACTGGATCTGTGGACGACCAAAGAGTGTTGAGCAGTGGCACTTACAATATTCAGTGTCATACGTGCTGAATACTGCTCCACGGTCTTACCATGAGTGTTGTGGCTGAAGGTCTTGGCACCATCGTTGAGGAGACTGGGAGAGCTGCTGCTGGTTGTCATTCGCTAAACAGAGCAGCATCAAGAACAGCTGCGTTACAGAAGGCACTCTACTCTACGTGCATATACAGTATGTTTAATATGTCTGTGAATTCAACACATTTTAAATTAACTACGTGATAAATAACTGAATGCAAAATATTCCAACAACGAATGTAGTGCCTCAATTTATACAAGCAGCATACAACAACGACGTAACCACACTGGCATCAATTGTCAAAGCAGTTTAAACTGATTATATACATCTACAGCTTCTCTTTTGTACCTGCATCATTGAGTATTTAGACTCAGCCGGGCTCCCAAACCCATTGACCCCAATAAAGCTGCTGCTGAAGTAAGAGTTGGTGAGATTGGCATCGCTCAGGGTTGCGCCCTCCATCCCTGGGACTGTGGATGACAGAAACACAAGTTTAGCAAATACTAAACTGCAGTGAGGTTAATAAAACTAAAGTAGATAATCCTGCACTCTAACACAGACCAGGTATATATATAAAGCATGCATGTTAATATCAAAACTACTGTGTGTTTGCTTAACCAATCCAGAGTTGATTTAAATGCATGTAAACAGTAGTGCACAGTGAGCCACTACTACAGTCTGCCACAGGGCGATGTCCACTACGGGTTTCATTTAATAACAAACTTTTTTTTTTTTTTTTTGCTGGCTCCAAGTTAAACTGGACGCAATTTACGTTTGAGCTGCATGTGAATGTTGGTCACTTGCTTGTTTGTTTACGTTGAGAAAACACGACAACAACAAGGGGAAAACAAAGCCCCGTGGACAGCTAGCGTAGCTATGCTAACGTTAGCAAACATTGCGTTTAGGGTACATAGTAACAGCAACACTACAGTTCGCAAAAACAACATTTAACAGGAGAAAAACTAAGTGCAACAGTACTAAAATCTGATAACTCCACTCAGAAAGCAAAGCCAAACGCGTTAAAGTTAGTTAAAGCGGTAAATGTAACGCTAGCTCGCTAGTAGCCACACTAGCTAAGTTCGGTGGGTCGCGTATTTCTGCCCACTCACAGCTGTCACACACAAACAGCAGGCCTCCTCCGGGGAGCTGCAACAGCATGGATAATGTTACAGGTTGTTATAAAGCTTACATAAGACCACCTGGAGACAAAGCGATTCAACAAGACAGCAAAAAAAAAAACAAGAAAGAACCGCGAGTACCCGTCCGTGGTCGCTGTGGGTAACGTCGGGCAGGTAAATGTAGCCCACGTTGTTTTGGGGTAACGTCAAAGAGGCCTCAAGTGAATCCTCGGACTAAATTTTAACAAAGCCCAACAAGGCCCAAAAGTAAAGTCCCAGACAGTCCCCCCCGTGTGAGGCCTTGTCTGGTGGTAAGTGTTACTCACTGGTTAACAGCTGCCCCTCCAGAGACGCTGCGGGCCCCATTGTTTCGCTCTTCTTGGAGACTCCGGCCCCCCCGCTGCCCGGGCAGACCGCCGCAGTGCCGCCGAGGGAATACCCCGCTGGCGTCCCGCCACCCCCGGCCATGGACAACGGGACGGGGCTACCTCCGCCACCGTGCAGCGGAAGGCTTGCCATGGACGGATCCTCATGCAGGAACTGACACTCTTCTCCATAAAAGCACGTTTTGTCCTTCGCGTAATATCGGCAAAACTTCACCTTGACATTTGGTATCCCGGCACCTCCGAGCGGAGCAGCTGAAGCTGGGAGTCCACTGTTCATGGCACCGCTGCTGCCGCCGCTGCTGCCGGAAGACGCTCGAACATAGAGACGCAGATAGCTAGCGAGCTAGCCAGCTAGCCTGCAAACAGTTTCCCCCCTTAAAGGACCGGATTAATATCACTTCAGCTGGCGAGGAACACTTAAGACGCCACCGTACTCACATTATAAGGCTACGATGCATTCTGGTTAAATAAAATCTCAATGCATGCGTTGAATCCTGGTCGTCGTTGTTGTCGATATCCATGCAGCTGCCTTCTTCGCAAAGTAGCCTGTTGTTGTTTTTTTTTTTTTTTTTTTTGTTGCTCCCAGCCAGGCTGCTCTGTCTCTCTCTGTTAGTGGCCAGATAGCATTGCTTTGCATTGTGGGTACACTAGCGTTTGGCAGCACTTAACCTGCTGCAAATTGAACTTGCAAACACCGTGATGTTGTAAACGAGTAATATGAGCCAAGTGTGCAAGATTAGTGCTCTTCAGTCTGTGCTTTTCATTTAAAACTATAATTATTTGTAGTGCCCAATTAATCCATGTCAAATTCTATAAACCGAATGAAATTATTGCGGCATCTAATAACTTAATTATAAACCTACAATATAGTTTGCACACACAAAAAATAACAACAAATGCATGAGAATAAAACAGAAGTTGGTTTATTTGACATTTTAAAAGTCACTATATTCATATAGGGCAAGAATTGTACAATCATGATCAGTTTATTTGAAAACATACAGAAAATAATCGTCCATATCTTTATAATCTTGTCACTAAATTACATCATTAATATATATATTATAACTTATAAAATACAAATAAATCCCCAAAAAGGACTTTAAATGTGGCTTTTTTTCCTTAATACTACTTCAGTGTACACATTGTATTTCTAAGGCATTTTATTTCGCATAAAATTATTTCTTTGTCACATTTTAAAAAGTTTAGTTAGTTTGCACAATTGTAATAATGTTTTCAGTCTCTAAATAGCACCCAGGCGTGGCTGACAACAAGCGTCATCATTTCCAGTCACACTTCCCCATTTAAAAGGTACCCGCATCTCCTTCAGTAAACCTTCGCTGTCTGACCCGGTAATGAGTATGTGACACTGACAGAAACAAAGCATCAATGCAGAGGCACAGAAATATGATTGCGGGTGAGTCCGGATCGTTTCAACTCTGAGTTACTGCAACTGCAAAATCAGAGGGAATTTAAAAATATTTATATTTGAGGCGAATTTAAAGATTTTTATACATATTTATATGTTTTCGGCTGGTTTAGTTTGTAATTTTAAAAACGCATCATATATATGAAATATTTTACTTTGCATTTTTTGAGTTTAAGTCTATGGAGGAATTATTAGTTTGTCTTAGAAATACCTGTTTTATTATTAAACATTTGGTTCAACATTCAGCTGCAGTTCAACAATATGAGGAACCTCACAGTCAAAATTGGTTAGCCTACTCATCATGATGCAAAGTGAAAGATGATGCCTTGTAAGAATAATGAAAATTAGGGTTTTAATTTCATTTATTTATTTATTTTTTAAATGGTCTAGTCTAGCATACTACTATAGTTTTCTACTCTTCAGTGTATACTGTTTAACCAATACAGTAAACCACTGAAAAGACATAAACTAAGGAACTATCTTATCTTCTACAATTGCATTTATCATCTATATGTCTTTTTTTTCACACTGTCTATTCAGAAAATGTAGACAAAGATTTGAAATAAAATTACAGTTTTCTGTCTCTTCAGCGGTCCTTCTGCTGTGTGCTGTGGAGCTGCACTCCTTTGGTGTTGTGGCAGCGCAGAATCAGACCTGCGCACCCAGTCAAGAGGTAAAAACTGCCAGAATCTTTACCATGTTTCAGCTGAACAAGTCAAATTAATGGTTGTATCAGTATTTATGATGTGCCATATATTTCTGTAACATTATTGCGTTGAGGGAAAATTGTTATTCTTTGATAGGCTGCTGTGAATGTACAGGAAATGAGATTAAAATGTGCAGAAATTGATATAAAACACTACCTCAGCTAGACTGTCACTACCAGACGAAACAAAGATACTCTGATCGTCTTTAGTTCATATTATGGATTACATATTGGACTCATAGAAAGAGAAAAACAAAACTGCAGAGCAGCAAGAGGTCACCTTTTAAAGGAAACAGTCTGGAGACCCGTAAAAAGCATGATGCAAGTTATTACTATCTGACAGGAAAACCACAAGTGTAAATAATACAATTAATTATGGCTGATTTCCATTTAGCTGCTTTAGTTTCTGGGTCCTGGTATCGATCACGCTGGCTCACTGTCACACCCAGCTGACTTTACTGGGTCACTTGAATACGGAGCCAATGTTAATGATTTTAACACTTTTCTAAGTCAAAACACCTGTTTATAAGTCCTGAATAATGGTTAGCATTAATGTAAAGAATATGAGATTTGTAGTAAACAAACTAAAACATTCACTTGCAGAGGATTTTCGATTAAAGCACAGACATCAAATAATATTATCAAAGTTATATCTGATATTGTTCTTGCAATATACATACAAAATCTTTCCGCTACTGCACCAAATACGACTGAAAACAGGAGGATTAAACGGTGAGTCTTGTCTTCCAGGAGGCATGTTTTGTGCCAGCTGACTATCTGAATGCACTTGGTCCTGTCCACGTAGAGGTGTGTGCTGGTAAGAAACTCAACATCCCTCTGGAGCACGTCCCTGCATACAAAGCCTGTCATTGGATCAGAGGAGCAGAGCCAGTACTCACAGTGTAAGTGAATGTCTGTGTGTGTATTTGAAGTGTGCCCCCCCCCCCCCTTCTTTTTGTTTGTGTGTGTATATAAACAAAGAGCTTTTCCTGAATCATCTCTAGAAACGGGAGTAGCTCCATGGTCCTACCACCGCTCTCTGAGACAGATTCAGGGGAGTACACACTGAGCTGTGAAACTAACAGTGAGACCAGGTCCTCGGTGAGTGTGTCTCTTCATGTAGCAATGGGTGAGTGACATCTCTACAATGCTCAGTCAGCAACACAAACACTAGACCGTCTGATACAGATAAATCAGTGGTAATAAAACTGTGTTTCTTTTTCTAGAACGTCCCACAAAACCAAAGCTGGCGCTGGATCGTGTGAAGGAACAAAAAAAGTCTCCTTATTTCACATGCATCTCTGAGGGCTGCCCAAAGCCCAAGCTTGAATTGTCTGGGTAAGATGTTATCCATTGTAGGCATAACAGAGTACGTTTGATGTAGTCTACTGACGCTATCCTTATTAAAGAGAACATCTTATTATAGTATCATTCTCTGAATAATGATGTTTCTCTCTTCTTTGAACAGAAACAAAAAATGGACAAATGTTGCTACAGACAGTGACAAGGTACAGATTACAATATCCAGTGTTAATTATCATAATACTGGAATGATGTGCTGTGCTACAAATGCTGAAGGACAAGAATGCTCCCAACTGTATGACTACGGTAATTAAATATTTAAAGATATTCATGACATACATCCTGTAAAAGAGTTATTCATAATGAATTAGTACAGAATCAAGATAATTTGCTCAATTTTGGACTTCAAACACCTGAAAGGTCGGAGGAAAAGCAGCCTACAGCCCAAGAGCTAATTAATCATAACATAACAAATAATTCAAGAGAGTACATTTTAAAAAATACCTCGCTACTGTGTGTTTCAGACCTAAAGACAGACTCACATGAGTTTCCTAATGTAACCGTGAGTCCTGGTGAGTCTTTACTGCTTCGCTGCCGCATACAAGACTACTGGCGACCGTCACCTGTGTGGGAGAAGGGCAGCGAAAGAATGGATGCAGAAACATTAGCATGCCCCTCTAAAGTGAAGGAGGAGGTATAGTAGAGACCACTGAGATTTTTTTTGAACGTTCATGTGAACAAATTTGAGTTCTTTCCACAAACTGAAGAATCTTTCCCACTCAAATAATAATGTTTTTGTCCCAGATCTGCATTAAAAATGACTCGGATTCTGGGACTAAGATGGCCTATCTGTTCATCGAATCAGTTAGTGTGGACCACAGTGGCACATACACCTGCAGGTCTAAAGACTACACACCTGTCAAGTCTGTCTACATTCACGTCCAAAGTCAGTAGAGCTAATTTCACTTCATTATTTCTCTCTGAATGTGTGTATTAATTTAAAAACTGTTACCAATGAATGGTTCTTGGCCCATTTATACTCTTTTATATTGATTTTATTCTTGTGTTGCCCTTAGCTGAGGATTTCATCTCTGTCCAGCTGGATGAGAGCAAGATCATACCAGCTCAGAATGCAACGATTTTGGAAGCCAGTGTTTCCTACCACCCGGTGCTCCAGCACTGCTCATGGGAATCTCCTAATAATATAAAGACCAAATGCATCAGGGACGACTGGGTGACAAAACACAGGTAGTTGCATAAAGCAATGTTGCTGCAGTTGAACTCGATTTTAAGACGTTTAAGTTCTTTCCATGAGCATTAATACACAACTAGATTGAAATATATTATTATGGTTTATATTTATATAAATGTGTGCTATCTGTCTTCTCAGGACTGTGAAACTACACGGTCCACTCATATCAGGAGATTATAAATTACACTTGCAGGCTGGAGAACAAAACCTAACAAAGATTATATCAGTGTGTACTGTGGGTAAGAGAGATTTTATTAATATAACTTCTGCACAGTGCTATCACTTGTAAAATGTATAATTGTATTTTAAATAAACTGATTTTGTTTCAGACACACCAAAGTTCAGATTCTGGTTTACGTATGATACCTTCACCTTTGAGACTGCAAGTCTTGTGCCAGCAAATTATACCTGGAAGTCTTGTTCTTCAATCAATGACAGGTATGGTCACTGTCAGATCTGCTCAGGTCAGAGGGCACTGAAATGCGTACACGCTCAGATTTCTCAAGTCCCTGCTCTTTGTCTCGCAGCAGTTGTGACAGAGACTCCTCCTGGACAGAGATCCCAGATGCCTTTCAAACAGACTCTGATGCCGTCTGTAATAAGACAATCAGGAGTTCTCTGAGGAGCGAGCTAGTGGAGGGAGACCAACTCAGATTCTGCCTGACGAACTCAATTGGCACCTGGTGCGAAACTAAACACGCAATAACCCGGTTACCGTCACTCCTGGCTGTCAGCGGCAGTAAGACTGATTTCATATAACAAAATAATTAGAGTAAATTGTTTTTTGAAGACAGCCATTAGAGACTGTCCTTTTTTCGCTGTTTTCAGGTGATCCAAATAATGATGACAGCTTGATGGTGTTGAAAGTAAGCAGTTTGCTTCTGCTTGTGGCTTTGGCAGTAGTCTGCGTGGTGCTCACGTACTTTGTCAGAAAGAAGGTATATATATTACACATCGACACATAAACACACATATATACAAACACAAACACACATGAGGATATGATGCCAACTCCTTTGTGTTTCAGAGACCCAAGTATCAGCCCCAGCTTCAGATGATCCAGGTGGTTGGACCCAATGACAACGATTACATCTACATTAACTTCAAGGACTTTACGTACGACCCGAAATTGGAGTTTCCCAGGGAGAACCTGGAACTGGGTAATTACACTAGGCATTAGACATGATACTTCAGTGGCATTAAAACATACTTAATTAAAGGTGCATAATTATTCTAATAATTTACTAAAAGTAAAAGCACAGATTTTGTAGAAAATCAGCTCCTGTGACTGATATAAAATATTAAATGGTTAATACTGATCAAGGTATAAGCAGCCTTTTACTGTTGTAGCTGGTTTTCATACTTTAGTCTAGGGGTGCTCAACCTTAGTCTGAGGGGTCATGAGACGATTGACGGGAGAGAAAAGTAGTTGTGCTACATACATTTAGACTAAATTTGGCCTTTAACAGTTTTTTAAATGGACCCATGTGAGAAGTTTTGAGGGAAAAATCATCTTTTGGTGAAACTGCTAACAACTTCTGAAGGGGGACAAGGCCCAACTACACACTGCCTTTTTGGTAAAACTTGTTTAATCTTTAACAGTGCATTGTTTAATTATAAGCTCAACCAATATTATTTTACATCTAAATCCTCAATATGAAAAATAACAATAAAAATCAAGCATCAAGTCAAGCACAGTCCTTAAAAACTGCACTGCACTTATACTGTACTTGATTAAATGTAGTTGCATTCCACCACTTCCAGACTTTTTGATGTTATTGTCCCCAGTTACATTACATGTGCCAATAAAGTTACACTTGCCTGAGCAAAAATCTAAATCACCTCCCCAGGTGATGAACTGGGCTCTGGGGCTTTTGGCATGGTGGTCCAGGCTACAGCTTACGGCATCAACAAGCCTGGAGTCTCACAGCAGGTGGCCGTCAAGATGCTCAAAGGTCAGTGTTTCATATATTTATTCAGTGCATGAAAATGTTGCAAAATGGTCATTTCAGCAGCTGATGTGGTATTTGACCCTGCAGAAAAACACCAGGACGTGGAGAAAGAGGCTCTGATGTCAGAGCTCAAGATGCTGACTCACATTGGTCACCATGCCAACATTGTTAACCTGCTCGGAGCATGCACTGAGACAGGTACGTTTACCACTGCTGATACAAATACACGCACAACACGTTTTGCATACACTCATTGCAATCATATTTTGCCTTTATATGCACTAATCTAAACATTTGACAACACTTTAATAACACTCTATAAGAATAACAATAAGAATGTATATAAAAATGCTAAATGGTCGGGGCACCTGGTTAGCTCAGTCGGTAGAGCTGGCGACCCATGTACCGAGGCTGAGTCCTTGCTGCAGCGGCCTAGGGTTAGAATCCGACCTTCGGCTCTATGCTGCATGTCATCCCCTCTCTCTCTGCCCCCCTTTCCTGTTCATCTTAGGCTGTCAATGTCAAATAAAGGCAATAAAAAGCCAAAAAAATGCTAAATGGGCAGAGTAAAGTGTTTTTAATGATAAGTAGTATTTGTCTTCCCTGTACAGGACCCATATACCTGATTTTCCAGTACTGCTGTTATGGAGATCTACTGAACTACCTGAAGAAAAACAGAGAGCGCTACCACAAGTCTGTGACTGATGCTTTCAACAAGGACCGTTTCAGCAGCCTTTACCACAACCTGCAGCCCAGGAAAAGCCCTAGGTGGGAAAACGGGGAATAAAAGTGGGTGGGAAGAAGGCATTAAAACATGTCTATCAGGTTAATTTCTCCAGTCAGTGCTCTTTAACCAAGGCACTGGCTTAGATCTAAAGCTGGTCCCCAGGCAATGTACAGTGGCTGCCCACTGCTCCTACTTAAAATGGGTTAAATGCAGATGAGACAAAATTCAGCATTCGTTGTACTGTGTGTGATTGTATATGACATTGTAGATGATTCTACTCTGAGAACAATATTGGGAATAGATTGGCAACAAGGGTAGACAAAGGGTATTTGTAAAAGGACTCTGCTGGAAGTCATATCACAATTACAATCCTGTGACGTTTGTGTTTTCTCAGTGTGACTGACACAGCAATGGACACCTATGTGACCATGCACAGCTCTACCACCAGAGGGCAGGAGGACATCGCCCTCCTCACCCTCAACTCTGGAGGCATGGACAGCTTTGAAGGTGGAAAAATACAATCTGCAGTCAGAACATGCATGTCGTCAAACAAACTCATATATTAACATCTACTGTGTACCTCCGTGTTGATCCTAACTGATCCCGGTTTATCTGCAGACTCAGATATCTTTGAAAACCAAGATGATCCGACAGAGGACCTGCAAACCCTGACTTTTGATGATCTGCTCAACTTTGCCTACCAAGTGGCCAAGGGCATGGAGTTCCTCTCCTCCAAGAATGTATGGGATGAAGTTTCACATCTGTCAACCACACACTGTCTACCCAGACACACAGAAACACAGTTGATGCTCTTTAGCTTCAACAACATCACCAGAGCCGAAACAAATAGCAGATAAAAACGATAGATTAGTTGATCAATGGAAAATTAATTGACAACTATTTTGATGATTGATTAATCGTTAAGGTCATTTGGGTTTTTTAGACTGTTAATCAGACAAAACAAGCATTTGAAGACATTCACTTTATGAAATTATCTGCATTTTTCAATATGTTTTTGGCCATTTTAATTTACATACTTGACTAGAAATTAATCAGAAATGATGAAAAGATGTTTCTGTTACCTTAGAATGAGCCTTTTATATCTACAGAGACAGCTGGTCGCCTTATACAGAGGCAGCCACAATTAACCGCCATGTTTCTATAGTAAAATGGACAACTAGCTCTGGATAGTGCGCTTGGTCCTTTAAACATATACAGTGTTGGATCAGAGATATGAAAAACACATAAATTATTTTTAAAACTTTCTTAATCTATTATCATATATGCAACTGCTGGTATGTTTTAGCTAGATCTTTACAGACATAATAGAACATAAATGTCTCTTTTACTTTACTTTACACTTTTATCCAGTGAAGAGACAAATTAAACTGATGTTATATAAATCTTTGTGGATTATATGATACATGTCCTGTTGATTGGTCCTGTCTGTCTGCAGTGTATCCATCGAGACCTGGCAGCTCGAAACGTGTTAGTGACAAAAGGCAGACTGGTGAAAATTGGTGACTTTGGACTGGCTCGGGACATCGAAAATGACTCCAACTATGTTGTGAGAGGAAATGTATGTCAGATGATACTTTTATATAATTTATTGCAGAAGTTGTGGATATTTGTTCATCACTTCTTACACGTTATGTTGGTGACTGCTGTCTCTCAGGTGCGTTTGCCGGTGAAGTGGATGGCACCAGAGAGTACCTTTCAGGGGATATACACCATGAAGAGTGACGTCTGGGCTTATGGCATTCTGCTCTGGGAGATCTTTTCACTTGGTAGCCTTCGCCCAAAACTCTCCACAAGCTGTACATTTAAAAAAAAAACATGCATGCAATCAATTCCTGCACAATTATTAACAACAACTCTGTCTGTCTGACCGTTGGTCTCAGGTGTTACTCCGTACCCGGGGATGAAGGTGGATCACACGTTCTATTCAATGATTGAGAGAGGATTTAAGATGGAGTGTCCATACTACGCCAACGAGACTGTGTACGTGTCTTCAGTCTGTATGCAGTGCTTGTGTTTCTCTCGTAAACAGACACAGTATTAATAGATTCAAGACCAGACACTGTCATGATAAAAGTAACAAGCAGTTAACATGCTGATAGATGCAATGAAAACCTAACTAAGTGCATTTACTCAACCACTGTGCAATTTGAAGGCACTTTTAGTGTTTCTGTTACTATTTTATGCTAATTTACACTTTTTACAGTACTACAGTTATTTAAGAACTCTAGTTCAATATAAAAACAATCCACCAGTGCAGTATAATATTTCAGCCTATTTTCTATGCAAATCAAGCAAAATCAAGTTTAATTTTTCATAACTGTACTGCAATTATACTTTCTTTTTTCAGGAAAAAGTCTGTTTTTAGACAAGTTTATATGAATTAAAAACAGATTTAACTAACAGGAAATGGTTTAAGGACTCATCTGTAGCAAGAACTGTCGTTATAAGATTTTTTGTTAGACACTGAACCGCCCAACCGTATATAAAATAGTTAAAATGTACTAGCCCCACCTCAACTAGCTACAATAGTAAAATGCATGCTTACACATTATTTTTGACTATTATTGATTGATTACTTCTGATAATACTGTACTTTTACTGAAGCAGGATTCTGAATGCAGAACTTTTACTTGTAATGGAATATTTTTAAATTATTGTTTTGGTTCTTTCATTTTAAGTAAAGGATCTGAATATTTCTCCCACCACTGACCTCAAAACAAATACAGTAGTGCAGCTGCTTTTGAAGCTTCATACACATAAAGTGTTCTAGTAATAGGAGCTATTGCAAAATCTGAAATTTTATATTCTCTTTTCTTCTCCAGGTACGGGATGATGTGTAAATGTTGGGCTCTGGATCCCTGCAACCGGCCATCTTTCTCCAAGCAGGTGTCCTTTATGTATGATCAGCTGACAGACAGAGAGGAGATGGTAGGCCTGTAAACAAACTATTATCTAAAGCAGAGTTTTATCCTATGTAAATATCGCATCTGATCCATAAGCAGCATTATTATCTACTCATTTTCCTAATCAACCTCCCCTCCTCTTTCAGATCTACCACAACATGCTTAACCAGACACCCAGTGAATACCAGAATGCATCGACCATTTTGGACATTTCCGCCCTGGCAAAGCAGAGTGAGAGCAAGACGCAGTCGGCCAACGACTACCGTCAAACCCATGCGACTGAAGAAAGCAAAGAGGGAATGTCCGACCTGGACGTTGTAGCAGCTGAGGACGAGCTTCTGAAGCCATCGGATGCAGAGTGATCATCATCACTTACATCCATTTGGCTGGTGGACAAAAGTTTAGTTTGCACCTTGTTTTTTCCACATTTTATAACAAAGTTGTTCTCGTAATAATAATAATCTTCTGTTTTACAGTAGAATGCTCTTGCTTTATACTCAATTGTAAAATATTGTAAGCATTTTAGACTTAATAAACATATGTAGCATTTTTTTTATTTCATATATACATATTTTGGGGGGGCTTTTATTGCCTTTAATTGATGGTTACAGCTGAAGAGTGACAGGAAACAGCAGAGAAAGAGAGAGAGAGTGGGGGGTGATAAGCAGCAAAGGGCCACAGGTCAGATTCAAACCCATGGCCACAGTAGCAAGGACTCAGCCTTTATTCATAGGGCGACTCACATAGCATTCATTTAGTATTACGTTTCATAATCTGCAACCAAACATACAAAGGTTTTAATTATGTATATGGGATTTCAGTAAATTATATTCTCACTATGACAATGTGGTAGGAATGTAAATACAGTATTTCTGTTTTCCTAGAGTCATATGTAACATACATATATTGCCATGTAAGCTATAGAGCTTTACCTCTTTCTACTTTAGGCCTACACACTGTAGCAACTGATCACTATTTTGTTTTAGATTGTATTATATCCTTTATTATTATAATGCAAATGGAAACAACCTTTTGCCTTAAAATATTGTTCTGCAATGAAATGTAATTGTTGTTTGTTGATTATAAGAGCTGATATTACTTACAGATTGACTGAGCAGTTTTTGTACACATTCATATGTTTTTTAAAAACAAGCTTTACTTTTATATTATGAAATATTTTAATGGATCTTTTTTTTACTTTTTGTATTAAGCATTATACCTGCAATAAAATGTACTTGACAGAAAACCTGGTGACCCCAGTATAGGTCCGTTGTTCCCAACTGCTTTAGCTTGTGACATAATAATAATAAAGTAAATAATAAAGTCATGTGTTTGCAGGTTTAATGTGTCTGTTAACAGTTCAACTAAAAAGTGATTTGTGCCTCTCAGATTGATATATTTGAGCAATTTCCAGAGGCCTGAAGATGAATAACTATTCAAAAGATTAAATTCTTACATGTTTCTTTAATTTACTATCCAGTCCTCATCTTGTGACCTCTATCATACCTGTACACAGGTGTACAGAGGTGAGTAAACTCAGTGATTTCAGAGAGGTGGATGAGTTTATATAATAACTATTATATTTATATAATAAATATAAACTACCAGTTGCTCTCTTTACGCGCCAGGAGACGCCAAAGATCAGAGTCTGCATGTTGGAGAAGCCAATTAACGCCTGAAATGTACATCACTGTGTTGCACTTGTCTTTAAACTCTTCTTTTCATCGTCAAAATGACTGGCAGTGGATCTGACAAAGAAAATATTAACCACAGCCACAGGCGCAGGGGGGCTTGTCCAACCGTGCATTAACCCTTGTCCGAAGGTCAATAAACGCTGCCTGTGCGACAACTAGAGTGTCCACAAGAGCAATGGATCTCGCCACGGTAAATGCGCTTCATTACGAGGATTTTGTGAATATTTTTGGCAACGTGGTGGAGAAATGTCCCATTATAACAGCTGCTGTATGGTCGAGGCGCCCCTTTGTGAACTTCACTGCTTTGGAGGCTGCGATCAGTGAATTCATCGACGCTCTCCCAGAATCAGGTGAGACACAGACTTTTATTTTGGTAATTTTTCATATTTTGGGTGTTTAATTTGGATTTGTCCATATTTTCTTTGCGCGTAATGGCCCCCTGGTGCGAAATTAGTATATCAACAAACTTTGTCCAGGTAAAGAGGGGATCCTCAGGTGTCACCCAGACCTCGCGGGCAGGGACCTCCAGAGCGGCACCCTGACCCGGGAGTCACTGGAGGAGCAGGCGGGAGCCGGGATGGACGCGCTGAACTCCGCGGAATACTCGCGCATGGCCCGGCTCAACGACGAGTACAAGGAGCGCTTCGGGTTCCCGTTTGTCATCTGCGCCCGGATGAACGACAAGGGGAACATATTACTGCAGCTGAGCGAGCGCTGCCGGAACGAGCGCGCGGTGGAGAGGGCGCGCGGCATCGAGGAGGTGAAGAAGATATGTCACCTGCGTCTCCAAGGTCTCGTGCTCATCGACGCTCCCAACAAGTTATGAACCTGAATTAGTGGAGTTTATACTGGAAGTTATAACTTTAATTACTGGGGTTTATACTGGAAGTTATAGACTATAATAAGTGGAGTTTATACTGGAAGTTATAGACTTATGGAGTTTATAGTGGTTTTCTCCTGCGCCAGTTTAACCACATGGATGTAAAAGACCGTCATTGTTCTCTGTTTAGGCTTTGATGTTTGATTTATTCAAAATTTATTTAAGTGTGTTATTCATCCATCATACTGTACAATGAATTCTCCAAACAATAAAATATGTGTATCATTGATTCTAATTTAAGACTTTACATGATATATGTACACGTGGACATCCGGACAATACAGTCATACTACACTTATATACATTTATAAACTTGACTGTGTGCTACTCACAGGTCTGAGGTGAAAAATAATGCACTGTAAAACGGGATCAGACCCTGCAACACCTGAATCCACGTTGCTGCCTCAAATAAGGGGGGGGTCCTTGCATGATTTGGTTGTCTCAGGATGCCATCTGGCGCCCAAAACACCTCAACGCATGGTGGGATGAAGAAGTGTCCGTTCAGTCCGATAAAGGACAGGCAGTGGTATCCAATAAGGAGGTCTAAGGTTGTCCTTGAGAGAGAGAGTTGAGGGGGGTCCCTGGAAAATTAGCACCATGTGTTAAATGCCATCTCACACCCTTAACTATCCATTATCGCCCTAATTCTGAATCTTATGCTTCCTAAAAATATAAATCCTCTCGGGTGGGGCTGATTTAAAAACTTGGATTTTAAAGAGTTTAAGTTCCAGTCTTTTGAGACCCCCTCCTGCGGGTCTACGCTGGCTCTCTGGACCCAGGAGCGGAGAGGGAGTGAGCGTGCAGCGGGGACACAGGGGGTGAGGTGGTGTGAGGTCCGTTCGTGGAGGAGACCCCTCCCGCGGCCTCCCCCTGGTCTCCAGAGGTGATGGAGGAGTCTTGGTCCGGGTCGGTCCCCCTCGCCCTCCTCCGGTCCTCCTCCTTCTTCCACTTCATGCGCCGGTTCTGGAACCAGATCTTGATGTGGCGCTCGGTGAGGCTCAGGGTCAGCGCCAGCTCCACGCGGCGCGGTCTCGAGATGTACCGGTTGAACAGGAACTCCTTCTCGAGCTCCAATAGCTGGGCGCGCGTGTAGGCCGTCCTCGTGCGCTTGTTTTCCTCCGTCTCCGCCATCACGTACGGTCCTAGAGACAAACAGAGGTGTCCTTACTTATAATAAGATGTGTGACATTTGTCAACATATAATTGAAGCTTTATTATTATTAGCGATATATTCTTAAATAATTGCTTTAATTATCATAAAGTGTGTTTTTTTAATGGAAATAGGCCTCATTATAAGTGCACGGGTTAGATTTTGACCACCACAGGCACCTACAGAAACCACAGTGCATATTTGTCTTATGATAGCCAGTAAAATAAACATTTATTCACTTGTAATTGTTACAAGGAACTTACAATTACTTGACATTTGCCAAAAAAACAGACCTACTTCCTTACCGTAATTTGGAAGCAACAGGCGATACGAGCAGACTCTACATGTGTTAATAAATAAATGCCTGTTTAGTGCAGATATTTAAGATATAGGGTGTTATTTTTGTAGATTAAGATTTTTTGGTTATGGTATTGTTGGGACAAAATATTTCCCAGCTGTGTCCATTTGGTGACCTACGTGTAAAATGAATACCAGTGATCAGATTTGACAAATTACAGAGTTTGCAATGATAAAGTAGTTTGTGATATATAATTTAAGGGCACAAGCAGATCATTTTGAGGTGGTTTAGTCGACTGAGATTTGCGCGCAAAGATTATTTTTCCTTTGGCTGAAAAGCTTTAAGTGTGTAGAGAGTGAAACAAGTAACTTTTTAGAGGATATAAAGCCACCGGATTACTCCTCATGTCCCGCGACCTCCTGATTCTCTCAACCCGAAGAGGACCACGGTTTAATGAACTCACTCAGTTCAGGAATGTCCTATAACCGATGCCTGCCAAATCGCACCACAAACAGTCATCAAAAAATAAAAAAAATAAATCTGGAAAAAAGTATATATTTTATGGACAAAAAACATAACTTATTGCAGTTACTTTATAAGTCATGCAACTTTTACGTGGTGCGTTTTAATTGTTTCAGTCTGTAAGTAAATCACTCTTGTCAGAGCGGGAGAGATGTGAAACAAAAGATTTGTGTTGATTCAAATTAAAAGTTAAATTGAGACTCTACCCGAACAGTTCTACATTTATTATTTAATATTCAAATTAAGTGTAACCGTTTATTTTTCAATGCAAAACTCGAGTGTTGCCATTGGCGAATATAAACGCCTGTTTATTAGGGCAGGATTGGCAGCTTTGACCCTTGGCGTCCACTCTATTAGCCTACACACTTTACCAAAACAACAAAAAAAAAAACAAATTTTCATTTTGTCTGTTTGAAAAGTTAATTGCCAAATTATTGGAATTGTGCTTTTTAAAAATGTTACCTACTAAAGTCATTGACATGTTTTCAGGACACTATTAACATTCTCAAAAGCGGAGCGCAAAAGTAAACCAAAAGTAGGCCACAATGTCACAGGAGAGGACTCGGGACTGTGAATCGGTTATTAACATGGTTTACATTACATTAATGCCACAGAACAAAGAAATGTTAACTGAGATTGTCTGTCTATGTCTGTTTTAGCTGAGGAAACTATTCGTATACGTCCATATTTAAACAAGCTCATTAGAAAACTTCAATGTGTTAGGCCGATAATTAAAGCTAACTGTCTAGTCTGATCAGAAATATATAAATTATAAATTAAATGATTCAGTAATTCAGTTTAAACTGTACGATTTGATGAAAGCAAACTAACAATTCACTGTTAAGGTATTTGCTTCATGCAGCCTACATCAATCACAAACAATTGCGGTAGATTTGGGTGTTATACCTATTATTAGGCCTATTATACTCTATAGCATTCCGCCTATTGATGGTTTAAGATATGGCCGTTTGTGAAAATGTTTTGTATAGACAAAACCCACATTTTTTGTGACGATAAGACCTGATAAAAGCAAGCTCTGACCTTCCGGGGCTTTTACAAATTGACTGACAAGGTAAACTGAAACACCCAGGATCATATTGTTGGCAGCATGATGTCATTATAGGCCTTAGAAAGACTCAGTTGAAACTCATTTGTTGGTGCTATGACTACAGACTAATGTTGTAAACAGAGTACTTTGAAATAAGCTTCAGGTTTGAATACAATCAAATGACCCCAGACTACATTTGCTGGTATGTAGCAGAGCTTTTGGGAGAATTACCTGCCCACTGTCCCTTCCAGGTGTGTGAGTGAGATTTAGTGGTTTTCATCCAGGGGAAAGGGAGGTTGTATCTGCTCTGATCCCCCGTGTCTTCATAGCCTGCAGCGGGCGGGAGAGGCTGCTGCTGGAGCCCCTGAGGATGGTGGAGCTGAGGCACACCTGGATCCTCCCGCATGGGTAAACTGTAAGAGGGGGCAATGTCAGGAAGGCTGGCCTGCTCCAAAGCTCCCATGGACGGCGGTGTGTAGACAGAGTGCACCTGTCTGCTCATGTAGAGGCAAGGCGGCGGGCTGTGGCTGTAGTCCTCCACCTGTGATCTCTGGAAGGCACAGGAGTCTTTAAAAACCTGAGACGGGTAATAATGATCTTCCCGATTCATGGCTTCCCGAAGACCCGCACATGTACCGTAGCTATATTGTGCGCCCTGCCTCGGCGTGGACCTCCTGCTCTACCTGTCTCTGGCGCAACTGTCAGGCCCCTCGCTGCTCCACACAGGTGTGTCACTCTGCCACCATGTGACTCCGCAGCGCCAAAGCCATTGGTTTCACTGTTTGTTCAAAACGGCAGACCTATACCTACACCCCCCCCAGTTTCCAGGATATTCCGCAGCTTGTGGGATTTTTTCAGTAAATTGAACAGAACGGTCGTCAGCGCGTAAATCAATGCCGCTCTGTAAATACCGCAAAGTTTACCTGGCATCCACCTGTGTTTGCCCCTACAGCAGCAACAGGTGAATCTGTAAGACCCTGCCAGCGCGCGCGCGCACGCACACACACACACACACACACACACACACACACACACACACACACACACACACACACACACACACACAGAGAGAGAGAGAGAGAACAGAATGGTTAAAGAGATCCTCGTTAGTCTAAAGCGTACGCAAGAAACATGTTGATGATTATCCTCAAACAACGAAGCATCGACACTTTATATGGATATCTCTGGTCTGAGGCTGATAAATCGATATGTATGGGCGCAAACATTGGTTGACCTGCCAGATAAGAGACCTGGATGGAGAGACAGTTGTCTTGGAAACTCAGATGAAAAGCTCAAACAACCATAGTGTGTTTCCACAAGCTTTTTTTTTTCTTTCTTTCTTCTTCTTCATTTGTCTACACCTTTCTGACTTTTAAAATGTACCCATTACACTTCTGTAAATGCATCATTTAACACCATTTAGCGCGCGAGTGTGTGTCTGGGCTGGGGGGGCGGCTCGGTCCCTGCACGAAGGGGCCCTTGGCGACAACAAACACGGAGCTGCTGCGGCCGCTGCACTCTCGCCCTGTTTGCTGGCCATTAGCCTTTAGTAGGTGTGCGCTCGCTCCATTAAACAACAGCTCTCGTGGTAAACCAATTAAAGGTTGGAGTGAGAGACAGAACTCAATTAACCAGCGTGCGCGTGGAGCGTGTTTCCACAACCCTCGAGCTCACCCGCGGAGTTTGCGCACATCACCGGAGTGATTTAACTATTCTTCATATACATTGTACAGGAAGACGAAGGCTTTTACCTTGATAGTGTGTATCAACAGACTATTTGCTCTGAGTTCTTCAAAAGCAATTATGGCACTTTCCACGGTATCTTAATGGGGCACTCAGCGATGCAATAAAGTTCAAGTAAACCAATTCTATACAAATCACCCCCTGCACTATGGCTTAATGGTGTTTATATTTGATCACTGTTTCAAAGAGGAAGGAAACAGTTAACCGAAGCTGTTCTCCACTACAGTGGACGCGCACAACGTGATTTATGAAGCATGAGGGGCGTTAAACGCATTTTAGCTGACGGGAGGTTTTTTTTTTTTTTTTTTGTGCGTAATGGCTCAAGCGAGGAGTATTCTGCTGTAATAGACCCTGTGCGCAATCATGACCAAAGAGACTGTCAGTTACCACGTTTATAAAACGCTCTGGATGTGGGGAACAATAAAAGAGCGTAAGCTTAAACACATGCAGACAGGCCAAATGGATAGGGGCGACATAAACAGCGACGCATTGAACGCTTGAGCAAATGTCCATCTGTTGTCCTAAAACTCCCGATGACCCCACTAAAACACGTGGATTTACCGTATCTCTGTACGAGTTTAATAACGTATTATTATTATTATTATTATTATTATTATTATTATTATTATTACAGTAAAAAGTTTTGGTCGCTATTATATTAACATTAATCCATCACTGCAGACCACTAGTTCATACGGGCTCTTGCACATGTAGGAGTGTCAGGAAAACAAGATTTTTTTTTTTCTCCTTTGACAAACAAACCCGTTTCTGATAGCCGGTATATACATGTCAAAAAGTTGGACACGCGATAAAATGTGCTTACCCAGTGGCGACAGCAGCATGGCTTATGTAAACATTAGGAGCAGTGAAAAATGACAGAAGAATGGTAATGACATTATAATTGAAATCAAACCTCCTCTACTGTAGGTGAAACAGAATGAAACCAGACCGTGAGAGGAGAGTGCCAAAATGTTGGCTAAAAAAAAAAAAAGTCCTCATGACTTTCCTGAGCTATAAAGGCCACGTGAGAGTTTATTCACTCCAATTTCAATGAGGAATCATTAAAAAGAAGAACAGTTAACATTTTAAGGGGATCAAATAAACCTACTACACAGTGATTGTCATTTCTAAAAGTGACCTGTCAGTAAACTAAGACAACTCTTCTTCTGCAATGTGCCAGGTGACCCGGTCAGGTGTATCAGACTGCCAGCAGCCCTGTGAGGTGTGTTAACTGGTCAGGGAGCAGTTTCAGGAGAGTCCACCTCTGCGCTCTCTGTGGAAGGAGTGGCCTTTGTAAAAAAAAAAAAAAAAAAAAAAAAAGAAGCAGTGTTTCTCTCTTGGGCAGAAGTCTTTACTCGTGGAGTGCGTCTTTGTCTCTGTTGTGGCCATCCCTCCCATGTCTCCGGTCTGTGTTGTCTTTGTGCCTGTAACTCCTCTCTCTGTCTCTGTCCCGCTTCTTATCTTTGTTATTGCAGCTGTCCCTGTGATGGTGTTTATGGTCTGTGTGGCCTCCATTGCCTCTGTGATCTCTGGGAGGTGTTCTGCTGCGGTCTCGGCTCCTGTCCGGGGAGTCGCTCCTCAGGCGCCCTCTGGCGGTGGAGTGTCCGTCTCTGGGCTCCCCGGTGCGCCGCTGCAGGCCGGTGGAGCGCAGGGTGTTGAGGAGGAAGCGCTTGTTGGTGCTCTGCAGGGGACACTTCAACCTGACAGAGACACAGACACATCAGGTTGTTACACTTGTGTATGTCTGAGGATGGTCCTCACTGACCTCACACAAAGGAAAGGAACAGAAAGGAAATACAGAGCTTAAAAAGTCATGTCCTCAATCAGGTGATGTCCTCTGGATTTTTTTCTGGGAATCTGGGACAAGAGGCTAATTCCAGTATGACCTTTCCCATACAATCTCTGAACAGGAAAATACTGATTTCCAGAACTGTAGACTGTATCATTCATCTGAGGGACTTTAAAGTTTGACTAACAGATATGTTATTCAGTTTATTTTAAAAGGTGTGTCTGTGTGTGTGACTGAACAGTTTATGATGTTATATATAAATATAAATATATATGTACTTTAAGATCTATGTACTAGATCTTGATATCATACAGACTTCCTGAATATATAGCCAACTAATATCAAAACCTCTATTTATTTATTTTTACACTTGAGCAACAGGTGTAAGTTAACAATACATGTAGCTGGTTATAGTGTTAAAATCTAATATCTCAACATTTATCAGCATCATTATGAAGATATTTTAGGGGGGAGAAGGCAAATAATTACACACAATTATAGTTTGAATGAAACATTAGTAAATCAGCTATAATCATGTTTATCTCACCAGAACAATAATAATACAGTTTAGAAATGTATAGTGGCCCCACAAAAGAGCTCAAATACTGTAATAAAATAATATATAACAATAAAAAAGAGTTCAGTACAGAGAATTGTAAATTATACAGCAAGTATTATAAATACTGTTGGACACATCAGCTATTGAGGACATAAACAAACAAACTAGTTGCTCCCAGTGCGAGCTCATTTACGCTCATAAGTAGCAGTGAAATATAATAACAGATGTGTGCAGGCTGATAAAGATTGCATGTCAAACACAGTCCTCACCATCCTGTAGGGCCCATGGTCTCTGCTCTCACCCGGGCCCTGTCAGTCTCCCTGAGGAGCTCCTCCACTGCGCGCCTGAATGGACACACAAAGCAAAAACATCCAAAAAATGAGTGTAGTATCTGAAGGCTTATAAAGTTAAATTACATTTTGGTATAAGTTCAAATGATATTTTGTTAACATATGTAGTGTTAGAAGTTCATGGGGTTCAATGACATCATTCTTACTATGAAATGTTTAGGTTAAGGGGCCTCGCAATGGCCTCTGACCTCTACCTTGAAAGCCCCCATCTCCCCTTATAACCTTACATATCTGTATTGAATCCATTTATTCTTGGAGTAAACAACAGGCCTATATAAACCTATGTTCGATGCAGAATAGACAGAATTGTTGCATTTGGCTGGATGCTCTCCAAGCTCCGCGGTGCTTGTATTGATGCTGAACTTTTTTGTAATAAAACCTTTAAATACAATCAAGACGGTGTCAGCGGACTTCTCTTCAGCACTCTACAACATGAGTCATGTGGAAAAGGAGCGAGAAGTTGAGGACAAACATGGCACAAAACCTCAAGGGGGTTGGTGGGAGAGCCCAAGGGGAGAATCATTTAATTAAGTGAGAGAAAACCGAGTGATGCAGAGTGTAAAGGAGAGACTGAATCATTAGTGAGTGGACAGTGTCCTCGTTTGACCCCCCCAGCTGCTGAATCAGCAGAGTCTCAGCGGAGGAGACTCACTCGTTTTAGCCGACCTTTAAACCACACAGCACAGGCAGCTGATGGCAGGACTTCACTGCAAACACGACAGCTGTTAAACACAAATAATATCGCTTCCTCCGACAGAAAACTAGCTTATTAAACCTTGAAGGTGTGCAGAAACAGAGCCGCTGTGTACGTTCACTGACTGTAAACAGTTCAATAGTTACGTACTTCTCCAGTTCATTGTCCTCTGCCATGGCGTCGCTATCAATCACACGTTTTGGGTAAATTAATTTGACTAAAATCGATGGTAGTGATTAGCGCAACATCTCTTTTGTTTACTTCTCCGTGGGGTCCTTCGAGCCAAGGACCCGGTGTTTTTTGGCTGTCCTCAGTGATGCCTGATCGCTTCCAACAGTTTTTGTGGCATAAAACCTTGTCAGAAATACTTTGAAAAATTATTGTGTAGGTCAAACACAAGCTAAAAACGCGTTAGTTACTACTTAATACTTGATTGAGTTTGTTCAGTGTTCAGATCCAGCAGTACCACATATAGTCGTATAAACTAATAATCAAGCAAAACAAAAAGGTGACATTTTCAGCAAATATAAAAAACTAAAAGAAGTCATTATGCAGTCATTATTATTGATGATGCATCAATATGTGCTCAGCCTTTTAATGTTTGTAGACCTATATGTTGAATGTAAATATCTTATATCTTATTAAATATCTTATCCAACTACCTCATGTACATAAAGAAACCTGCACGGAAATATTTATTTCAGCATCCTTTGCACTATTGCACTATTGTCTACCGTCTGCAAATGTTATTGTTTTTTATTTGTTTATAAATATGTATATCAGTACATGGTTTAGTTGAGCTTGTTGTCCTGTTTATTGATGCTCAGTCTGTGTTTGTACATTGAGAGCAATGTAAAAGTTAAATTCCTTGTATGTGCACACATAACTGGCCAATAAAGGTGATTCTGATTAATCTGCAAAGTATCCAGTAACTATAACAATGCACATAATGAGGCATTTGTTATTAACAGGCAAAACTGAAAGATTTATAGTCTATTATCCTTTATTAATTATTGAATTATTTCTCAACATTCATATCTGCAGACGTATAAACTCATAGCATCTATTAATGAATACTATTAAGACTCTGATTTTTCACAAATTGGCAACTAAAAAGTTCTTTGTTTTGTAGATTTGTGTTACTAAAATAAAAAGCATTATTAAATGATTTATTATCCATTACTAAAGCCATTGGTCACTTTAAACCAACCCTTCATAAGAATCCTTAAATTACAAGTATAATATATATTGTGTAACCACTCATTCTTGAAACAACCTCACCTAATCTGCAACAAAACATGCAACATAGCAAGATATACGTAAAATAAATTGTGATAATTAAGCAATTGTGACTATATTGTTTAGCCAAACAATTGTACAACATTGCCACGTTTTTAGCACCCATTAAAACTCCTAATTTTACAACACAGAAATTTATAAGAGATGAGTGAGGGGATTTTTATTCTTATTTTTCTTTCTTTTTAAGCAGGCCGTTTGTAAAGCCACCCCTGATTCTGCTCTGGATTGACAGCCGCTGGCCCCGCCCAGGCCCGTTGACGGACAGCAGTGGGCGGGGCCAGCGCCGCCAAAGGCACGGGGGCGTTTTCGTGCGGGTTTGCGGAACGGGCCGTTGCGGTGAATGCGTGATTGAGGTCCCGCAGCTAATAATCGTCCCCCTTTTTGGGGCCGGAGTGCGCGGCACGGAGGAGCATCCGGAATAGGTAATATCCCAATCTTCCATCCATCCAGTGGCTGCATGGACGGTGTCAGTGTGTGGATGGCTTTGCATTGATATTGCCATTGTCGCTTCATCTGTCCTAGCTCCTCCGCTTGTGGAGGGTGGGAGGGAGTCAGACAGATGGGGGGGCAATGATTAAAATAAATAAATAAGCTCTTGTCTAATCAAATGTGTTCAACGCCTACGGGTCTCTTATAGATCATGACACTTCAGTTGGTGCGTTGCCATGGTAAATTAGAGCTTTGTGAAGGAGGGGGGGTGAAAATGATTTGAGGAATTTACAATTTAAATGAGTGTCAGGTTTTGTTGTTATCCTTCCATGTCTGGGGGAAAGCAGCCTTATTGCAACAGACCTAGCAGAGCAGCAGCAGGCCTGTTCTTGGAAGTGGCCATCAGGATTTTCTTTTTTTTTTTTTTAAAGATAAGAGACGACGAGATGGGGGTTTATGAAAATGTAGGCTAAGCCGACAGGACCTGAGATTTTAAATCTATGGCCTAAAACATCATCTCATCTTGTTTTTTAAAATGTCATTCCTGCAGGCGAGGTTGTTCGTGGCTTGTCCTCTGTTGTAAGAGTAGATTGTCATCTCTTAAAAAAAAAGCACAGACAGGTGCAGGGCCAATGAATGTTATTTATTAATATAGAAAGCAGTGCAATGATAATAACAGCATGGCCTTGGACTCTCTCTCTCTCTCTCTCTCTCTCCACACACACACACACACACACACACACACACACATACATACACTCACAGTGGGACTGAAAGAAAGATATTTCACAAGCATTTTGCCAGTCTTCATATGACTTGTGTAAAGGAATCTGTTGCTACAGAGTCCGGCTGTGTTTAAAATAGATTTAAGTGCTTTTCGTGGCCAGAGGGCTGTGGACTGCTGCCACAGTGAAAACCTGAAGACTTTACTTATTGATAAAGACTATTTGCAGGATCTAGTACCTAAAAAGCTTCTTGTGCATGATGTGTGTGTGTGTTTTTTTCCTTTCGCTTGTGTAGACTTATGCTTGCATATCTACAAGTCTCTGTGTGTGTGTGTGTGTGTGTGTGTGTGTGTGTGTGTGTGTGAGTGTGTGTGATGTGGTGATGTCACAGCTTTGTTATAGGAACAGAGAAGCCTTGTGTCCTCATGATTAATTCATGTCCAGCTGCGGGATAGAGACAGAAGCAGCCAGTCACACACAGACAGGAGCACGTACTTAAAGGAGGCTGAAATAAGTAACTACCGGTCCGGTAGCCAAGGAGACAGGAGAGACAGGTTGTGACAGAAATGGGTAACCATGGAGACGAGACGAAAAAAGCAGCAAAAAACGAACCAAGGGGGCTCTCATCATCGTCTGCGCTGTCTGACAAGCTTTCAGGCTGTACTGGGGAGGAGCAGAGCATCCTGCTGAGAGAAGTGCATCTGTTGTGTGTGTGTGGCTCCTCTGCATCCTTCTCCAGCTACACTCTGAATGTCAAGCCCCACTGAACAGAACAGGCTCCAGGTCGTCATGGAGACAGGAGCAGACCCCCGCTGGAACAGAGGCAGGTAGTCACTGTGGCTTGGCTGGCCTGCTGTGTGCTGAGGCACGCCCTCTGCTGTCCGCTGATAGCATCAGGCCCACGGGGGCTCGTGGCGAGTAGAGCGTCTGAAGGTCTGAATGGCTTTGGATGTGAAACACTGTGGAAATGATCAGTGCACACAGTGCATTAGCTCTGGGGACGCACTCTCCTCAGTGGAGTGCTATATTTCAAGACTTTGCTTTAGGCATGTTCTCTTTCTGCTGCAGAGGAGAGTGAGTGCATCTACTGTACATGGCCTGAACCAGAAATATCAAGTTCGCTGTGGGGAGTGTTGAAAGAATTCCTACTATTTTCTTGTCTTTTTTTGTAGACTTGACTGCCTTTCAGAGCCTCACTCATCCTCTCTCCTGTCTCATTTTCTGCCTCTTTCAGATTTATACATCCCTTTTATCTCTTTCACCCCTCTTCTCATCTCTCTTTCTTCTTCCTCGCTCTGTCCCTGCTCCTTTCTACCCCTCACTGGCACTACCCCCCCTGTTGCTTTCCCAATCCCACTTCCTCTGATCTGTGTCCTCTCTCTGCCTCAATCCCAGATAATTCCCTCTCTGTGGAATTGGAAGATTGCAGCAGGCGAGAGCAAAAGAGAGATTATACTGCCAGATTAGTGGACAGGAGCAGCAATACATAATCTCGGCACACTCGCTGATACACACACACACACACACACACACACACACACACACACAGTGTCACTCTCGATCTCATGCAGACACGTGCACAAAGCATTTGCCACATGAATAAATGCACGAGCGCATAATCAGACACTTGTTTTTCAGAAACAGCTGTTTAACCCTCTTGCTTTGCCCCTCTGACCTGCAGGGTGATGTGCCATCAGCCACTGGGGGGCATCTGTCCTCTCTGCAACTTGTTCATCTTGTGAAGCTTATGGGATAGGAGTGTGTGTGCCCCTTCCCAACACTGCTGCCCCACTGGAGTCATTTGTGCCAAAGCTGAGTTGTGTCAAAGGAGCAGAGATGGGCAGCCCGGGCTGCGAGGTGGGTCTAGCCGGGCCGGTGGAACCAGCCTTGGAGTCTCTGTGTCCTGAGTGCGGCCAGATCCACCGCAGCTGGGAGAACCACCTTTACAACTACCGTCTGGAGGTGGACGATGACCTGGTGTGCCACATCTGCCTGCAGCCACTGGTGCAGCCACTCGACACACCGTGCGGTCACACCTTCTGCGCCCGCTGCCTGCGTAGCTTCCTCCAGGAGAGGGACTTCTGCCCGCTGGACAGGACACGGCTGCAGCTGCAGGCATGCCGCAGATCTAGCATACTGGTGCACAAGTTGCTGGACAAGCTGTCTGTCTCCTGCCCTTTGACCCCAGTCTGCTCTCTCAGCATGCCAAGATGTGACCTGGAGGCGCACCTCAAACACAGGTAATAAAGCTCACATGCTGATGACATGATAGATGAATGCTTTCATGAGTGCAAACACACACACACACACACACAAACACACACATACTCAGAGATCAAACTCTATGCCTGCATGATAACCAGGATTTCATAAGGCTTATACAGCTAAAGCAGCTTTATTGTATTGGAATCAATCTGACAATTAACAACAGATAGGTAGTTACTAATGAGCTGAAAGGATTAATCAATTAATCGATTAGTCGATCAACAGAAGATGAATCGGCAACAGTTAAGATAATGATCTGATCCGATCTTTAAGTAATTGTATAAGCAAAATGCCAACAATTCATTAGTTGTAGCTTCTTAGGAGTGAATATTTCAGCCCAGTTTAGTTTAGTGAACTATAGTTGTAAACTTGATACTTTTGGGTTTTGAATGGTTGGTTCAGATGAAATAAGAAATTCAACTCACCTCAGTTTGGGTTCTGGGAAACTGTAACAAGCATTTTCCTCCATTTTATACATTTTATAGGCCAAACCATTCATCTATTACTGGAGAAAGAGATTAAACAGATTAGTACATTATGAAAATAAACTAGTTAGCTCTGTATAACTTTAAACTAAAGTTGAATTCAAACCCTTCCGTCCTCATGATTGGCTCCTTTTCTGGCAGGAACTTTTAGAGGTATCATAGCTCTTAGTTCAGACTCACCCACAATCCATAACCTCAAGAGTTTCCGTCCATCCACACGCTTTGGCTTTTGGCCCATTTGGACCAGGTGCTGTGAGACCCTGAGGGGATTATTGGGCTGTAGGTCATGTGACGGGGGATTAGTGGTTCCCTACCGCAGTCATGGGTTGGCTGACCAGGAGCTCCATGTTCTCATTCTGCAATCATGCTGAGCAACTTCAACACCAGAGACCTTTTCAACCATTTCTTCTGTGAGACCGCCAAAGGCAACCCTGGCCTGTGGTGAGTCAAACAAGGCGGGATGTGAGGTCAGCCTGATGAGATGGCACAATGGCACCCTACTCTCACTGGTTCTTTCTGTCTTTCCTTCTGTCTGCCTCTCGGTTCTTTCTTTCTTGCTTTCCTGCTTTCTCTTGCACTGAAATACAAGACATTGCAGTGTGTCTGTGCATCAGAGTTGCTGTAGGGAGCCAAGGTTAGGTTGTTGTTGCTGTTTCATGGATGGGAGTAGTGTGAATGTTGCATGTGAGAGGATATCAATACACATGTACCAGTGCTCTAGACAGCATATAGAGATTTTACGTTGCTTGGTACAAATCTTTTGGTCAGAAGATGCTGTAAATGTGTAAAAAAACGTAACTACCGTGTTATCACCAGTGTTATTGATTTAGGAGCTTGATTTGAAGTTTTTTTAAAGATGTCTGCCGCTAAAGAGCCATCCATTGGTGTTATGGTGCCTGCTTATTGACTAGACATCCAGTGACCATCACACCTCAGTTAAGTCAAGAAGATTTCCCCTAACAAGCTCACACTAACAAGCAATCCCTCACAAGCTGTTAAAAGCTTCTGAATCAGCTGTTTTTACTGGAGACCTCCACCACAGACAGTCAGTTTTATGTCTTTAAAGAAGACTGAATGCTGAATGACGGCCACTGTATAATCTAAAATGGAGATGGACTGGATAATGGTCAGTTATAGGACGTAGTGTATCCGTAGTATTATTAAAAGCAGATTGATAAAGTCAGCAAACTGACTTGGTTTATAAAGTCGGTTACACATACCTGTCTAAATTTAGATAATGTTAGCTAATATTAGCCACCATAAGCTACTGGTCACAAATAAGTGCGTAACAGCAAAACCCCTGAGTGTATTAAAGTGAGTACGGGTGTGTTTTAATGTTTATTAATTTAACTTTTCATTTGATCATTTAAAAACACACATAGTCACAGTCATGCTTTAAGTGTGTACAAGTCTAAAAGTCTTGTTTTGTCTTTTCAAAAACAAGAAAAGGACCATTCTCTGGTACTGTTTCTCTTCTGATCTTCTCCACTAAGGTTCAGGATTTCAAAGCTGCAGCCTATTTAAACTTTATTTGTGCAGGCCTTTTTATCATTCTTTTTTTACAGTTATAGAAGTGTACTTCTTAGTGAAGGTTGCAAACATCATGTCCTGTCAAGAAGACAAGGAAAGATGCTTTAAGACAGATCAAAAGAGGTCACTGTGTGCACTAACGTGACATTCTTTAGTAAAGATTAAACCTCAGTCCCACGTGGGATTTCGCCTCTCCCCTACTCTGCAGACTTAGGTCTAAGATAGTAACAGGAGCCAAGACTGAGCTGTTACTGTGCGACTTTGTCAGTCAACATTGTTTATGTTGAAGATTAGGGATCACTGGACATAAGATTAAAAGGCGAGAGTGCGAGGCCGCAGTGTTCTCGTGGTCAAGGTGGGCTGTTTGATCTTATTACTGAGGTACTTTCACTGTTCCTGAACCAAAGTACTCAAATTAAAGTTTCTTAACTTGTTCAGATTTTACATATTTGTTTAAGATCTTTACCCTTTTTTCTCTCAAAACTATTTCATCTTAGTCGGTATGGAAAAGACTACGGGGCAAGATGTTGAAATTGAATTGAAATTTGGTGTATGAATGTGAGTTTGTGATTAGTCATCCATCACTGTATGAATATGGGTGAATGTGACATATGGTGCAAAAGTGCTTTGAGTGTTTGGCAGACTAGAAAGGCGCTGTACAAGTAAAGTCCATTTAAGAAGTATTTAAATAAGTCAATCAGCTCATACTGTTGCCGCCACTTATAGTATAGAAAGAGTCAATTAGGAGTAAGACCACATTGATCCCTCAAGTCTGTCTGTGTTTATTTTCAATTGTTTGTCAGTGAAGAGTTTCTATTTGTGGGATAAAAATTATGAATCCGTCTTCATCAGATTTGTGTTTATTTTGATGGAAAGAAACATCACATTATTATTATTATTATTATTATTATTATTATTATTATTATTATTATTATTAACTTTTACTGGTTTCAGCTTCTCAAATATAAATATTGGCTGTGTTCCTCTGTTTTATATCATTGTAAAGTAAATATCTTTAGGTTGTATCATTGTGGACACTGGAAAATTGTGATGGACATTTTTCACTATTTTCTATTACCTGATTTGTAGAAAATATAATTAATATATTTATAGCGCTAGTGGGAAACTAGTTGTCACAGCCTACATATTGGGAATCAACCACTATGGCTTTTTCAGGGCCAATACAGATACAGATTATTACTAATCAAGGAAACTGATAATCAATATTTATACCAATATACATACTAATACTTTTGTTCTTTTACTTAGTACTAATAATAATAATCAGAATAAAAACGTGACTCACATAGAAAGTATACAGATACACACAATTCACACAATATACACAGATACATTTATGCCCCACATATACTTATATATAATCTTTAGTGCAGCCCTACACCTAAAGAATATAAAGAAATGCAGCCATGGTCTCTGGTATTTTCTCTGAATCCCTCCGCACTACACGTGACCCTTCCCTCTGACCTCCTCTAAGGAGGGGACACACAAAAAGAGACTTTCCCTGATGAGATCCATTGAATCACATTAAATTAACTGATGGTGAACCTGATTTTCTTTACACGTCAGATGGACTAACAAACTGACGCCTGTTGCTTGGTGAAAGGTGTCCCGGGACGCGGTGTCAGCAGACGAGCGTGGAAGGTCCTCGGTGTGAGAGCGGGGATGAGCGAGCGATGGTGACCAGCCCTCCCAGGTCTCCCAGCTCCCCACAGACAGACCTAAGGGACCGCACACCCTCTCCTCCCTCCGGACCTAATAACACCAGCGGCAATGGGCCCATGTGGACAGACGACGCTGGGCTGGACAACCCTGCCTTTGAGGAGAGCACGGAGGAAGACAGTGAGTTGACCCACTGGTCCAAAGTGAAGAGATTTAGATTGTCTATGAAGTCGAAACAGCTTAGACATAATGTATTGATAAGACACAGTAGAAACGGCATCCATCTCTTCATGACTTTAGGTGTGGTCGGGCTGGAGTGTGTGGTCCCCAGGGTGAAGCGGCCCCTCAGTAATCCGTGCATCCACCTCCTCCGCTCTGTCAGCTCCACCTCCTCCGGCTGGGACTGCCCTGAGTCTCCGCCTCTCTCTGCTGAAGAGGGTATGACATCACTTCCTCCTCCAGCATCTTCCTAAAGGGCTGAACACTAGAGATCTGAGAAACACTGGATCTTATCTTTCTTGTTGTTGTAAGAGCTGTAATCTTAGACGACGGGATAATCGCATTCAGGCAACATTATGCTAAAGGTTAGGAGGATGTGGAAATTGAATTCTGAAATACAGCTGTGTAATGTGATTTGTGTGTCCATTAAGGCTGTGTGAAGTTGCCCTCGCTTCCTGAAGGAGAGATAACTGCCATAGAGGTCCACCGGGCGAACCCGTATGTTGAGCTGGGCATCAGCGTCGTTGGGGGAAACGAGACGCCTCTCATCAACATCGTGATCCAGGAAGTGTACAGAGACGGGGTCATTGCACGAGACGGGAGGCTGCTCGCCGGGGATCAGATATTACAGGTAAGAGCCTCGGTGACAACAAGAAAGGAGCTTCCAATTAATAATTAGTGACTGTTTTCATTCAAGATCCATGTTAATAGTAGCTGTTATGGCAGACAATAGTATCAGTATATAGTACATTATAATAAATGTTTTCTACCTTTTGTAAGGATTTTTGAGCAGATTTCAAGGATTATTGTCTCTTATCATTTTTTTCTTTTCTATACAATGTTAAATATCTTGTTCGCTTTCTATTAAATTAAGTTTCTAATCCATAATTTTATATTTATAATGGATCACATAAATACTTGTATGGGAAAAGAGTCGCTCATTGTGACAAATGCACCCAGCTCTGCAGTCCCCTCCCCCGACTCTAAGGAGCATTTTTAGCTCATTTGTTTGTTTTAAGGCCCACAACTTTACTGTTTTCACTGTGTTCACTCTCACTGCTTCCATCGATCAAATTTCCAGCCCCAGTGGTGAGAAAGCTTAAATAAACCCACCGTACACTCCCTGCCCACACATAATGGAGCACCAAATGAATGCAAATGTTGCTCTGTGTCTGCTGGGTAGCAATTAAATGTTAATGTTGTGTTTACAACTGAACCCCAACTGGCCAAAAAAATACAATTAATGCAGGTTTGAACATCAATCACCCCCAATTTATTTCTCCCAAGGTGAACAATGTGGACATCAGTAACGTCCCCCACAGTTTTGCCCGCTCTACACTGGGACGCCCCTGCACCACTTTGCAGCTGACTGTGCTTAGGGAGCGTCGTTGTGCCTCGCGGGCACCTCCCTCCTCTTCCTCCTCTACCCCGGCTGTGCCCCATGCTCCCTGCTCCACCCCTGAGGGCACCCCATCCAGCCCCGCCACACTGAGAATCACCCTACACAAGCGGGACTCAACAGAGCAGCTCGGCATCAAGCTGGTGCGGCGAACAGATGAGTCAGGAGTGTTTGTGTTGGATCTGCTAGAGGGAGGCCTGGCAGCGAAGGACGGCAGACTGCGGAGCAACGACCGTGTGTTGGCAGTCAACGAACAGGACTTACGCCACGGCACCCCGGAGCAAGCTGCACAGATCATACAGGTGGGGATGCTTTTGGTCATGAAGGATAGATTTCTTTTGGTGTTATTCTGAGGTAAAAACACAAAGAACAGAAAATCTGAGCGGGGGAAAAGTCCCTAAAAACTGATTCTATCTTCATAGGCGAGTGGGGAGCGAGTCCACCTGCTGATTGGACGACCCAACAAACCAACACCTCCTCCACCGCCAAAATCAAGCTCCACCAGAGACCTCTACTGCCTTGATCACTTCCTGCCTAACCACAGCTCTACCCCGAGTCCTGTGCCCATACACCTCTCCCGCACCAGCACTCACAGAGTGAGCGGATCTGTTATATCTGTGTGTGTGTGTGTGTGTGTGTGTGTGTGTGTGTGTGTGTGTATTAGTGTGTTTGTACATAAAGGCTGGATTATGTGTGATCAGGACTTTTAAGTTTTATTTTTCGGAAAAAAAGGTCAAATAATTGAATAACAGGTGAATTTCAGATAAAGCATTAATATAAACATTATGAATTAGACTTTAAAAATGCAATTTGTATGAAAAACACTTGTTTTTATTACTTTTAGGGACTTGTCTGCATCTTCCCCCTATTTTTCTCTTTACTTTTTATTGGTGCAGGCATTTTATAAGATGAAACATTTAAACCAAATGGTTTCTGAAGATTTGGGGTATTTATTGGTGAAAATCAGTAAAAATGATGTATAAAGAGTAGTAGAGCATTTACCTGTGAATAGACACAGAGAGTGAACCTGTGTTTGTGCGCGTCTTGCCTCTGTGTAATTGAATCCAGGACCTTTCCCAGTGTGTGTCCTGTAAGGAGAAGCACATCACTGTGAAGAAGGAACCCCTCGAGTCTCTGGGCATGACTGTTGCGGGAGGTCGCGGCAGCAAAAGCGGGGAGCTGCCAATCTTTGTGACCAGCGTCCAACCACACGGCTGCTTGTCGAGGGACGGACGAATCAAACGAGGTGAGTGCTCCCTCAGAAAACTGGACTAAATTCAGCTACATCTAAAAAAAACATTACATCAGAAACTACAGCGTCCTCTCACGCTCTCCTTCAGGTGACGTCTTGCTGAGTATCAATGGGCAGGACCTAACGTACCTCAGTCACAGTGAGGCTGTGGGCACCCTGAAGGCCAGTGCTGCCTCGCCCTCGGTGCAGCTGCGGGTGCTGGAGGTCAGCATGGTGGAAGAGCACGACCATGACGAGCTGCTGCCTCACACACATGACAGTGACTTTGATGCCAACTGGTCCCCCTCGTGGGTCATGTGGCTGGGCTTACCCAGGTGAGCACACAAAGGGGAGGAAGGATGACCTTTTTTTTTACTTCTTCCTCTAAGGACAATGAACTAAATTTGGGGGATTGGTTGTTTGTAAGTCTGGTTAGATGTAATTCTGTTGTAGTAGCTATTCTCACTTCAGTCGTATGGGTTTCTGACCATTTATTGAAAACTGCAGTCTGAGTAAATTAAGGTTAATGTCACTAATTCAATACATTTAATTAATTTTTTTTTAACTTTCTCTCACTCTTCACTTGCCTGTTGTGGTACTACACTTCTCTCATTCTCCTTCCTCAAAAGATCCGAGAATAGTAGAGAAATATGGCAAAAGTTGTACATTTCACTGTATTTATATGCATTTGGATGAAGTACATTTAGAGGTTTTTTGAATACCTCTAAAGAAATGTACCTCAGTGATTTAAAGTTGGCTAAAATACATACTTCAAACAATGGCTGATTTTGATGAAGCAGCATCTTTGCTCCTTTGAGGATACAGTCTATCTGTACTATCTCCCCAGCCCCTCCTTCACTCTGCTCTTTTTTTCTTGCAGCTACCTGCACAGTAGTCATGAGATTGTACTGCGGAGGAGCCATCCGGGCAGCTGGGGTTTCAGCATCGTCGGGGGATATGAGGAAAGCCACGGCAACCAGGCGTTCTTCATCAAGACCATCGTCCTTGGCACACCTGCGTACTACGATGGCCGCCTCAAGTGAGTGATCAGTTGTTCTTCACATGGCCATCTGTGGCTGATGTTAGCAACTACATAGCGGTGAATTAGCAGGTCGATGAACTGTGAACTCCAGTTGGTGATTGATAAGAGTGGTGTGATGATAGGCCACGCCCACAGAGTGCATTACAAGAACAAAACACTTTCTGTACAGATACAGATTTATTTTTGAAGTATACTTTTAATAAGAAACAACTGCATTTATTTACTATACTCATCTTTTCTCTCTCTGTGAACAAGCTTTCATTTTTATACCAGACTTCATAGGCGAGGCCTTTTTGCTGTGTCATCAGTGTCTTATCTGTTGTTTTAATGCAAACAGCTACCAATAAAAATATATTTAAACAGTTTGACCCAATCTTTGTACGCATATGTTATGAATATAAGTCAGAAATCTATCATCTATTGTAGGTAAACCCTGTTATGCAGTTCAAAAGCAGAGGTGGGACATTTAGTAAATGGATCTCTGGAGGTTTATTTAATTAATGTGAAAGTTTCAGAACTCGTCCCGAAGATAATATTTCTGTTAAATGTCATTTCCCACAATTGAACTAGGATCTTCTCCCTCGGGTCTTCCTTTTGTTCCTGTATCCTTTGTTGCCTTCAGTAAAAAGAATTAAAGGATTTGTCTTTTGATATTGTATATTGTAGCCAAAGCTCGATAATCCTCTGTGCCGTAGAGCTCCTTGGTTGAGTGAGCCACACTGTTGCACTGTTCCACATACAGCATCCTGCTAAAATGTGTGTTAATCCACATCTGAAAATAGTCGCCAACAAATACACCGTTTACTCTTGTTTGGGTGATGTTTGACCAGGTTTTAATTTATTTAAACTGGATTTAGGTCTTTTAGTAGGAATAAATGGACTCAGAAAGGGTCAAAAATAGTTGGAGAGCATTTGTGGTTTAAAGGCTGCAAGTCTCAAATCTCATGTTTTATCCAATTAACAGTCAAAGACATACAATTTACTATCATAGAAAAGTAGGAAAACCAGTAAATATTCCCATTTGAGATGCTGGAACCCATGATTTTTGGTATTTAGACTGAAACATTGACAAAATTGTTACTGATAAATTTTGTATCAAACAACTAATAAATTCAAATTTAGTTCTAATAAGTGGGAACACATTTTGTATTGCCAATCTCATCCTTTAACTGTATTTAAACATCCTGTGTAAGCACTGCTACAACTCATATGCTGTCCCATGTGGAGCTATAGTATGAATGGCACGTCACTCCAAGCTGTCAGGTCCTGTTTATAATCCACACTGACTTCTCTCTTGGTGTCACCGCAGGTGTGGTGACATGATTGTGGCAGTCAACGGCCTGTCGACAGCAGGAATGAGCCACTCAGCGCTGGTGCCTATGCTGAAGGAGCAGCGCAGCCGGGTGGCGCTTACTGTGGTCTCCTGGCCCGGCAGCCTGGTATAGCTGGGCCAGATCATAAGCAGGCTGCACACCACACTGAGTCCACCCAGAACGTTCTATATTGGGAACAACCTTGGCCAAAGTGAACTGGTACACGCTACTGTACATCGCTCCATACCGGGCTTAATCCAGGACCAAAAGCATTCAGAACTGTAGACCCAGCAGGACCAAGCCTGTCCTGACCAGGTGGGAACTGATCCAGATCGTGCCACGTCACTCGACAGACTGCACTCACAAACACACTGCTGAGATCATATGGTCATGTTGTCTTCACTCCCACAGGGAGAAATGGTACTGCAACTGTTAACAGGCGATCTGTGCTGTATTCACCTCACAAGGCAGTTGTAGAATCCAGGGCTGTATTCAGGTGGATGCATCGTTGCAGGTAGAGATAGAATATTTAAAAAAAATATTAAAAAAAGTAGCCTGTGATCCTCTGTCATCTAGGATAATGACCTGTAATCACTCTAGTCAAGATTTTCTGCGACACCAGCGCTGTATCCAGCTGAATAAGCCTCAGGCCTTATTAGAAACCTGCCGCACCCTGGGGGCTCAACTGCCCTTAGGCCTCATCACCATGACAACCAGCTGTCCCATCAGCTGGAGTTTTATACATGTGTGTGAATGTGTGTACTGTTTGTTTAATAAACATTTCCTTCAGAGGATTAATGGCTCTACGGTGCATTTTTCACAGCAATGAACAGGCAGAGAAAGACTATAGTGCTGCATTAATGAGGCTTTATTTTACATAAACAAAACTATATTAAACAGAACTATATTAAACAGAAATATTAGATTTGTTTCACCATTTAATTAACAGATATTTGTATAACGTGGCCTCAAGATTTGTTATCCTTTAAAGTTGTGTTGCGCAGCTTTTCAGTAAGCTTGTTGGTCTCTGCTTGATTGGCTGCAGCTGCCAGTCTGGCCCGCTGTGCCAGATGCCAGGGCTGATTCTTTTTAGGATGCAGTTTCTGGAAGGAGAACAAATATAATAGTCAAAACTCAATTTTCCTGTATAAAAGCAGGGACAAAAATTTAGATTAGGACAGATTACCTTCAGCTTTTTCTTTGCTGGGTCATGCACCACTCCATGTCGCCACAGGCTTTCCTGATTAACAATGAGACCAGTTACCAAATACACTGTATCAGTAGTTTAGAAGAATGAGTCACCCAAACTCTAAAAAACTAATTTTTAGTGTATACAGTGGCAGTTTTTAAATGTGCCAACAACAAGTGTAATTAAGGTTACTGGAATTTAGTTTGTGCTGCTTAAAATGAAAATGCATTTGAAAGTTTCCATAAGCAGAACATCTTGCCAAAACTAATTTTCCTTTTATTCACTGTTAACATTTTCTCTAGAAAGTAGTTCCAGATAACTAATCCATACAGCAAGGTCAAAATTATCTGGAGTAAGAGGGATGGGTTGCTGGAGAGAAAAGCTGCCGTTATTTTATTAATTTTTAAATGTAGTTTTCAATCTAAAAGTAATGCAAACTCACTCATTCACTTATTTTATTGGGTTGCAGCAAAGTGTCAATGTGCACAAACTTTAACAAGTAAACCATCAGCATGGCTGGACACCACTAGTTTGAGAAAGTAGTTTGTGATTGAAATGGTGCATGTTTACCTTCATGGTGAAGGTCTTCCCACACCCAGCAAACGCACAGCTGAACGGCTTCTTGCCCTCATGTTCTCCCAGTATGTGATTCTCCAAGTTGAAGCACCGAGTGAACTTTTTATTGCACCCTTCTCTGGGGCACGACAATATCCTCTTCTCCCCAGAGTGGACACGCAGCCCATGCTGGCGCAAGAACCAGGCGTTGTTAAACAGCTTTTTGCACTCTCCACACGGCACCTTGACTGAGAATTTAAAAAATAAGTCATTAAAAACAAGACTTAACATGAGACAAAAAAAAAACAAAACACCATCCAGCTTTACATTCATACCCTTATGTTCTTTTCTGTGCTTCTGATATTCTGTCCATGTCTTTCCCTGAAAAGGACATGCTTCATTCTCACAAGGGTAACCTGCAGCAGAGAGACACAAGTTTTTAAAAAACACAAACCAATTAAAAATAAAATTCATTTCAGTTCAGGTTGTCAACCAACCTGCATGCATTCTCTCATGATGCTTCAGTTTTCCATGAGTGGGAAATTCTCTAGCACAGCCACTGAAAGTACAACTACATCAAAAGATAAACAGAGTTCACATTTGAGATGGTTAAGCACAGATTAAATTTAAAAAAAAAGAAATGTCAGTTGCATCAGATGTGCGCCACTCACTGAAATGGCAGAAGCTGCTGGTGCTCACACATATGTGCTTTCAGTTGGTTCCTCTTGTTGAAATCCTTGCCACAGCCCTTCTGGTCACACTGGGAAACAAAAACCAAAACAAAAAAACAAGAGAACAGTAAGAGCAAAAGCAAGCCAGTACATCACGGTGAATCCCAACCTACTTAACACAAAATTAAAAAGCCAAACAGGAGGAAAACTTCAGGATTATTTTACACTATATCGCCTCTCCTTGAGCTGGTGAACTCGAGCCATGTGGTTCTTCATGCTGGTGTTTGTGACAAAGGCCTCAGAGCATCCATCAGCCAGACACCTGGAGACCAGAGCAGGTAACAGTTCAATGGCATCTTGAGTAAAAGGATTACATGTTACACCTCATAAAAAAAATAGAAATAAAAAAAAGGGACATAATGGCTTACTTGTGTGGTTTTTCTCCACTGTGAGTGAGCTCATGTCTGGTGAGCTGATAGCGAGTGCAAAAGCTCTTGTCACAGTTGTCACAGGAGAATGGTTTCTGAAGTTTGGGAAACATTTGACACATAATCCCAACAACCTTAATAGACAAACACGCTATGAGGCGTTATCATGTGTCCACGTCTTTTATCATTGTTCAGTTTGGCCTGCTAGCAGTGGGGAGCCACTTACCAATCCTGTGTGCTTGCAAAGATGAGCCTCTAGCTTCCATGACTTACTGAATTTAGCTTTACAATCAAAAAATGAGCAAACATAGCTTTTTTGACTATGCAACCTCTCCCCCATCTTTACTAAGAGATGTTAGATGTGGTGTTGTGGTCATAGACAAAACTAGTAGTAAAGGGGCAGGACACTTACTGACCTACAACCAGCAGCTCACCTGTGCTTCATTTATCTTATTGGAATGTACCAAGTAGAGCAAGAAAGGGGGGGGTGTCTATGATTCGATATTTAAACATTTTCACTTCATGTTATTTTAATTTTTTTTAAATGTACATGCTTAGACAACCATTTACTGTGTTATTGGCCTGGTTCAGCAGTTACCTACACTTATCTGTGCAGGATTGTAGTGCAAATGATCCCACATGTAAGACACTAAAAAATGATTTAGGCCCCTGAATTTAATAGTGATTCTATTGATACTCAAACATTATAAACGTCCATTACTCTTTCCTCCTCATTGATTGATTCAGGCTTTAAAAGTGTCACCCAGGCTCCTTGCAGTATGTGTCCCTATCTGCTGATCTGCTGTGTGTGTGTGTGTGTGTGTGTGTGTGTGTGTGTGTGTGTGTGTGTGTGTGTGGTGTGCAAGCAGGGAGAGAGGCGACTGTCTGTCTCCATTAATCACACACACACACACACACACACACACACACACACATAGAATTACTGCTCTAATCTTAATCTTATCAACTCTCCAATATTGTTTTCTGATAGCTGAGATTTATTGTTGTCAGAACTTAGTCTTCAGTGAGATACTTTGTAACCCACAAACCTGAAAATAATCGACCTTTCTCAGCCTTTAAAGCTACACTATGTAACTTTTGGAAAAAGAAATGACACATTCTTTCTCTAACAAATAGAAAATTTAATTCATAACATTTAAACATCTCTTTACTCAGTTTAATACACTGAGGAGTGTTGCTGCTACAGGTCCGACCGGTAACTTAACGCTAATGCTTGCTAATGTTAGCAAACTTAAGATAAATATTGCTGTCTAATACTCCAATACATCACTTAGTCACTGCTGAATTTATGACCCTATTGTAGCTATTTAATCACTTACAGCCAAAGCCAAAGGTTACACAGTCTTGCACTAAAGCTAGACTAACTTTAGTAACAGTAGCCATTGATAATAGTAAATGCTAAAACATACACAACAGTAGCACAAGTAGAGAACAGTCATAAAAACAGCATCAGCCATTTAATAAAGCAGAAATTCAAATATTAAAGCTGCAGTAAGTAACCTTTATGAAAAGACTCAACAATCAACTATCTTTCATGCCTCTGATTGGTTGTTTTCATTCAGGCACAGTGAAGGAGCACTTGGACGAAGCCAGAGGAACCAGATCTTTCCCTGTCAAGATATAGTGACAGCTTCAGCAAGTATAAAGAAGGTTATTTGTTTTATAAAAGTTTCCTTCTGCAGATAAAGATTACACCAAACTGCACCAAGTGTATTGAATGGAGCAAATGTGTTTGTTTATGAATCCAACTTTTTATATGCATGAGCTACTTTGTCTTTCAAAAGTTACACAGACTCCCTTTTAAAAAAAGAGACTGACAGTCCAATAACACTATCTGCTTGTCTAAACATTAGAGATCACCCTCTGCACCCATGCCATGCTCTCATGTGAAACCTTTGACTGACTTTTGTGAATAAGGCCTATTGAGAGCCTGTTGGGCGTTAACTCGGTGCCCTCCCACGCTTCAGGTAAGCATGTTGGGTCAGTTGACACCGTTATCAGCCTCCTCCTCTTTTCATCCGGTCACCCCCCCACCTACGTCCTCCACCTCTGCTGTCAGGGCCAGGATCAATACAGCTGGCCCAATATCCACATATATGACCATGCCTCCCCCCTCCTGTCTCTGATAACCACACAGACTCTATCACCACACCTATCACACACAGAGATACAGCATGCACTCTGTTTGGCCTGCAGTGGGATTTCCTTGTGCCTTTGTCAAACCTCCAGGCCGATCCCGAACACACACACACACACACACACACACACACACACACACATCATGTGGACACACACTGTCACACCTGCAATTGCATCACAGTCACAAATATTACTCTCAAGACCACTGAGGACGTTTTCTATTCAAGAGAGTATGAGGGATGGAGAGGCCATGGAAGGGGATAGCGAGTAGGAGAACAACACTTATATTTCCTCACTTACCCCACACTTCACCCCAGCACAATGTACACAGTACTAAAGTACAGTTTTGAGGTGTTTGCAGCGTACACCAGTATTTACACCAGTTTATGTTACTACGTACTTCTATTCCTCTTAATTTCTGAAGGAAATATTGTACTTTTTACTGCACTACACTTATCTTTCAGTCCATAGTGATCAAAGGTGCTGTACAAACGTGTAAATTGTTATCTGACAGCATAATTACAAGTCAAAAAATTTAAAATGTTTTTTAAATTATCTCCACCTCGACCTGCCACAACACTAAAATACTACAAACACATTAATACGTCAGTTAGAATAATCAATAATCAAGTGAAGTCAGGTCAAAACAGTTTTCCCATAACACAAAATCATAAATCACATTTTACTCATGATATTATAATATTCTGTCTGCATACTACATCACATGTAGTTTTACTTTTGATACTTTACCCACATTTTGCTAATAAAAGTGCTGATACTGAGGTATGAGTAGGAGGAAAAGGAGTATTTTTACACCCTAATATTTTTTGAAATTTCCCACAACAATTGTTTTGGGGCTTTTTGTCAAATTAAAAAAACAGCCATTTCCAGTCCCTATTAGTCCCTATTAATCTCCACAGAACACATTGCCAACAGTTTTTATAGGGACTATTTCTTCAGTGTGGATTACCCTGAGAAACCAAGAAACATTTTCTGCAACGTCACATAGCTGTTGACATTTTTCAGTGTTTTGAGCGCCACAAATGAAATCCCATTCATCTCCATTAGTGGCAGACATCTCAGAAACAGAAATCTCAGAACCTAAACCTAAATATCTGTGTGTTTAAATAGACATTTTCACGAGCCCATCCTTCAAAAGTGTGATCCAGGTGAGGCAGCGAGGCAGATAATGGTGAAATTTCATACCATCGTGCCACATTTACACACACTACTCTTGGATCAGGCCTGCCTGTGTCCATGTCCAATTATCTACTGTTTGTGTGTGTGTGGTTAATGTGTAACACAGCGGGTCGATGCGGCTGCTGTGAGCTGCAGGCTTGAGCTGACACTCTCAATCTGTGTGTGTCAAACGTGTGTGATTAAGGAGTTCATAGTGCTCCGCAGATTTTATCCACAAGCCTCGTCTTTTTCTGCCCTCCTACTTCTCACTTGCTTTCTCTCTCTCTCTTTCTCTCTCCTTCTCTGTTTACTTTCTGTTCCTTCAATCAGTAACTTCCATGAGTCAGTACCACACACATGACACTCTGGTGTATCTGTGAGAACACACACACACACACACACACACACACACACACACACACACACACACACACACACCTCAGAGGACTTATAATAGATGTATGGGTGGGTTAAAATTCATATTATGTTATATATATAAAAATTGGGGCTAAAAAAAGTAGTACAAATACATGATAAATTATCTTTAAACCACAATTTGCTGTGTTCATTCCTGCTAGAAGCTGTGGGAATACGCAATAACATAGAGGCACTATTCACCTTATCTTAATACTACAAGCAAAATCCAGGCCCTTGCTGATCAATACCAAGGGCTTTGGCTGCCAACCCGCTCATTGATTGATTGCATTTTATTTTTCCATCTGTTTTTTTTTCCTGGTTTTACCTCATCAGGTTGTTGGATACTTATTACTCTGTCCTGATAAGACCCATGTCTGAATTCACTGACCTCCCTGGCCTGCGGGGGGTTGACGAGTCGTCCACAAGAGGAATTACAACCATCACTATGTGTATAACCCACCCTCAACATGTATGGAAGATCCCTTCAAGAAAATTCAAGTGATGTACCCACAGACATAAAATATAATCCTCAGAGTGATTCGCTGTTGGCCTTCTCTGTGTCTCTCCCTCACACACACATACACACACACACACACACACACACACACACACACACACACACACACACACACACACACACACACACACACACACACTTTATCCTGTGAGCTGCTGACCCTATCTCTGTAAACTGCTGCTAATTCGTGTAAATATTGGGTAAAGTACTGAGGTGGGGTGAGATAACCTATTTGTCACATAACCAGCCAGCCATTCAGCCTCCACTGATTAAACAGCACACACATCAAGTGGTCACCACACACACACACACACACACACACACACACACACACACACACACACTGCTGCAAACATCGTGACAGAAAATATACAAGAAAAACATGATAACTTGATGGATTTTATACAGACAAAAGACAAAAAAGGGTTAACAAAGTCGTTCATGGGCTTCAGTTTATTACAGCTGATTGTATAAAGATAGTTATACTATAAAATATGCCATGTTATAATTTAAAGTGCATGGACATGGATTATGCTTATGTATAATTAATCTATTAAGATTATTTAATATATATAATGTATCTATAATTACTGTTTTGACTGTATAATTATTAAAAATTTGCATTCTCACTCGTTAAAACTGTTATTTTCATAAGAATTGTTTTGAACTATCAAATCTTGCTCTGAATAAATGCTCCTTGCTTCAAAAATGCTGAATCATGGTTTTAAAACGAAAGCTCATAGGTAACCCATATCAGCGGATATAAAAGTGCCCATTCAAAATATGGTTAATCATTCAATAAGGCACACTTTGATACTCATAAACTAACGTCTGCAGTTACAGTAAGGCTGCTGCCATACAGCTGAGGGGCCTAATGTTTAAGCTTGACACATATCCTGGTGCACACTGCCACCTACTGTACTACCACAGTAGAAACTCTGCCAGTGGCACCCACTTCATCAAAGGGACTGAATCAAATAAAGGTTTAGGGGTCCAAACAGTTAACTGTATACCTCTAAAATCTCTCAGTATAAGACAAACCCAGTTTCACATAATGAATTTTACCCAAATTATTCTTTTCTCTACTAAAAAGTCACAATAAATCACCCATACATCCCACAGAGCTCAATTTGTTTCAGCACATCCATTGTGAGAAAGCTTTGCCTCACTGCAACCTGCAGTCAATTCAGAAGTCGTCATTCAAATGCTTCCTAAATCACATTCTTTGTACACCACATGTGTTGAATGGTATTTGATAACTCCTACTTGTGTTTTAAAAGATGTTTCATATTCAGGACAAATAATGTTGATAGCATTTTAAACAGCTGACATTAATCAAAAGGTATTGAGTTAGTTTCTCTAGTGGAGTCTCCTCCGGTACACCAGGAAATCTATTCAGGGAGTTTTCTTTGACCCAGTGTCTGATGAAGATACTAATCAAAATCATATTCCATTTCTAACAAACGGGATCCCAAAACACAACGTGATAAAACTCAAACTCCTATATTTGTAGAATTGCAGACAGTAGTTTTGGGCTTTCTTCTGTCACCTTGAGCTTTGAGAAACAGTTTCCATGAATTTCCGGAACAATGATTGACAGATTATTCAATAATGAAAATAATTAGTTGCAGATGTACATGTGTGCTCATCACTCAGATTGTTACTCAAAGTGCATCCGATTTAATTTTGATCAATAGGAGAAGATCTTCAGCACATCATGACAAATATGTGAACAAATGACAATATGACAAGCAGTGTGTGTACAAATAACTTTTATTCTGGTGAGCGCTTTATGCCATGAACTCATAGGGGATGGGCTCCAGCAGCTGTGGCACGTTCTTCTTGGTGCTGACAAAGTGAGCGTCACGGGGAGGAGCAGGCTGTAGAGACGAGAGAGAGGGAGGGAATTTTAGAAGATCATATAATAAAAAGGGAAAAAAAAAAAAACAGGCAACTTTGCTTCTTGTAACCTTAAAATTTGTAGACTATTAAAATCAACACACACACACACACACACACACACACACACACACACACACACACACACACGTTTAACTTCTGGAGAAGTTTATTTTTCATAAAGCTTGACCATCATGCACTGAGCTCCTCTCTATCAATCTGTAGACATTCAGGTCCCCATTAATGCCCGTCAATAATTGGGCTTCTTCCCTGGAGTTTGTGCTTTCTCGTTTGGCAGGTTGGATCACAGTTACACCTGGAGCTGTGATCCTACTTCACATCCACTGCCATTATTATCATTATTATCATTATTATTATTATTAGTCTTATTTCTATTATATTATTATAATATAGACGGCCCACCTACAGCCTGCCTCTGCTTGTGGTTTCTGCCTCAAAAGGAAGTTTTTCATTAAGTGCTCATGGTGGGAATTGTTGGGTCTCTAAACAATTTTATGAAAAAGGAGTACAGTCTAGACTTGCTGTATATGAAAAGTATCATAAGATAACTGTTTTGATTTGGCACTTTATAAATAAAGTTTAATGCTGTGATTTAATTTCTGAATGTTTGAAATTGGATGTTCACTTTTTATAGCCACTATAGACTGCACTACTTCTTCCTGGAGGTCCCCAGAAAAATGGGAAATTTCACTATTTAATTGATCAGAAGTAACGAGAATATATAAGAATGACTACTGTGTTCATTAAGTTTCACTCTTCCACTTATAGCAGCTTATAGGCAATATTAATTCTCACTACGCAAGTAAATTTTGTATAAAAAAATGTATGTAAAAATATTATGTTACCTATGTAGGTTGACTAATTATTCTATCCTATTAGATTTTATTTTGATATATTAGTTAACTTCTGCGCCACCAGTCTACAACTCTTCATTATTCAATTCAAATGCAAAAACGTTAAGTAACTGAAGTCCTTCACAAAAGGAGGTTTTAACCAGGACAGTATGAAGATTTTTTTAATCTTATTTATTTATTGTTTTTACTAAAAATCCCTTAAAAAGAAAACAAGTAATTTTGAATAATTTCATACCTGACGCTTCAGTTCCACCCAGCTGCCCTTCTGCTTGGCCTCCATCTTCTTGCCCTCGTTCTCTTTGACGCGCTGCAGGAAACTGTCCCTGCTCTTTGAGTGCTTCACATGCTCAATGCGCACGTTAATCCTCTTGGCCAGGATCTTTCCCCTGTGAGAGCCAAAAGCATAAATGAGTTCATATAAAAAAAAAAAAACAAAAACAAACTACCAGGTAGCTTTAGCTTAAAATTCAAAGTAAAGCTGTTAATATCTACAACTCCTCTGCTGTCCCCTCAGTACAACCACAGGTCAAACAGGAGTTAGACTGGGCTGCTCGAGGATGAAATACTTTCCCCCACGTGAATGACCACTCAGGACATAAACAGCCCTGGTGGCAAAGTGAAGATGGGGTCACATTCCCCGTTAAAGACGAGGCCTATGAGCAAGCACACACCAAAAAACTAAAGCCAGGTTCTACAGTGACATCAATTCATCATCATAATCATTAACCCCCCCAATGTGCAGTACTAGAAGGGGAAGTTTTACAACATTAGCTGTTAGTTTGAAGGAGTTTTAAGTCCTTTAGGTGTGTGCCAGCTCAGAGTTACATACGCGTACACACATACGATAAACGTCACTTTCTACTTACTTGACCTGCTTGTTGACAATGATGCCGACAGCATGTTGGGTTACGTTGTAGACACGTCCTGTCTTGCCATGGTAGCACTTGTGGGGCATTCCTTTCTGAATGGTACCTGTGCCCTGAAAATAAAATCACATGTGACAATGTTAACACTATACAGCAACAATTAAAGTCACATTTTAACCAGCAGTCTTCCCATTATGAAACCAATAACATTCTTCCATTGTGTTAAATCTGACAGGAATGAGCAGCTCTCCTTCCTGCATTTGCTCCTAAATGTTAAGTTTAAAAAGGTTCCACTGAGTTTAAGTAAAGTCATCTCATTGACAAACATCTTCCATTCAGAAAATGTATATATGCTTACTTACTGCCTTTCCCAAAATCCTTTCAGTTAACTGGTACTTACAATTTCATATGTTTTAAGTGCTTTTTAACTACAACCTTCCACAAAAATGTTGATTACTTTAAGATTTACTGGACACAAAGCATAAGGTTAAAATTCTTGGATATATTAGATTATCTTATGCTTTGTGCACAATAACCTCAGATGTTATTCTGTGTATGAACTCGAACAGTAGGCGACAAGGATAGCAGCCAACACAAATTATGAGTCTTACCTTGATGTCAACGATGTCGCCCTTCCTGTAGATGCGCATGTAAGTGGACAGGGGAATTGGGCCTGTGAAATAAAGCAGCCAAATACTGAATGAATCACGTAGCACAGCAGTGACAGTGTTTCTAAGGCTGCACAAAACCAAATACCTTACACAAAAACAACAGGGGAAGGTGCTTTACAGTGTGGCTTCATATTAAAAGCTTCAGCTAGTTTGTACTCACCATGTTTGCGGAACTGCCTGCTGAACATGTACCGGGTCCCCCTCCTCTTGCCTCTGGTGTTCGTCATGATGCCTGATTACTGAGAGAAAACACACACGTCTGTTATTAATGACGGAGCCAGAAGATTTTCTTCTAACTCACAGAGAAGACATTAAAAATAAAATACATGACAATAAAAAAAAAAAGGAGTCTATTTTCTATCTAAGCCACACAATGATGGGAACTTAAGATCTGTTGTTTATAGAAATCATGGGCTTTTAGTATAAACTACAACAAGAAAGATGGAAATAAAGAGGCACCATGTTGGGGGGGGGGGCTGCAGTGACAACCCATAAACTATCACAGACCTAATGTCACACAAGATAAAAAGCTGATCCAAGTGAACGACAAACATTAGCAAGTGTATCCCTATATAGTAAAAAAAATAAACGGATGTTTTAGATAAATATGATCCAACATAAAACAACCATGTTAGGTTAAATCACACCTCAATGAGCGACTAACAAACACTTATCAAACACAGGTACAGCATCAAGTAGCACCGTGTCTGCAATGTACACAGTCTCGTTTACTAAAACAACGAATATCCACGATAAATGAGCCCCGTTGTATTTACAGCGGATGAAGGAGAGTGTTAAAGAGTAAATATAGTTTCTGTAGGTTTAAGCGTCAGGCCCACATGGACAGCCACGCTGCCGGTCCTGCTCACACCCAACGGATAATATCGATCTTTGGGACGGTTTTCAGCCTCCGTTCACCCACTGGGGGGTGAGGGGAGAGCTGCGATGCGTATATGAATGTAATTGTGCACGAATTATACCGATAATAAAGTAGAAAATAGCATTTAACACGGAGAGGATCTTACCCCCGGTCACTACAAGATGGCGGGTACGGCTGAAAGAGAGATCGTAGGACCCCAAACTCCGCCTTGTGAAATACGATTGAGGCAGGCCGCGATATTGCCTGAGCTAAAAGAATGTGCCGCTAAAGGAGGTAACAGTGGTCAGCAGACCCAGAGTCAGCACATTCAGCTATTACAGTTAAACCGTGACCGCCATTCCCGTACGTGAACTGGTCCTAGATCAGTTTTAATCGACAACATGTATGTGGTTTGTTTATTGTTTATCTCAGTCTACTACGTTACAAGAACGCATTTTTTAATTTCTTCTAACGTTTTTTTTTTTTTTCACATGTAACAGCCCAAACAATTTAACACTTTACACGGTGGCGCAAAGAGACGTATTAATCACAGATTTTGTGATGATACGCATGCGCAAAACTTGACCAAGGCCAACCCGGAATGTTTTGGTGACATGTCTGGTTACTTTATCAAAGATCCAACCGTTAATTAACGTGTCTGCGATACGTAAGCCGTTACCGGGAGGTCAGGGAGCGACCGAGAGAGTGACACCCACACCTCAAAACGAAGCGATACTCTTTACCGGACGCGATTAAAAGCAAAGACGGAAGCAACCGACGGGGAACGCTCTCGTTTTCTTCAGCCGTTGGACTTTCCGTCGCGAGCTCAGCAGAATAGCCAGCCTGCTCTCACGAGGGGAGTCTAGTCAGCGCGCGGCGGTGTGGTGGAAGATGGCGCTAGCCGAATGGAAATCCTAATGACAGTCTCCAAATTTGCCTCTTTTTGTACCATGGTGAGTGCACGGCAGTCTCCTACCGGCATCAGTCGGACTATCGGGTGTTAGGGAAACCGTGGCTGTGCTGTTATTGCCGTTTAAACCGTTGAATTACAAATAAAAGCAGTTGATCTCTGGTGTCTGTGCTAGCCAAGCAGTTTTCCGACCACCGCCAGGCAGCCACCCACTACCTTCTCCGTTCTGGGCTTATTGTGCTAGGTGGACACTCTTTAGTGTTTACTTCTGTTTTATGTATTAATCCACTCGTATTTTAACCGACTTATGTTGTTAGTACCAGCCTCGGCGTCTCTTGAGCACGGTGACAGTGCACCTGCTGCGGCTGGGATTCTCGGCTAAGTAGCTAACGTGAAGGTAACCAAAGCTAAAACCAGTGTTACATCTCGACAGCAGCTGGAACACAGCTGGATGATAGCCGGACACAGATACGATTAATCCGCAGTATGTGTGGGGAAATCTTTTTTTTTATTATTTTTTTAAGTTGGCGTTTTTTTGGCCTTTAACAAACTACCAGATCTTATTAACGCAGCCAATGACGACATGGTTTAACATTAGCTGCGCAGTTGTAGACCGGTTCCAGGTGCATGTCCACTCTGCACAATTTATTGCCATCTACATACTGTACCGTACTCTATTAACCCTTACCCAGTCACACTGGAGAGATATGCGTTTCCACCCAAAAACACCGACCGAGTCCTCTGCTAACTTTAAAAAACCCTCTGAGCGTCAATATTTTATGTTCTGACACAGATAATATGTGATCTCAGTTGAGTTTTACATTTAAAAGCTTTTCGGGATCGGTGTGATTGCTGGCCAGGGACAGCCCATCTGCAATTAAGCGTGCTTTTACCTTTTTAATATCATTAATGAACGTTTAAGTATCGGAAAAATGTCTCTGCTTGGAGTTTTTAACCACCTATTAGTTTTTTGTTTCATTCCAGAAACTAATTACCTTGAAAATCCCAAGCTGCCGTTATTTAATTTTGCAAACATTGGTGTGTTTCTGTCATGGTTCTGTTCAAACTAATAGCTGAACTTGCAATATGTCTTGTTTTACAAACTACTATATTTAAAATATATATATTTTTGGCTCTGTTCATTCATAGGGCGCCAATGCCTCTGCACTGGAGAAAGAGATTGGATCTGAGCAGTTTCCGGTCAATGAGCACTACTTTGGCCTGGTCAATGTAAGTGAACGATACACTGTGCAGATTCAGTGGGGTTTTTTTTTTAAGCATCTCCAGCTGACTCGTACTCAGACTCACACTTCTGCTGCATGCCATATGTGATTTCAGTTTGGGAACACCTGCTACTGCAACTCGGTGCTGCAGGCTCTGTACTTCTGCCGACCGTTTCGGGAGAAGATCTTGGCGTACCGCAGTCAGCCTCGGCGGAAGGAGAACCTGCTCACCTGCCTGGCCGACCTGTTTCACAGTATTGCCAACCAGAAGAGGAAAGTGGGCGTCATACCGCCCAAGAAGTTCATCACACGGCTACGCAAGGAGAATGGTGAGAGGAAACTTGATAAACTTAGAGAAATTCATGTGTTCAAAAGAAGCTATAGCAAGAGTGTCAAATCTATACTTTAAATTCCTCCTCCTCTTGTTTCTCCTTATCTCACTGACTCATGCAGACCCTGACGTACCTGTAGAACATGTAGAATAGCTGAAGTCTTTATCTCTGTGCTTTCTTCCTCAGAGCTGTTTGACAACTACATGCAGCAGGATGCCCACGAGTTCCTGAACTACCTGCTCAACACCATCGCAGATTTGCTTCAGGAGGAGAGGAAGCAGGACAAAACCAACGGCCGGCTTGCTAACGGCACACTGGACTCTCAGAACAACAACAGCAATGCCACGCCCGCTCCCACCTGGGTCCATGAGATCTTCCAAGGCACTCTGACCAATGAGACACGCTGCCTCACCTGTGAAACGGTAAGAGATGGTAAAAGAGGGCGGCCGTGGCTCAGTAGGTAGAGTGGGTTGGTGGTTCAAATGGGTCAAATGCAGAGGAAATCCATGTATGTTTCCATGTATGTTAAATGCTAAGAAATTACTATGAAGGCTATAAAGCCCTGATTGTTCTTATATTTTCATACAAGAGGGGAGTTTTAAGTGACGAAACGTCTTCTGTGTGACAACAGTCTTGTTTAAACATGTTTTCATTCAGGTTAAGCAGTCCTGCTGCTGATTTCAGGGATTAGTAAACATGCAGGTTGAAGCTTCTTGGCACAAGGCGAGAGAGCAGCTTAGGTTGTGTCAGCGTATGTGCAAATAATGTTTTAGGTTAATACAATAGAATGGCATACAGTAGGATTTTTATTGCCGTCTGGCCACAGCCCTCAGAGCACATTAACAAGTTATTTCTGTAATATTCCAAACTGATCAGGCTGACATTTGTATTGTGTTCAGTTTTATCTTATTTTGATCTCCTTTTTTCTCTTCAGATAAGCAGCAAAGATGAGGACTTTCTGGACCTTTCTGTGGATGTAGAACAGAATACCTCCATCACACACTGCCTCAGGTAAAGCAGAGCTGCAACAGGCACTGATCAAGCAGGATTAGTAGCTGATTGACACAAAATTAATCAGTAACTGTTACAATATTAAGTTGTTTTCAAGCACAAAAGCTAAACATTTGATGGTCTTGTCCTATGAAAAGTGAGGATTTTCTGCCTTACATTATAGTTAACTGAGTTTCCTTAGGATTTGGACTGTTGGACAAAAAGGGATTTGAAGACCTTGGGCTCGGGAAAATTGTGATGGACATTTTTCAGATATTTTAAAGACCAAACGATTAATGAAAAAAATAATCTGCAGATTATTGGTTATGAAAATGCAGCCTTAATTAGTAATTTAGTTCCTAATGTTGTAGGAACCTATTTTAAGTAATAAAAAGCAGACAGGTGTTTACTAGCATTACAGAACTAGTCTCTGCTTAATGGCATTGAGACTTTTTTAACGTATTTTAAGCAATTATTATTTTAATTTACAAGCTAATAACATTTTTAGAGGTTGCAGTCTGCTCTATAGATTAGACTGGATTGTCAAGGATAGGAAGAATCAGTCTGAGCCAAACGTTGAAAAAACGTGTGTTGTGTGTTTTTTTTGTGGGATTATTTAAAGGCCAAGTGTTTAAGATTTAGGCGGCTCTATTTACAGAATATAGCAGAAATTGTTTATAATACGCATAATTATGTTTTAATAACCTGAAAATAGGAACTGTTGTGGTTTTGTTACCTTACGGCCTGGATATACTGTACTGCATTGCTTTTGATTTTGGCACCAGTGTTAACAGATGCCACTAAATCCTACACACTGAAGGAGAGTGCAATGAATGTATGTGCTAACAATTATTTTCATTATCGATTAATCTGCCTTAATCGTTTTCTTGATTTTAAAATAGTTGCCAGCCAATCAGTCAATTGACAAATCGTTGCAGCTCTACACCAGACTGCATGAAGAGGACGCAGCGCTATATAAATAATTCATTTGTAAACATATTGTACGTTGACTAATTCTGTCTTTATGGCTCCTCTCAGAGGTTTCAGTAACACAGAGACACTGTGCAGTGAGTACAAATACTACTGTGAAGAATGTAGAAGCAAGCAGGAGGCACACAAGAGGTCAGTATACAGGTTCATTCTTAATGTGTGCTTTTTAGGTGTGTGTTATTGCATTTCTGTGTGGTTGGGTATAGAGAAATGACTGACCCTTTTAATATTTGTGACGTAGGATGCGTGTAAAGAAGCTGCCAATGATCTTGGCTTTGCATCTGAAGCGCTTTAAGTACATGGAGCAGCTGCAGCGCTACACCAAGCTCTCCTACCGCGTCGTCTTCCCCCTGGAGCTCCGCCTCTTCAACACCTCCGGGGACGCCACCAATCCCGAGAGGCTCTACGACCTGGTCGCCGTGGTGGTGCATTGTGGGAGGTGTGTAGGCGCAAAACACACTACCAGAATACAACACCTTTTTATAACCGTTTCCACAGCAACCGGAGACACGCAGACTAATCATTGTTCTAATAATAAAATGAATTTAAACGCGTTGGCACAAGAATAAAGGTACATTAGAATCTAAATCACACCTAACAAGAGAAAACACAGACCCTCGTCCATCATTGTTCAGATGTGCTGCACTTTTCTCAGTGCCAGTTTGGACCCAGTGTGAGTGGGAGTTCGTCTGTCTGTGTTTATAAAAGGTGTTTCCCTGCTTTCCACACAGTGCATGCTGAAACAGATTTCACGACTCTGAATAGAAAGAATTTATTAAATAAGAGTCTATTAAAAGGTCAAACGTATCTCGAGTTGAGCAAGTGAGTTGGGAGTCCTACAGATGTAAGTTATCTGTCTGAGTCTTCTCTTCTCCCTTTGAGCTTAACTCTCATTTCGGCTCATTCTTGACAGGCTTATTTTCACAGCAGGGAGATGTATCATCAAATTGATTTGAGGCTGTATATCGTGTGGGATTTCTCTTCTCATATTGTCAAGATAGCGCTTAAGTGACTTAAACTGAGAGAGATGAACAAATAATGTCTCTCCTTTATAGTCAACATATCCACAGAATGAGACTGCATACTCGGACCGCAACACTATATGTGAATACTTGACAATCGGCTTTAAAAATGTATTTATTAACATTAAAAGCCACTGCAGTAGTAGTATATTTTTGAGAAGTCACTGTGCCTTTTTCACTTTATTGCTTGGTTGTTGCTAAGATGATGATGATGTAATTGCTTCGTCCTCGGTTTCAAGTGCGCCCGAGGACCTTTGTTGAATGTCATTCCCAGGTTTCGCTCTCCCTCCTTGTTTCCTGTGTCCGTCTACTTTATCCTGTACAGTAACATAATAAATGCCCAAAATACTTAAGAAAAGTAGAAGCTGTCTGCTAAAGAAGTTCATGACCTCTAGTTTTTACACACTAGATGGCAAGAAAGGCTATGAGGTAATGAGCAAAGATGGATGATTTAATACTTCATGGCTTCATTCTAACCAAATCTAATCATCACATCATTATTGTTAACGCAACAACAAACAACAGTTCTGACTCCTTTTTTCTAGTTAAATTCATCAAAGAACTTCACAAACATACTTAAGCTTTATCTTCTATGAAAACCAATCAATCATTTTGCATAAGAGTTCAAAATAAATAATAATTATTATGGTCCATTTATTTATCGGCTATAATTTTATTATCCCCAAAGATTCATAATTATATAAATTTCCCATTTTATTGGCCGATAATTTATCTGTCTAATAATTATGGTGCATCCCTACTGTTTCTTCTATTGGTCCATTGCTTTGTCTCATGTTTACCCACTTTAATTACTTTTTCTCTGCTGCACACACTAATTCAACAGCACCATTTTTCTGTCAACATTGCCCAGCTCCCACCGTACTGTGAGTTTAGTACAGGTCTGATTTGATCAGTCGTTCCATTTTCAACATGTAACATGTTTGATTCACAGCTGCACAGATGTTTGTTTCGATAAAGGCCCTGTACACCCACACAGGTGTTTACACATTAGATCTCTGCGGTGGAGCTGTGCAGGAATTTCAGGGACAAATAAAAACGCTCAAGGTGCAACTTCTTCTGCTCAAACATGTCAGAGAGGGAGACAGTGTTTACACACCCGCCCAAGTCCTACGAAGGAGTCTTATAAGGCAAAATAAGTGATAAAGTGTAGTGGGTGTGTGTGGGTGGGTGGCCTTTTAAAGTCAGAGATATATCATTATGGAGGCTAAAGTTTATTCCGTAGAGCTAATGAAGTGTACTATTTCTTTTCAGTGGTCCAAACAGGGGTCACTACATTGCCATTGTGAAAAGCCACGACTTCTGGTTGCTGTTTGATGATGACATTGTGGAGGTAAGTGAGTTCATTTGTATGTGACTATATTGTATTCATGGTAAAATTGCATTTTTTCTCACCCTGCTGTGTGTCCTCTTTCTGTTCTTGTAGAAAATCGATGCACAGGCCATAGAAGAATTCTACGGTCTCACTTCTGAAATCTCCAAGAACTCTGAGTCGGGCTACATCCTCTTTTACCAGTCCAGAGACTAAATGTGGAGCAGAGAGTTTACCCGCAGAAACCGGGAGAAAATGCCCTGTTCCCTCTTTGTGGGGAGCAGCGGACTATAAACACACCACAGCAGCCCGTATGGGTGTCGTACCTGCCGGCACAGCTGTAATTCATACTCGTGCTTTTACGCACTCAGCGCTGCAGCTCAGTTGTGGAAGTCCCCCCCCCCCCCCACCCACCTTCCTCTTCTACGTCCCAGCTGTCCCTCCTGCCCTCCCCCTTATCCCCTTCACTCTGGCTGGACGTTGCTGCTGCTGCTGCTGCTGGCTGGGACAATGAGACGATAATGAATGAAAACTGTGTCAAGATTGTTTTTAAAAAAAAAAAAAAAAAGACGTTGAATGAGGGTTGTACAGATGTTGGTTGGTTGTATGAGTGGCGTATTAGTTTTTGCCTTGGGTGTGGGGTTGAATGGGTATTTAATAATTCATATGATGTAATATTGGCCTGGTGTCTTCACCCCCCCACATTGATATTCTGCAGTGGGATTTACTGAGAGTGGATCATGTTTTTGATCGTGGTTGTAAAGGAGGATGGGTGCGGGGTGAGTGTCCCACTTATGGGGTACATTGGGTTGTATATTTCTACAGTGTACAGGATGGTATTTGTATAAATATAACAAGAAGATAATATTATCATTGGAAAATGTTAGACCCTGAGAAGATGTATTAACACTATGGTGCACTTTTGATACCGTTTTGTAGGTGTTGGCAAGTTTAATGTGAGGGTTTGCTTAAAAAGGCCTGTTGTGAAGCAATTATTTTCTGTTTTAAAGAAAAAGAAATAAAGCCAGTAAGATTGAGGCAGGGTGTGCTCTATTTTCTGTGTCCCACAGGTGCACTGATGACTCATAGAGCTCAACGTCGCCCCTTAGCGGTGTTACCTGGTAGCTCTGCTCTCCCACTGCAACAGGAGCTATTTTTAATCCATTCAAACCCAAAAGGCAGGTGCTTTGTGGGGGGAAAAAAAGGTAGCCGACATAACACTTGGTCAGCTGAGTGTGGTCACATAAATGTACATTAACAAGTCTCCCATTAGCCTCTCATCAGCCGAAGTGTCTTGGAGGCAGTGCTGTAAGGATGGAGAGATGAGGCAGAGAAGATGGAGGACAGGAGAGAGAGAGAGAGAGGTGACACACATCAGGGTTGCTGTTAATAGCACAGACAGGACCAGAATAGCAGGGCGTCGCAGGAGGACAGTGAGTCTTCTGCATGTAACATCTTCATATCTGAAACTGGAGTCAGGCAGCACACAGTCACTGAAACCACTGAGCTGCTGCTTCAGGTGAGCACAAAGACGACACGTATCCAACGCCTGTGGAAAGAAACGGGTTTGACTTATAATAACCGAGTACCGGCATGTGAAAATACACACACACACACACACACACACACACACACACACACACACACACACACACACACACACACACACACACACACACACCCTGTCTTTGTCCTTGAGACAGCACTGACCAGACATTTAGCTCTTTAACGGAGTTCAACCGGTGTCTGGCCCATTTGGGACTCCTCCTTCATCATCGACCCCCTCCTCCTCCCATCCACACACCTCCCCTTCCTCCTCTTCTTCCTCTCTTCCGCCGCTGCTCCGCTCGCTGCTCCCCGCACAGCCGCAGTCCACGGCGATGCGCCGTTAACGGCAGAGCCGCTCCGCGCTCTTTTCTTCTTCCTCTTCTTCTTCCATCATCCCCGCTTTCAGTCAGAAAGGACCAGCATCCCTCCCCCCCGCCCCACTCTCCTCCTCCACCTCCCCGGGCTGCGTCTCTGTCCGCCGGCGCCGCACCATCCCTATCAATAACATGGAAATACAAGGCTGCCGTTCTTCCATCTAGACGGGAAGTCTCAGCTCACAGAGTCAAGGTAGGCTGGGTGGCGGCGGGCTGAGATTATTGAGCATCCTTCACATGCATAGAGAAATGCACCCTGTCTTTTTTCTTTTCTTTTATTTTTCTAGCATCCCTGTGCTGACGTGGAGCAGCCGCCGTGCTCCTCTGGTGCAAGGTGCAGAGATGGTAAAGCAGCACCATATGGCCACCCAGTGTGAGATGCATATATGGTGTTAGAGGCTGTATTTCCATGACGGGTGCGGTATCTTCTGCTGTTGAGAGCGGCTCATGGTGTCTGACAGCGGTGTGAATTATTGCCGGTGCCGGCGGAGTCTTATCGATATCCTCTCTTAGGAAAATGTGGCCTGAAAATTTGCTGCAAAGCCAGCTTTGGTTTTCTATTATCCTCTTTCATTTACTTTGTCCGTGCATTAATAAGTAAAGCTCCTCACGTGTGTTTTAACCTATAGGCCTCTGTTGTAACAGCCTGAACAGTCAGTGGGTTTCATTCCCAGAGGAAAATACATGACCTGTTAACTGCAGCTATAATGTACATTTCTACTGCTGTACCACGTTTCATTATGTAAAGAGAGAGAAGTGTGTGCGTTCACAGGCTGAGATTAATCCATTTATATTCTGGGATGAGTAACGCAGGTGTCTTAAAAACAACATAAATCCAGTGGCGCGCACAGAGGCGGGGTAGGGTGGGGGCAGGAGGGAAACAGCCCCCACTGTTTCGTGTATGAAATTGTAAAGCTAAAAAAAAAAAAATATTATTTATAGAGACACGTGTTTGGGATTTATTTATGGCCCCAGTCCCTGTTGGGTTAGAACTGTTGTATGCCACCAGTGATACAAACTCTCTCTGCGTATCAAATACTCAACTCAGATATCACAACTGTCTCTCTCTGTGTGTGTGTGTGTGTGTGTGTGTGTGTGTGTGTGTGTGTGTGTGTGTGTGTGTGTGTGTGTGTGTGTGTGACATTTCAGACGGGGGGCACAATGAGTGAAGAGCCAGCGGTCACCCCCAGCTGGCTGACTCCTGACCCCACAGCATGGGCCAGCGGAGGCGGGGGACCAATGGACAACAGCACCGGCCTGGGGACATTCCCACCTGACTCCCTCCCGCCCAACCAGCTGCCGCTGCTTGTCAACCCGTGGGACATTGTGCTGTGCTCATCGGGGACTCTGATAGCCTGCGAGAACGCCCTGGTGGTTCTGGTGATCTGGCAGAACCCGGCGCTCAGAGCTCCCATGTTCCTGCTGATTGGCAGCCTGGCGCTGGCCGACCTGCTGGCCGGCCTGGGCCTGGTGCTTCATTTCACCTGTGCCTACTTGCTCCGTTCCGACGCGGCCCAGTTGCTGACTGTGGGTCTGGTGGTGGCCTCCTTCTCCGCCTCCGTCTTCAGCCTGCTGGCCATTACTATTGACCGCTACCTGTCGCTGTACTATGCCCTCACCTACAACTCAGAGCGGACAGCAGCCTTCACCTCCACCATGCTGGTGCTGCTGTGGGGCCTCTCCCTGTGTCTGGGCCTGCTGCCGGTCACAGGGGTCAACTGCCTGGCAGAGGAGGCTACATGCAGTGTGGTGCGGCCGCTCACAAAGAACAACATTGCCGTGCTGTCCGTCTCTTTCCTGCTGCTCTTCGGCCTCATGCTGCAACTCTACGTCCAGATCTGCAAGATAGTGATGCGCCACGCTCACCAGATCGCCCTCCAGCACCACTTCCTGGCTGCCACCCCCCACTACGTCACCACACGGAAGGGCGTGTCCACGCTGGCCATCATCCTGGGTACCTTTGCTGCCTGCTGGATGCCATTCACTGTCTACTCTCTCATCGCCGACTACACCTACCCTCCACTCTACACCTACGCCACCCTGGTGCCTGCCACCTACAACTCCGTCATCAACCCGGTCATCTACGCCTTCAGGAACCAGGAGATCCAGAAGGCGCTGTGGCTGGTGTGCTGCGGCTGTGTGCCTGCCAGCGTGGCCCAGCGTGCACGGACCCCTAGCGACGTCTGATCAAGCAGACCCAGGTGGGAAGAGAGAGGCGGCCTGGGTCAGCTCTGCTCCTCACTGGATCCGTCTGGTGTGAAAGAGAGCAGCGGCAGTGGAGGTCAGGGGACGTGGCGCTGTGGTTGTCAGTTGTGGCTGGAGGCAGTTTGGTTAGTCATCCACAGCCCACCTCGATGGATGGCTTTTATTTTCTTTGTTACACTCACTGTAGGGCAAGGTTTCTCACTGTCTTCCCCAGTAAAGGCGGCATCCCGCCTCCTCCCGTTCAACCCGTGCCACGCCCTTCCTCTGTTCTGCAGAGAGCGCTGAGTGCATCACGTGTTACAGGCAGCAGCTGTATATAGACTGTGCATATAGTTAACAGCATTGGAGCTTTGGTTGACACGTGCTTGCTTCCCCCCCTCTTCTAACAGGGAGGGATTATTAGTTTGTGCCCATGTGCGTGCGTAAAAGCGCACGGCAGATTAACAAAGCAGTGTGTGCGGTGAGGAGAGGAGAGAGCGGCCGCGGCTGAATGCGCAGGCATTTCCACATAAAGCCCGTCTGGAGCTGGAGCAGCATCCCGGCGCTCTGCTGCTGCACTCTGGACGTGCGTCGAAAGCTAAACAGCCGCGGAGAGCTAAAAATAGACCCGGCGCTCTCTGATCCGCGCCCTGCGTCCTCCACAGACGCCGAGAAAGAAATCAAGCCCTTTCTTCTCTTCGCCTCTCCAATTTACTCTTGTCTTCCCCCCCCTCCTCTCTCTCTCTCTCTCTCTCTTTGGGTTGTGTGTGAATGTGTTTTTAGTTCAGCTCGCGTCTGGGAGGCTCGAGACAAAGCCCCAGGAGACCCCACTATTAACCCCTCCTCCAGTCTTTATTATTAATGGTGGCACGAAACCGAATATCGGCCCATCGGATTATGTAACCACCGTATATCCCTCCTCTTTCACTTTTTAAATGGAGATTGCTTATGACTTTTTGAATGTCCGGAGATTTACTCGAGAAAAACCCCACAAAAGAAATATCCTTATTTTTAATTATGCTATAGGAGATTAAATGAACACGCTTATGATCAAATCACTACAAACCTGTAGATAAAAGCCCAAATTGCAAAATAATTTAAGTGATGTTTGTGTAGAAATCTGCGAAATCTGAATATATTTCCATGTGATTTTCTTTTTGGCTCACACAGAGTATCACACCAACCACATAATATCTGATCTGCATGTTAGACTTTGTGTAATTTGCATGCAACAAGCACCGATCTCCTTTTTCTTTTCCCCTCCCTCCTGGGCTCGATGTGGTAGGTCACATAGGCCACTGCAGGCCATGTGTCATGATCCCCTGATGTCATCATGACCTTAAAAATTTTGTTTATGTACCACAATGCACCTCACATGTATTGCATTGAATGAGCTACAATCCTCACTGGATGGTCACAAGAGTTACACTCTTTGAAAAATGAGGATTTTTTTTATAAATGCTGTGTAGTTTGAAGTTCAGAGGCGTTCTCACAGCTCTGCTTTGATCATGATTTGACTTCCACTAAGTGTAATTCAACCGAAGCCCAAATCACAACACGTACCAGCTGCTCTGAGTTAGTTACCCATTATTTTTTGGTCTCAAAATGAGTTCGCAAACTCAACAAAGTGCACGCTAGTTCCTCATTCCTTCAGATCATGTCAGCAATAACTAGCCTATGAATGGTAGTTATTTTTTTTGTAGATGTGAAGCAATACTCAGAGAGCAATAACATCCACGTCCTACCATGACTTCTTCCTGCAGAGTCAAATACCATAAACGGCTGCTCGGGTGGGGGAACAGTGTTGCAGTGAATGGGCTCAGCAAGCTACAAATGATGCTTCAGTGATACATCTTCGAAAAGGTGGTACGATAATCACTCCTGGGCTTGATCAAACGACTCATTTTGTCACGGTGACACCACTGCCTCATTCCTCTGCAAAGTTTTCTTTCTGACCCAAAATCAGGCTTTGATCATTTGTCACACCAGGATGAAATTGTATTTTTCTTTTGAGGGGGTGGGGGTTGCCTCTGCCTTTTGGGAGCATATGAACCGTCCTGAGTGTTGTAACCTCAAGTGTCAGTGTGTGATTTGGGACTGTTTTTTTGTTCCCCGTGCATACAGTATGAGTTGCATGGCCTCTGGGTGTGTGTGCATGTGTCTGTGTGCGTGTGTGTGCGTGTGTGTTTGTGATCCAGCAGCTCAGCAGACCACAGTCTGTCTCCTTGTGTTGTCCAGGGGGAAGGGAAGTGGGTAAAACACGTCTGAGGAATATAAATTCCTGTTGACCCCCCCTGACCTTTTGAGGATAATGCTGCCAGTCTTCCTGTCAACTCTGAGAGAAGTGGCCTCGTTATGTGTTTGTAGAGCTTTTTTGAAGACGAATGGGACTAGGATGTGGAGGCTCCAGCACTTCAAGCCAAAGTGAAAGGGACTCTGAATGAACTGGGATCCTAGTCCTGCTGTGTGTTTTCTGTCTCCTCTATATCACTAATATACTCTACTTTAAATCAATCTAGTCTGGTCGAGGCAGGTGTCCGTTAAGTGACCTCTGAATGATTCTATGAGCTAAAAAAAGGCCACTTCCAAATACGAGGATAATGCTTCTTCTACGCTTCCTTGCTGCTTCCCCTCTCTGTGGGCCCGATCGGAGGCATTTGGGGAGCTCCCAATCTTCATCTTTCTGGCCTCAGATCAGGTGCAAAGTGTTTTGAAAAGAAAACAAAATGTGAGGGGATGAGTAAAGAAAGCTGAAGAATAGCATTTTCTAAGCATTGGGATTGTAGCCTGTGTATGTGAACTTGTGCACAGTGTCAGACTGATTCCTGTCGTTATTCGATGAGCACCAACAGGTCAGGCTGGCACATCGAAAAACCATCACAAACTCTTATTCCTTTACCTTTGGAGAAAAGTCTATTTTGTTATATTCATTGAAAAGTTCTATTTTTTTCCACTTTAGTCCGGCCTGAATTCTTTCAGATTCTGATGTTGTACGATATAACGGCGCTGTAAAAGCCTTTTTCTGAATGTAGTAATACTCAAATTGTTTAACGGATATCCCCTCCTCTCGATTCATTTGCTTTTTGTAAATACGGCATGCTGAAGAGGAGGGACTTTATATACCACCGCGCATGGTGCTACCAAAGCCAGTCACACTAGGGGGATGAGATGGGTTGCACCAGTTTTTTGAATTAATGTAGAATTTCTTCTGTTTGGTTCCTCGCTTCAATATGCACCAGTTTGTAATGGCTGGTTAAAGGACGATCGAGCGGATTTGGCTACACAGGTGAGGGATGTTTGAGGAATAAATAAATTGGTACACGACTTTTTCTGATTGGTGAATGTTTTCCTCTTGTGCAGCCAACAGTATCGTGAGATTTTCATAGTTAAAACAGGTGTGAACAAGGGCTTTGTATCCAAGAATAGTAAAAGACTGTGATGTTGGATGTAATACTTCTCTGTATACACACACCTGATAATCTATTGAATGATTTCACAGTGTAATAGTACACAAAGTTGTGTGCAAAGCAAGTGGGTCTTTGAGAAAATGTGTTGCCAACGATGGGCTGTTAGTTCAGCGGGAGGAGGTTTTTCTGATGGTTACTAATCCAGAGCTAAATATCAAAACAGTTAAGGGCCTGTTTGTGTGTGTGTGTGTGTGTGTGTGTGTGTGTGTGTGTGTGTGTGTGTGTGTGTGTGTGTGTGTGTGTGTGTGTGTGTGTGTGTGTGTGTGTGTGTGTGTGTGTTTTGGGGTGGGGGGTTGGAGATGGGAGAACGCCACAGTAACAGCATCTTGTGTAAACCGTATGCATAGTTTTCAATGTGAAATGCACTTTATTTTTTGGATGAAAATGGCACAACAAATTAAGTATCTGCAAAATGAAACGTATAAACGATAATCAACATGCACTAACTTAACTGAGATATTGTAAAAACATTTGTGTGAACGTGGTGTCTATTTTTCCAAGGTGTTAGTTGTACTTTTTATTGCTTTGGTTAGTTCACTCAATTGAGAGATCTTGTTAATTTTGTATTAAAAACAAACATGTGCTGTGCATAAAACTCCTGCCTTGACTAATTTGTTCATTCTTGCCCTGGCTCTGTGCCCCCCCCCTTCTTCGCACCCTCCTGTTTCCCTGGCAACCCTCTTCTTAGCTGTAATGTTACCATGGAAACTGAAGTCTTAAAGCCAGGTATGTGTTGTCTCTATGACGACAGTGGAACAGCAAAGAGATATGGCAGCCCAGCCATGATCTTTCATTCATTGTTTTATTTTTCTCTGGGTCAAAGGTTACACAGCTCACACTATCATATACGTGACCCCCCCCCCTTCCCTCCCACACAGCAGTGATTGATTGCAGACGCAGATGGCTCAATCAATTCTCATATTTATGATCAATAATTCTTTTTACACATCGCCCTCTCATCCATCTTTAACACAGCATTTTTAAAAGGCTCTCTCCATTCGCTCTCTCATCGGCCTGAATACATTATCAACGACTGCAGCTTCCACTGAGCTCATCCGTTACTCTTTCACTTACGGTGGTTAAAAACTTGCCTCATGGTCTATGGCATAAGCAAGTGTTTCAGTAAAAACATAAAAAAAGACAAAGTACATTGGTTAGCTTCGAGAGGAAAGTTTCTAACTTTTCTAACACTCTCCTGCGACTATACATGAAATATGCACCTTCACAGGGTGTCCATAGTGTTATAACAGGTAGATAAACAGCCACTGGGGTGTATTCACAATGCTTTGAAATATATATATATATATTAACTGAGTGTTAATGTTTCAGATAGTGGTCAGTTACAGCATATTACTTGTGTCTTTACAGTGTTTATGCATCTTGAATACACCCCCAGATTTCCAGTTTTGAACCATTCAGCTTATATCAACCTACAGCATGTGATTGTGTGTAGGTGTGGTGTGTTTTTCAGCAACAAAGTGTGTGACAACCCGTGCGTGTGGTACAGTGGGCATTCTTTCAAGTGAGTGTGAGATCGACTGATTGTGTGTGTGTGTGTGTTTGTGTGTTTGTGTGTGTGTGTGTGTGTGTGTGTGTGTGTATCTTCAGTGTTTTGTTTTTTTTAATGTATGTTAATCCGACCAATCGTTCTCCTCCAACTCGGAGTCGTCCTCAGAGTCGGAGTATTCCACAGCGATGCGTCGCGACAGGATGGTGGCCACGTCATTTCCAACCGGCTCCCTCTTAGCCTGCTGCTCCTGCTGCTCCTGCACCTTCTTCAACTGGATGCCTGTGGGGAAAATATGGGATGTAAAGCCAGGTTTTTAACTGACACAGTGGCTCTTAAATACAGTGTAAAGTACCTTAATTTTAGTATATTTTCCTTCATTACAGATTAAGCTGAGCACTCTGAATTACAGCATTTCTATTTAAATATCAAGCATAGTAACTGTAAATTTACATTCCTAATTTTAGAGTAAACTAGATATAACAAATTCATACATGTAAGGCGTCTGGGACTGCTCCCTAGGTCTACTTCGTCCTACTGAAGTTATGAATACATGAGGTTTTGCAATGTAATGGATGGTTATAATTGACAGTTCAGTTATTGTCAATTTAGATTTTGTGACTTTTTAAAAACATGCCTGATCTCTCATTGTTTCAGATACCAGAGATAACAAGAGGGCTGTCTTTGGTGTAACCTTCTTAAGACATACAGGCAAAATATAAAAGTACATTTTTAGATTTTCACTTGATTCTTTCCTTTTTAATCAATTCTGTGCTTATAAAAAGTGTTCATCCACTTACAAGTTATCACTTAAAGGGTCTTTTTCTGTAGCCACATTAACATTTCCAAAGTGGTAAATACTTTTTAAGTATATGTATTCATGTTTGTGTATATGTCAGTTCTAGCACTTTTTTATTATAGGTTATTTTAAAGGTAATACTTATGCATATTGTTAAGATACACATATACATTAAAATGACACATCTTTCTGGGTACACATACACACAGTACAGCTCTTACCCATACGTATAGCAGCCAGCAGATCACTGCGGGCATCATTGACCACTGTGGTCTCAGCGGGGGCAGAGGAGGACATCTTGTGGACTGTGAAGTGGGAGACACCAGCTGGAAGGGGAGGAGGTGGAGGACCAGGGGGAGGGGGAGCTGCATGGGCTCCTGATACAGGTGGCGGAGGCGGAGCGTAGCCACCAGCGCCGCCCATTGGTCCAGGAGGCATCGGACCTCCGGGTGGTGAGGCAAAGGCAGTTTGAGCAGAAGGGATGAGAGGGGCTGGAGGCGGGGGAGGGGGACCAGTGTTGGCATAGCCATCCATACTGCAAGATAGAGAGAATGAAAGAGGATTAATAGAGTTAAGAAAAATGACAGCAGTCTGTACTTGCTACCACACCTGCAGTCATCAGGGTTTGAGAAAGACAGAGACCCACTAGGTGGCAGCATTAGCTCAAAGTTCATATGAGTGGATCAAGTACAAATATTGAGGGACACTTATATGATTTGATTTAGGAAGAAGGATAACGGACATTGTAACCCCTTCTCCAATCCCCAACTAGCTGCTATTGTATATGTATTGTTTGTGATGATTATTTTAATGTCTGCATGTCATGTTTTGTTGCTCACTGTCAGCAAAGATTCTGAAAATTATACAGAAACTTCAGATAATTCAGCCACTTCTGCAGCAAGAAAATGAAAGCACGTAGCAAATAATGATATATATATATATATATAGAATTGCTGTGACGACAGTGTGGACAAAACTTGAATTACAGCATTAAGAGAATGTAAAAAGTGTGTGTTCCATTGACTCTAGCTTTCATTTTTACCTGTAGTCCATTGGTGGAAGGGACATTGAGCCACCGTTCATAGCCTCAGTGGGTGGAGGAGGCAGTGGGACTTGGTGGTGGTGAGAACGGCCCAGTGTCCCACCCTGATAGGCCATCATACTCCTGCCTCTACTGTCATGTTCACCTCCTCCACGGGGGCCGTGCCCTGCAGCCATCTGAGCAGCCAGGATGCTGGGCGGTGGGCCGGAGTAGGTGTGGGCGTGGCCGGCATGGTTCATGGAGTTGGGGTAGTGGTGCTGATCAGGACCGGGACCCCTGAAGAAAGTGGGTGAAACAGAAAACAATAAAAATGCAGAAATAATACTGCCCATTTCTCCAACTTGTGACTGAAATTATGGAACCATATAATGTTTCTTCGAATAAGTGATCTACCTGTTCTCTGGTGACATTGAGCCCTCAGAGGAAGCTCCTCTGTCTCGGTGTATGGTGTGTCGATGGTCTGGCCTCAGCTCTTTATCCAGAGCAAGCATGTTCCACTCCTGCCGACGGTTCCTCGCCTTTCGGACCTTCTTCACCTCTCTCTGTAACGTCCCATCCACACAACGCCTCTGCTCCTAAGAGAAAGAGAGAGAAAGAGATTAGAAAGATATTGTGGCATGTACAGTATTTAAATCAATGGTCAACCAATATGGGTTTTTCCCTAGCCGATGCCAATGCCGTAAAATTTACAATTTTATTGTATTCTAAAATCTAGATAAAAAGTTGCACTACATTGGACAGAATGGCTCCGAGCCAGACGCTGGCAGGCAAGTAAACTCTTTTACTAAAAAAGTAAAATTTGACCAAAACAAACTAATGGTATATTAAACAATAGCATTATCTGTGAGATCCTCAAGGACATAGTTGTACCTTCTGCTTCCTCTTCTCTTTCCTCTTATCCTCCGTGTCCTGCAGCATCTTTTCCTTCCACAGGTCGAAGAAGTAGGAGGGATCGGTGTAGAACTTAAGTGCTTCCTTGTGGTCATCCCTAAAGAAACATATAGCGAGGTTATACAGGTGCAGGTAGAGTAAATGCATTGTCTTTTTTCAGGCAGAATGACAAGACAGAAAAAAAGGGTAGTATTTTTTGCCTCAGTGTGTCTCTTTGGGAAGACTAAGTCGGGTATGAAACATGTGAAGCTATGAATATTGCAAAAGTGGAGGAGGTTGATGGAAGAACAAGGGTGAAATTATGCTGCATTTATATCACAGAGACAGCATAACTGGAAACGACAGGATGAACCAGTGAAAAGGGAGAGAGACAGAAAGACTGGAGTCAGAGAGAGAAAAGTGTGCTATGTAGTCAGGGTTAGGAGTTGGATTCCCACTGGAACCAGCCATGCTAAATATGTAATGCACCCAAAGTACTGGAAAGCACAGTGGATAAAAGCAGCTACAGAATAGCGGTAGGAAATAGTACCAAAATGTGCTGTTTCACTGTCAATGTAGGTCAGAAACAAGCAGCCAAAATCAAATCAAGAAGAGTGGATGACTTTAAGAATTACTGTCAAAGTTATAAAGTAGGACACATGGTTTCAATATGAAATGTAAGCTATTTAATAGTTCTGATCCAATTTTTATTTTTTCACATTGTAAAACTGCTTTGTGTACAAAATAACACGTTAAAACTGTCCATGTTTGAAGACTGCACTAAGCAAAAGAGTCTCTTGAAGTGATGTATACATTCTAGAAAATATGGCTGTGATTATGCTTTATGAGTACGCTGGAGGTCTGAGTGTTTGGTGAGCGTGTGTGCATCAACAACGCCGACCTGTAAGTTGAGAGGATGTTGAGTGGCGGAGGCTTGTCACTCAGATTGTACATCTCTCGCACAGGATTGGGCACGCTGTTCTTGGACACCACCTGCTGGTCCTGGATGGTGGAGCTTTTGAAGGCTTTCCTCATGTTGATGTCTTGTAGGGAAACTGAGAACATAAAAAGAGGAAGAGAGGACAAATGAGTGGTCTACTGGAAGGAGGAAGAAGAAAGAAAGAAAGAAATAAACAATGGAGAATGATTTCCTGTGCTTTTCCCTCTAACATCTGACCCACCTTCTTCTACGGTGGAGTCCAGCTGTGTGACCTTGACGGCCAGCCGGTCAATGCGGTCCTGCAGAGAGTTGGCACGCAGATAAAAGGTGTTGGCCTCGTTAAACAGCTCGCCAAATATGTCTTCCGCATGTTTACCTTGAAGGGAACAGCAGAAAGAGACAGACAGGGGAAATTTGAGAGAAAGAAGGAGACTTGTAATCATTATCTGGAGCCAAGTAAATCCCCACAGAGACTGAAGTCCAATCAATACAAAAGGTAATGTGACACAATGTGAAGTCTTGAGAGTCTGTGCGGGAAATGGCATCTCATACAGCTCCATATAGCAACATTCCTAATTAATAATTTAAGCTGATCCGACTGCAGAAATCCTGTTACATGTACATCATACTCCCATTATTCTAGTGTTAGAGTTCAGTAAGTAAAAGTAGATTATGGATAAGATTCCCACTCCAAAACCTGTTTTTACAAGAAGAAAAGGAGTAACTACACATTTATATTTATATTTATGAACCCATGGCAACCCTCCAGATGTTCACACATATGGACTCAAAGACCGAAGAAGATTCATTATTGTGAATTGAACCTCAATATATAAACCCCAGTGCTGGCTGCAGACTGAAAGACTCAAAGGTCATAATGTATTGGAGCTGGGGAAGATTCAAATCAATGCAAATATCCTCTGGTATGCAGGAGTTTCATGCTTGGTCAGATTTCCAGTCAAGTACATGTCAGTTGTGGTCCTGAAATGGTTTCTATTCATATAATACATGGTGTGAATGGGGGTTTAGCCCCTGGGTACAGATTAACAGTTTGTAAAGAAGAGCCCTACGTTAACACCAGAATGGATCACAGCATTTTTTAACATTTGGTTGGATGACAAACATTTAGTTTTTTGTTTCTAACCCAAATTCACACTTTGTTCTTAACCGTGTTTTGGAGATTAACCCTGAAATGTAAGGATGACCCTTCTCTGGAATTTGGTTTAGTAAGGGCCAAGGGACTGTTAACTTGATGAAGACCTAAACTCTAGGCTGTGGGGGTCTTAACCCCTTAGGGCTAATGAGCGTAAAAGCCTTTTTACAAGGGCAGTCCTTAAATGAAAAGACCAGGATGAAAACAAATTCCACCCCTGGATGTCAACAGGTTAAAAGCAATTCACGCTGAACACTGCTCTAATGATATTGTTTAATTATAGAACACCATGTAAAAAGGCGGTACGGCAAACCCTCACAAACACACGTTAAGGGCTATTTGTGGCCCTCCTGCTGACAGGATGGGCTGCAGGAAAAATATTTAGAGGAAGGAAGAATCACAGATCCGGCATGCTGAGCCCAGTCAACTCTGACCTCTCCTGAGGATTCTTAGGGTCCACTTTACACACATACATGTGCACACAGACATGCACAGTGTATGTAGTCTGTAGATACACCCTTCCAGGCCTGTGTGGGCATTTATATATAGCTCCCACAGCTGCTGCTGAAAGGCCCACTCCCAGCGCAGGAACTTGACACAATAAGAGACTGGACAGAGAATGGATATAACTGGGTCAACAAGTGAAGGGTTAACAGCAAGAAACACTGTTTACATTCATGAATGACCTCTCAACACACTGGTGAGAGGTCATGAAACAAGGACATGAGCCTGGAAGATGAAAGGGAAGATAGATGCCCTTGATGCTGTAATAACTCTGTCTAATACATTTACAGTGAACATAACAATCAATATAAAACAGTAATGCACACAAACACAGTTAACACATACCCATCCAGTCATGCATACAAAAGCACACTGAAATACACACACACACACGTCTATCTGCACACAGCTGTCCAGATGAGTTCATTTTTGCAGAGCTATCTAAAAGGATTACATTTCAAGCGTCCATGTTCCAGTGCGAGGCCGCTGTAAGTCTGCTGCTAGCACAGTGACCCCAGGCCCTGTAACCATGACAACCCCAAATCAATCACAGCTTCGGGATTAATGATGAAAGCATGTGATCTTGTCCAGCCACAAAGAGGCTACACACAGTGTAGACAGTTGTCATACTGGAGTTAGTGGGGTTAAAGCCTGGAGGACGCTGTAGTTTCAATCTGTTTATAATCTGTTATAACCCTCTGTTTCTGTTTTTTTCTCTAAATTTGAGGCTTTTAGCAGTAATTTTCTTCTTCAAAGGCGACATTGTGTGCCTGTGTTTGTCTATGTGAGTGTTAGTGTGAGTGTGTCTCTTACTCAGGCTGCTGAGCTGACGGATGATGGCAGAGAGCGTGTTGTTCATCACACACTCCAGCTCACTGCCAATGCCCTCGGGGAGCTCCCCTCGGCAGAGGTGACGAGGCTCGATGTTCCTCTTCACCAACGGCATGGCGAGGTCTCACACCGACACAAACTGCAAGGACACATTGGGAACAAGAACACGCTGTTTTAGACACCGGTACCCTGGTTGGAGAGACTGTCTGTGACACAGAAGCCAGCAGATGTTAGGCAACTGCATCCGACCCACTGGACAGGTGAACACACCTGCCATCGGAGAAACACATATCAATATATAACAGAAATTGTGATAAGACGCTAGATATTGCATGTATGTTCAATTTTTATAACGTACCAAAATAGTCAATCAAGGTTGCAACTATTTTTTTTATTATCAATTACGTGTCAGAAAATAGTACTTGTTCAGTCCGCCCTACGGTCCAAAACCCAAAGATATTATATATATATATATATGTATATAGAAGCTGGAACCAGAGACAGTCCCCACATAATTTCCTGTTGATCTATTAATTGGCTAATTGTTTCCTAGTCTTTTAGGCAGACATACAGTTAAATTATTACAACAATAACAACAAGCTGCTTGGCTATCACATTCAAATTAAGGGTTTTATCTGAGCAACCACTCATAGTTTTGATTATATATTGTATGAATGCACCAATAACCATTTTCAAAGTACAGTTTCAATTATTGTTGATTCCAATTGAATGAGTCAAAGTGATGATATGATCAAAATATTAACCAAATGTATTAAACCTGCAATAAATGTTACTCCTCTGTTCCAGGTCATGTCATCACTATAAATTAATTAGTAGAAAACAAGGTTGTTTCTATGTTTCTGTCCACCCTCTGTATATAAAGTATGGTGTATGTAAAAACAAATAGAGCATGGGTGAGCCAATGGCCAGATAACTGATAGTGATGACCGACGGTGTCCCAAAGCAAGAAGACTTGTGACGACCAGCAGAGAGATTAAAGCATTAGGGAGGAGAAGATACAGGGTGCCAGCTAATCCCAGGCCAGCTTGTCATTGGCCCAGCTGGAATCATGACACAAACAGAGATTCATGGATATGGTCCAACAAACACCAAAAACACATAAAATGATGGAGCACGCCAAAGTCAAATGGGTATTTACATAGATGAATGCACTGTAGACGCCTACAGCTTCACCACTTCCTGTATGTTAGACACATTTGCCCCCCGTAGAAACTCTGGACTTGACTGTTTAAATTAAACCCTCATTGGCTTCGATCAGACACTCTTCACTCTCTGTAGTTCAAAGGACTACAGACAATTACTCAAAGCAGGAGAAATCCCAAGGTGCACCAGAGCAGCCATCTTATCGGAGCTTCTTCCTGCTTCCTGTTTTTGCGGTCTTAGCCTGACTCCGGTTTCCTGGTCCTCCCTATGTCACATGTCTCCTTCCTGTCCAAACACTTGACCAGAACAATACGGCTATGGCTCAAGAAGCAACCGGGAGGATGGATAAGGGAGACAGATGGAAATATGCACACGCCCCTTTCAAAACCATCTAAAGTAAGTTTTAGATTCGCCAATCAAATGATTCGCTCTTAATTGCAGTTCCAGAGTTTTTACTGTGCAGCTACGCCAAAAAAAAAAAAAAAAAAAGTAATTTCAGAGAAAAGCAGGTTGGAGAGACACAGGAGCTCTGGCACTGTGACAGGAGGCTAATAATAGCTGACAGGTACTAGAAATACAACTTATGTTTGTTAGATCCAGCACATATTCATTTATGATCACAATTAATTTGATTTGATGGGAAATAAGTATCAAAATAGTTGTAAACCTACCACAACTACAAAATACAGGCCTTCCAAGTGACTTAAAATATGTATCTTTTATTCTTTGTTAATAATTATCTCTTGAGAGGCCGAAAAGAAAGGTGAGGTGACATCTTCAATACAATAAATCACCAACAAAGCAAGTAGCAGTGCTGTGCTATCGGTGTTTCAGCAGGAAACTACTGTAATTACAGATTGTGTCATTACAGCTGTCCAAGACAGAAGAGAGACACTTCTGTTCACTGGGGCCAATTCCCACCAGCCGAGCCCTCATCTGGCCTCGTTTTCTCAGCTAGCGACCCCCTGCAAACCCCAACAGCCCCACGCCAACTAGAGAAAACAAAGAGCAAAATTACACCATCATGTGCTACCACAAAGGACATTGAATACAGTCAATAAGGTCTGGCTCGGAGCAAAAGAGCTCCATGAAATTAGCAGTCAGTATAAACATTTTGGAAAACACTGTGCTGCTTGTAGGATAGGATAGGTTGGGAAGGAGGTGATGCAAATGAGAAGATTGCATGTTTTTGCTTTTACTGTCTGGCTGGCATGACAATCACATCAATGAGGCGAAATAATGAGCGACTGGGAGCGAGCAGGAGGAGGGAGGAGGGAGCAGGGATGGGCCTTGTCTGTTTTGTGAGAAATTAGGAGAAAGTGGTAAAGGAAAGGAGGGTGCATGAGAGACCGAAAAGAGACAGTGAATGAGACAGTGTGTGAGAAAGAGAGAAAAGGTTGTGTGCAACATTACGAGGTGGACAAAGTATGTATGTGTGTTTATGTGTGTGTGTGTGTGTGTGTGTGTGTGTGTGTGTGTGTGTGAGGGAGAAAGAGTGTATTGGGTGGGGGGAGGGGTAGGAACAGGGACCTCGGGGAAGCCACTGAAAGGTTCCCGGGACAATAGAGCTCCGTTCACACGGCAACAGCACTAGCTCTCCCATGCATCCTTCCCCCCCTCTCCTCTACCTCCTCCTCTTCGACCTTCTTTAAGGCCCCCTGTACTCTCGCAATGAAAGCGTAGCAAGCAAGTGCTCCTCCTCCTTCATCCTCCACTCACTCCAGGGAGAAAGACAGGGGCAAGAAAGGGAGAGTAAAGCCTGAACATGAGCCCATCTCACCCACAACACCACAGAGGAAGGCCTGAGCTTGTGTTTTCAAACATAGATTCTCCCTCTCATGATTCATTTCTCACTCATCCTGTTTGTCATGTGTTCATGGATGCTTAATTTATTACAACCCAACATGCACACTTAGGCATTCAGGCATATAAACACACACAAACACATACAAACACACCGGGTAGCCTCTCAAATGTCCCATCAGCAGCAAAAATGTCTCTGGTCCTCTGACGGGTGACATTCAGGCTGCGTTTGGGATAAAACACACTCCTCCTGTGACTCCTGCAAGACACATCTCTACACCAACACACAGAGACCGAAGAGCCCTTTTACTACAGATGTGAGAACTCCATTAAGCTCTGAAAGGGGAGTCATTACCAATTTATGAGCCGGGTACAGCTTCTTGTGTTGCAGGCTGTTTTGCTTGTTCTGATGTTATGAATAATGCAGTCTGGATTACGTCAGGTCACACTGCCCTAAATATGACGTAAAAAAACCTCTGCTGTGACACTGTGCCTGTCCAAGAACATCCCAATATTACTCAGGGGCACCCAGGTTGAAACATTCCCGATGCTGTGCCTGTACGGCAAAGTAAAGGTAAAAGTATCTACTGAACAGTGAATCCTGACTGGGTACCGAGTCGGCAATAACTTTAATCTTCTTTTTTGTGTGTCCAAAAAGACAAAACATCAGCAAAATCATAACAATATAAACCCTGTCATTAAAGATATGTAATGATTCAGAGCAAACTGTAATTCTAAATTAACAAAATGTAGGACTTTCGAACATCAATTTAATTATGTAATATGTGATTTTGCATACTTTTTCCATACTGTGATATATATCTTCCACAATACCGTCCATCTCTAATCTGTTGAGTAAATCTGCAGGATTACACTTATACAAATACCTGACTTTTTAATGCAAACATGACCCAAAGTTATCATAATCCTAAATGTGATACAATGGGCTGAACAGCAGATTCATTTTGTAGTTGATCGATTAATCCAATTGATTCAAAATCTGGTAATCAATCAAGTTATATAAAGAGCGTATATGGTTTGATAGTGTTTGCTTTTCGTCTTTTAACCTATATTAAATATTTAAACTGCTTTTAGCTTTTAATCAGATTACATTTCTCACTTTGAGCCCCATTTGTTTTGTGTTACCTTGCCTTTTTATACATTAGGTTGTCCATTAATTAATCTAAAATGTGGTTGATTAATTGATTGATAGTGAATAGTTGCATCCTAGATATTGGTGATTTATATTATATGAAAACAAGGTGAGCTGTTATTATATCATCAGTATTTACTACTTTATGTCAAAGTTAATAAAACTGTATTATATTGATGTTTTCATGCCTTAAAATTCCCAGTTTCTCCACACACACACACACACACACACACACACACACACACACTCCCTTTCTCTCTTCCCTACAGGCTGAAACACGCACATTCACAGGAACACACACACACACACACACACACACACACACACACACACACACACACACACAGGCGTGAACTAATGGCAACCGCGATCAATCAGTGTTCCGCACCATCGCTTCCCGTTACTGATGGACTGACCCACATCTGTTCATCTACCTCGGTTCCCCATGAATTTATGCCAGCTTTAATCTTAAATTTAACCGAGCCGATTTATGCCTATGTGTCTTATAAACTGATTAAACACGCCGGTACACAACCAACACCAATTATGTGGTTAAAGTTGCCCACTTGCGGGAAAAATTGTGATTTTTTTAAGGCAGGTTTCGGCTACGGTGGAGTCCGTTTATTATCCTCAACTGGGGGTCCGCTCCAACTGACCACTTGGTTTAAGCTAGCTTATGTCCACTGTTCGAGTTCTTAGTTTGGACAAATTAGACCACAGTCAACAGAAATAACCACACACATTTCACCATTTACACAACATGTGTTATTAGTCGTTGTAAAAAGTATCGTAAGGCCCTCACCAGCACTTGAAATATTAGAAGAAATCAGCCCGTCCGCATGTCCCGTTAGATACTCCTATTAGCTCTTCCATCCTGTGTCCCCCAGCCCGTCTGGCCACTCCGGGGAAAAAGCCTTTGAGGACAGGGACACGCCCACCGGTCACATCCACCAATCACATCTCGCAAAAGGGGCTTTAACACATGACGGACGTTCTTATCAGCCAATGGGATCTCTCTAACGGTTTGAGTGACAGGGAGACTCCCCAGCTCGTTAGCGGTGTTGCGAGTGGAGGAGGCGGGGCTACAGTTGGGCGTTGCTGAAGAGCTTAACGGGGGTTTTTATACGCAACTGGGTCCCATTCCCTGTCAAAATTATAAGGGCTTTAAATTCATCTCAGGGCCTGTGGGGATTTTGTAGACATCAAGACCTATTTAACTAACGAGTAATAGCAGAATATTGAGAGCTAGGGTTTTTTTTTTTTTTTTTTAGGGGGATAGTAATATGCTTTCAGGCAGTGATGCTGAGAGTGAGCTGGGATAGTATTGTATAACGGACTGAAATAGATGGGCCAGCATCCTACAGGAAGAGGTTCAATGGGAAGACTTGCTATACTTAGATCTGAGCTTAGCTCTCCCAGGTGTGTTTGTAGACAAAAACAGTCTGAGGAAGATGATAAAAGCAGGGAAAGTGGGCAGAGAATTAGACCGTGGTCGGTTTAGTCCATTAGAGAGAGAAAGGGAGTTTTTTCATAATTAAACAAAATGCAGTTCTAATCCAGGATGGGGGGGGGGCATGGCCTGCATCTGTTAAACAGCTGTCAGTTTAACATATATAATTGATTTAGACATGACTGCCAAAGCACACATGTATGTGACAATGTGATAAAGTGGGGCAGTAGAGAGAGAAAAGACTATGTTGGCATACTCGGACGTCACAGCCAATGTATGACTCTTTGTTCCAAGCTCGAGTTTCTAGTGCACGTGAAAATTTCATGTTGATCAACAGAAAATGAATCAGCAAATGTTTTCATAGTTCATTTACAAGCAAAAATGTAAAATAGTCTCTGGTTACAGACTCTTAAAGGTGACAATTTGCTGCTTTTCTTTGAATAGTTGTAGGGTTTAGACTGTTAAATGTATATCAACTTGTGCTATTGGAAATTGTAAGTGCCTTTCTCACTATTTGCTGATTGTATATAGACAAAATTAACTGATTAAATCAATATTGAAAAGAAATAAGTACAAATAACACATTTAAATATTTGTTGCAGCCCTACTTCACAGAGGATATTTCTTTAAGTGAGCTTTTAGCTTAAAGTCTTCTGTCCTAAACTCTAAAAATAACATTTTCAGGTTAGCATATCAAAGAGCCATTATAAGTAGGACAATGACCATGTGAGATTTCTGTGACACTGGATGTTGTTATAAGCATAAAGATGGATGTCACCATTAAAAACAGAGTCTTCCAGCTATTACATATGCATTTCCTGCAAGCGTATACAATTTACATGAAGTCTTGAGAAAAAGTTAGCAGCTCTAGCTTTGTGAAGCAAAAGAAAAGAAAGTAAGAAAGAAAGATGTCATTAAGCTGCAAAAGTCAAATACTTGTTTACGTTTGCATCACTGATCAGCTGCTTGCACATACTCACTCCCAAAATATCAATGTTTCCACTTTTATTGTCAGGGTACTTGCTTCATGTAAAATATTTCAATACAATACAGTACAATGCATGTTCCATCTGCCATCCTCCATGCGATTGGTTGGTTTTGTCATCATGTTGTAAGGCTTGCCCACAGCATACAGCAGCTGAGCGCTCAGTCAGCGCGAGCTGCTTTGCCACTCTTGCCATGAAAACAAAACCATTAAAACAGATTAAATTATAAACTACTAAAATCTTTTTTGTAATCTTTTTTTTTGTCCTTTCAGAAAACCCTCAACGCCACAGCTGTGGGGGCTCCGCATCCTCCCAGCATGCTTCACAGCAGCTCAGTTTAGTCCTCAGCTGAGGCCCTCACGGGGCCACACACACACACAAAATAAACAACCGACAGACAGACAGACAGACAAGAGGACAGTCGGACAGGGAATCTGTCACCGCTGGCAGTCACATAGCAGCTTTCAGTCTCATCCAAACTTCGACGGGAAAGGGGGGTAGGGCGTAGGTGGAGGTGTGGACACAGGTGGAGAAGAAGGAGAGGAGATGACACAACAGGTTAACATGTGTCCCCCTCCCCCCCAAAACCAAGCCACGTTCTCTTGGCTGGTTTGAGTAACAAACAGTTTAGATTTCACCTCAGTATCCATTCTTCTCATCCTCCCGCCTTGTGTTTTGCTCTAAAGCAGTGTTTCTAATTCTGGGATTATGGTGTGTTATCTTGAAGAAGTGTAGACTCTTGTTGTTCTGAACTAACAGACTGCTGCAGACAAGGCCCCCTCTGTGGGGTCGGGCAAAGTGGGGTTTGGGGGGGTTTGTTTCCTTGGACATCCCCACATCCCTCAGTACATTCGTTCAGGTGGGCATGGTGAGGGCTGTGTATGCGTGTACATGTTTGTATGTATAGGTATGTACGTATGTGTGTGGGAGAGGTGTCTCAGTAGCGGTGGGTCTGGTGGGAGTATTGGGGCGGCTGTTGGGAGGTAGAGGAGTATCCCATGCTGCTTTGGGGCAGTGATGTGCTTGGTCCAGGGTTCTGGTAGGCAGCATGTGGATTGGAGCGCTGCAGGGAGGAAGAAAACAAGAAGAACCGTATTAACTACACTCTGGTAAAACTCTTTTTTATGGTAGTGCCCACCCAGACAGAGGTATATAAATGAAACATGGAACAAATAAGGTCTGATTACTGGCTTGAGTGCTTACAGGAGGGCAAACATTGTGCACTGTAGAGGGCAGTATCACGCAAGTAGGTTCTTATTCATGACAATTTATTTGACAGATGCACTTTTGTATATGAATTGTTTATCAACAAAAGCTAAATCTGCCTCGAATGCAACTTCATAATCTCAGAAAGTTAAAACTTGAGTAAACATGAGTGTGACTGTATGTGTGTGAATAAGAGAGTTAGAAAAAGAGAGGGAGTGAGAGACTTACCTGGTAGTCTGAGGTCATGATGAGGCCACCTGAGGTAGTGGTGGGCGGGACAACTCGCACTTTCTTCAGAGGCGGGCCCTGGGCGTGGCTGTTGTCAGGGTTGCCAGTGTGCCCCGCCCCGTTCGTGTGGTTGTTTCCCTGTTGCTGCTGCTGGTTCTTCTAATAGTTATAAAAAAAAAAAAGGACTATTGTACATGTGTTCATTGTATTGTATGTGTACATTTTAGTGCTGAAGCCCTATTGTGTATTTACTACCTCTTTGCAATGTTTCCCTTTACCTGTATTTATTCATCATATGAGCATTTTGAATGAGACAATATGTGACACATTTCTTACTTTGTCTGCCTTGTCTTCTGGCTCCTCCTCTGTCAGGAACTCCCTCTTGGGATAGGGAATCTGGCAGCCTGCAAACACACTGGGGAAAAAAAAAAAAAACGCAAAACATTTATTCCCATGACTCGCACCTAATTAGCTAAGGGACCTGTTCAACGTGGTTGATGTTCCTAGGTCATGTGACTCAAGCTAAGGAGCAGCACAAGATAGACAAAACGGGATACAGACTGTATGTGAGTGTGTGCGCGCTGTGACTCACTCAGAGGTAGGCAGGGGCTCCTCCAAAAAGTAAGGGTCCTGCATGGCCTGCTCAGATGTGATTCTACGGATAGGGTCCATGGTCAACAGCTTCTGCAGCTTTATTGAATTGCACACAATGTTAGCCTCAAACGAGAAAACATTAATAGAAGTGGCATAATGACAACGCACGCTTCGTTTGTCACGGAGAGCCAAACTACAGCTACATGGTTGAAATGGATTTGCTGTCATAATGGTACTATAATGTCTTTAAGTTATGCAAATGACATGCAATTGCCCTATTACCAAGGCATTTTAACTCACCAAGTGGAATGCTTTGCTGTCTGGTTTGACTTTATGTTTTTCCATGTACTTTATAAGGCTGCAGTTTGTGTATCTGTGATAAAAAAAAAGGAGCAAATATATCAATATCATGCCTTTAGTGTAATTACCCCATAAAAGAACACACAGAGGTTTTACATGGTTAGGTACAAGTTGTGCACAACACTCAAAATTGTCTTTCTGCCAGCAGACACAGCACTTTGCTTTGCTCTAACTTTGTTTCTAATCTTTGAGAAAACTGGGACAGCGGTGCTCTGCAGACTCACGTGTTCCTCCTAAAGTCTTTCATCAGCGTGGAGTGTTCTGGCATCTTTTTGATGTCCTCCCAGTCTTTATCTGTCAAATGAGGGAAAGACAGGATTACACCACGTCACACCCTCCCTCCCTTCAAGAACAGATTATTGAGGTTGTAGGGTCTGTATTACAATCTTTTTGAGCACAAACACTCATGAGTTACCCACAACAACCCCTTTATTACAACAAGAGCATGTTGAGCTTTGGTTCTGACTTACAGTTTAAGATCTGTGTTGTTTTTTTATATATCTATATATACATATAACACTTTTCAATAAAAACTTCCATAACTTTAAATGGCAAACATGGCAAAGGGATTGTAAAAATTGCCCCGATGCACAATTTGTAAGGCTTGGTTTCCTTCAGAATCAAAACAAAATCCATCAGACAGACTGGTGGGTTGCACAACTAGAGGAGCAGAGATGGTAGAAGGGGAAAAAAAAGAGATCAGAAGCAGCTTAAGTGAACTGGAAAATATAGGCTCAAATGTAGCCTTGCAAGTAAAAGTTTCTATGTTTGTGACTTGGCTTCATCTATGGTGTCAGTTGATGTTCAGAGCCCACAGACCACATTACTGCCTAAAGAAAAAAGAGCAAGAAAAGACCAAGTAAATTATCTGCCTCTGCTAAGGAACGGAAAATGCTTATCCTTCCACAGCATTTTTCCATTGAAAAGGCAACAAAGCAGCTGTGGCACTTTGGTATACTAGCATCTGAACAGCACTAATATGCATACACTATTTGGAAAATCACAGTAATACAGTAATACAGTAATACATCCCCTTTTATTTGAATTGCTTCATTCAGGTGTATCAATAACAAACCAGTATGTATGATGTAATG